GGCATAGCATGGTTTGGCGTGGATTTATTCAGCATGGCATAGATAGCGGATATCAAATAGCGAGCGAAACATGTACTTTTCTTCACACGTCTTCCTCACCCTACGCAAATGTCCACCCACATACATACGTGTAGGAATCCCAATCTCAGCACACATGCCATTGCACATGCACATGCCAAGACCAAGAGTGTCTATTTGGGAAGAGCCGTGCAATCATTCATGGATGGATGGGAAAACCGGTCTGACATGGGGGGTACGGCACAGAAGCCCTACGCCTGGTGAAATGGGAACATATACCGTTTGCACATCGACTTGAGTATTTCGCACTCACACATCTACACGCATAACCATCCCTCTATCCCTCCATCCATATATACGCCCAATCACCCCGCCCAGTATCCCCGACAGAATGATCTACGCCCATCCGTCCGCCGTCCCCACAATCCACCCCCCACCGCACCATCTAAATAGCAGGCGACTCAGCAGACTTCGCCTGCAAGTACTTGAACGCACCAAACGCCAGCGCGCCACCAACAAGGATAACAGCATACAGACCCACGCCCGTCGTCGCGCCGTCGGTCGCGGTGGTAGTTGAGCCTGGGGCGGCGTAGCTCTTGGGCTTTGGGTCGCCGTCCTGTATTCACACGTATATTAGCCTACACCTATCTCCACAATATAAACAATTGCCAGAGGATGGAGGGGAGGAGGGGAGGAGGGGATTCGTCCGAGATACGCCCGAGATCCGAGCGGGCCGGGATAGCGGCTGGCGGTGAAGGGGAGGGAAGGGAAGGGAGGGAGGAAGGAGGGGGATCGTACCTGGCGCTTCAAAGTCCCAACCAGCAGGCCGTCGAGAATCTCCCGCGCTTCGTCTGAGTGGCCGACGTCTTCGAAGGCTTCTGTTGAGTCTTGGCCGCCGACGTCGAGCATGACTTCTTCGCCGCCGCTGCCAGAGCGTCAGCTAACTACTAATCACTGTGGGTGGGGTGTGGTTGCGCATCGCATGGGGAGGGGTGGGGTGGGCTGGCATGCTGTGCTGATTTGGAGGGATGGCCTGGGTTTGAGTGTATAATTGAGGATAAACATGACAATAAGAAAGCCAACCTACGGATGCTCATCCACAAAGCTCGAGCAATCATACACTTTATCGTGCACAACGACAAACAAGTCGTTCTTCGTGTTGTGCTCCGACACGTCCGAGTATGTGTATTCCTTGTCGGCCATTGTGGTGGATTGATCGTGGGTGCGTAATCGGTGGTAGACGGAGGCGGTAGACGGAGTCGTTGGACGGAGTCGTTGGACGGAATCGTTAAGCGTGGGCGTGTGTTCGTAGCAGCTACGTGTCCAGGTACAAGCGGAAGTCAAGGTAAAAGTGCAAGTCAAGGAAAGGCGGTGGATGTGGATCGATGTCAAAAAGCCCGTCGGCAACAAATGAACGGGCTTCCGGCGCACAAGATAACAAGCGTCGGTCGGTCGAACTTGACAGACAGGCAGTTTAGTAGCTAACCAATCAGGTGAGGTGTGTTTGTAGTGTTGCGCGTGGCCGAATGCGGAAAGGACTTCCGCGTTGGTCTGTTTGGGTAGGGTAGGGTAGGGAAAGGTGGTTATATGTGGGGTTTTATTGCGACGCCCGGGCACCGCACTGCGGGGGTGTCTGTGGGCAGAGGTCGCGTTTAGGGATGTAGAATCCTCGACAATGTGCTGAACGAGGGCAATCTAGTGTCTAATAGATAGATAGATGGGTAGATAGATACATCAAAGCAACAGTTAGGTAGGTAGGTGTGTACTTGCAAAAGGGTATCATTCGTCGCCGTTATTTCTCTGCAAGGTCTAACTAACACTACATTTTCTTCTTATTCATCATCTCCTTCGTCGCCATCTCCTACATCCCCCTAAAAACATTGTTACTAGCACTCCTCCTCTCCTTCTCCTTTCTCCGATCATGTCTCTGCCCCGCCTCAGGAACTTTCTTCTGCTTCCTCTCGGGCGCAAACGTGATTTCACGCTCGCCCACCACCGTCGTCGTACTCGCGCTTGCCATCGGCGTGCGATCCTTAAGTTTCGACACGCGCGCTGCAAACGTCTTGTCGCGAGTAGGTCCCGTCCTTTTGGTCGTGGAGGAAGAGACGAGCATCTGTGTGGCACGCGGGTCTCGATGGCCGGCCTTCTTGTACGACGAGGATGAAACGCGGTTTTTGTCTTCGGTGGGCTGTTTGCGGACAGGACGGGCCTGTTCGGCTTCGGAGTCGTCGGAGTCTTCGTCCGATGACGAGCCCTTGTGCGAATCCAAATCTTCTTGCTCGGCGGCCGTGAGGCCCTTGGGGATCTTGGTGCTGGGGTTGATGGCTTGGAATTCGTGAGAGCGCTCGTCGACGGCGAAGTCTTCGTCCTCGAATAGGCGGGCGAAACGCGCATCGCCAAGGAGACCTCCGGATGGTTTGGTTTCTTCGACGGCTTCGCCAACGGCTGGCGCTTTGTCGACGTCCAGCATGTCGTCGTCGCCGCCCTTTTTGAGCACCCTCTTGGCTCTTCGCCGCTCCTTTTCTTCTTCCCGCTCGAGCATCTTCTCGGCAAGCTTCCTGTTGACCTTGACTGCCACCTTCTTGTTGCCACGGATCCTGCTTTCGCGCTCTTTGTTGATTTTCTCTGCAATGCTCTTCGCCCGCTGCTCTTGCCACATGTCGGGGTTTGAGATGAGCCTGGCTTCCTCGTACAGCTTCTGCGCAACAAAGTAACCATGCATGTATGGCCTGAGCAGACTTGTTGTCCCAACTAGATGGTCCAGATTGAGTTGGCGCAGTTGCACGAGAGTCAGGAACTTGAAGTTGTCGTAGACTTCTCCTGCCGCGCCTTGGCCGAAAGAGTGTGGATCGTTGGGGTCCTCGGCCATTTCTTCGACAATGTTGTCCAGGAATGCGCACCATTTCGGCGCAGGCCCTAGCTGTGGGATGAAGAAAGAGTGTTGCTGCTTCCCCTCGTTTGCGGTGAGTAGCATGCCGCTATCCTTGACCCATTCCACGTGGTTGAGATCGACGGCTGGCTCCACCGACGTCCATGGAGTGCCGTTGCGAGGATCCCATATCTTGATGATGCGCTTGTCTGCTGTGAGGATCTTCGGTTCGGCTGTTTGGTTGCGGGATGAGGTGCTGGAATCGAGGTAGATGATGTTCTTGATGGGGAAGCCGTATCCTTGGTCCTTTTTCAGCAAAGGTGTCGACGATCGCAAGTCGTACAAATGAATGAGTCCGTTGGAGTCTCCCACAGCAAGCTCCAGTCCAGATCGCGGAAAGGTGAGGGCAGTGATTTCTGACCGCCCCTCGAAGGCATTCTGTGCTCCTGACAATATACCGACCCTGTTTCTTGATCGAGAGTCCCAAAACTCAACTGTGCCCAGTGAAGTACCGAACGCGAGCAGGTTGTGACTATCCTCTGCAATGGCACCAGTGTTGACAGCACCAGCATCGATCCCGCCTTGCAGTGAGCCGCTTCCAGCCGTGACGAGGTCATCCCCGCCCACATCGATCTCGTAACTTCTCATGAAACGCCCCACCTCCAAGTTCAACCGGTAGCACTCGCCGAGCCCTTCAGCGTTGACGCCCACTGCTGGCACGAGACACTCGGCGGACTGCTTGTCATAGATGAGATCTCTGCCATATCGCGGTATGCGGGTGGAGTAGTGCAGGCCTCCGCCTGTGTGGAATTCGATAACTCGGTCGGACTGGAGGTGCATGCTCTTGGTGTAGTCGGTGGACAGCAGGCGGAAGGTCTCGTTGAGGGTGCTCGTGTGACGCGCAAAGGATAGCGAGAGGTGGGGGAGGTAGTGGGTGTGGATCTGGGGCTATGCAGTCGTCAGTGTGGCCGTCTCTGGCGATTGTCGCAAAGCGTCGCACCTTGTATGTGCCCGTGGACATGACCCAGTCGCCATCCTCGCTGACGCGCACGCACTGGCTGGCCTCTTCAAAGCCAAAGTCCTGCAGCAGCTCGACGCGGTTGGCGAACTCGGGGTCGTTTTTCAGACTTCTACAGAATTGTTAGCTTGCACTCTTTGCGCAGGATTTGTTCATTCTGTGCCTGCCTTTTTCTTCGCCGTATGAGCCATTCCGGCAGAGGACGTGCCTCACTCCCACTGATTGTGTAGACGGGGACGGCAGAGTTGGAGATCTTCATGGTGGCGTGGACCAATGTTGCAGCAGAGAGGTGCAAAAGGCCGTGGAGCCGCTCAGAAAAAGTGCCGTAGGGCTGACGGGCACGGTCCGCTGGCACTTGACCGAGAGTTGGCGCGGCTGCGCATGCCTGTCGTTCAGCCGGCCGCACTCGACACCGTCCACCGTCCTCCGTCCACCGTCTGCACCCACTTGAGACGACAGCGGGTCTCTGTGCATGCTCCAGCGCCCCGTTCCAGCCGTCGAGAGTGCCCTACCGCGTGCATGCTCCATGCCTCTTCCCTCGTCGTCGGGTAGGCAGTTGCTTTGGCACCGCAAGACGTCGTCGCCCGCAACCCACCACGGCCTGCACGGGCATCCACAGTCGGCGACGCGTACACATGCAGTGCTCAGCGTAACCGCCTCGCTCCCCACGCCGCCTGCCTCCCCCGTGCGGTTATAGTCGCGTTGTTCGCGTCGCGGCCGGGACAGCGGAGTTGATGATTTACAGCGCCATCTCGGGAGTGAACATACGACGCGAATACCACTGGAGTGTACCGTAGAGGGCGGCGGTCTCTCTAATGGAATTTCTCAAGACGTGCACCACGAATGCGCACGCCATAGTACGTGTGCCATGTCTCTGGCTATGGCGACGCGACACGGCTAACGGGCGTCTAGGGAGACTTTGAAGCTGTCGCATACCAGGCCTTCTCCGTCACGCGCACACTGCGACCGCGCAACGGCACCACCCCGCCAGACGACACGGCCGCCGTCGAGGCCGAACTGCGCCAAGCCCAGCATCTGGTCGCACAGGATGCCACCCGGCCCTGGCTATGGCTATTCCGCTCCGCCGCGGCCACGCCCGACAAACCGACCCAGAGCCCGCCAGACGTGCCAGACCCGCCAGACGTCCAAGGCTACCACCTGCAGCGTGCGCCTTCCCCCCTCCCCCCGTGACAAACACCGCTGACACACCACAGGCAAACACGCGGGGTCCTTGAGAGCCTCCGACTTGGCTCGCTCGCCCATACCCATACGCGCTGCATCCACCTCCCTCTCTTCCGCGGCCCCAGGACAGCACAAGGGCGCACAAGGTGGAGGTGCGCGGAACACCAACGCCAACAACCAAGCTAATGCTGCCGACCAGCAACAGCCGCCTGATTGCTTTACCGTCTACGAGTTGTTCACATCGTCCATCATCGCCTTGCTCTCCTTCAACCTGGTCAGAGACTGCAGCGTCGTCGCTCTGAACTACCGTACATTCGTGGCAAAGCCTGCAACCCAGGCTGATCCCAGTCACATCGACGTCGATAGTCCTGCAGACGTGCATTGGCTCACCAGCATAAGCGTATACTGGGGTAGCTCAGGCACGCTAGTCATCTCGACCTTCACCGAACAGAACCGCGAAATCCGATGTTTGGACGACATATCTTCCGACGCCGACTACACTCGACTCATCGGCAAGTGCGTCCGTGTGGCTCCAAGTGGCTTGCTCGCCCACGTTACGAGTTTCGACGATCCCCTAGATACCGTAACCGAGGATACTGGTCAGCGCCCGAAGAAGAAGCGAGCTAGGCTTGGGGCTACGGAACAAAGCATCGAAAAATGGAAATCATGTGTCAAGCGCTGGCTAGCCTGGAAAGGGTACCTTCTCCCTGATCTTCAGAAGAAAAGCTCCTGGGTCAGAATGCGCATAGCTCAGTCTGCGGTATCAAGCGTGGCCTCGCCACTTTTCGACCGAGAAATGCTCTGGCCGCGAGCGCTTTGTTACTACTATGATACGGAGCTATCTGGACCTGCAAATGTAGATTCAAACACGTATCCAGCATTAGAATGTTCCAATCGTACGCTGCAGTGGTTCGAGACGACTGATTCAGTAGGCTTCAAGGATCCTCTAGACGTAGCGCAGGAATGGTTTCTGGGCAGGCCCGAACGTGATAAGATTTTGGAGGCCCGACGCAAATCCAAGAAGGCGGAAGAAGATGCAAACCGTCGCAAAGACGAGTGTCCTGGCTTATACCCATCATCTCCGCTAAATACTCGCTCTGGCACCTACGGCGACCTCCAGGCAGTCAGCGGGGTATACCCAACGCCTCCTGACGGCATCCTTCCTGGCGCTGGACCTTCCACCCACAATACACCCAGCGTTTCGGGTGCAGCTTCTAATGTAATTCTAGTCCCTGGTGGAACCAATCCTGCCATCAGTCTCCTGGCGCCACAAGAGGATTTCCATGTCGACGCGCCACAACACCCACTAACCTCCCCCACCCTTCCTACAACCGCAGACAACCTCAACATATCTGCTGGCGACGATGACCTGTTCGGAGATATGGACGAGGACGGATATGTTGGCCACGGGGTGAACGATGAGGATTTCGACTTTTTTGACGAACCCGATGGCGAGGATGTCGACATGCTAGACGCGCCGATGCTGGAAGACAGTAAAATGGCGGCGAATGACACGTCTGAGCAACATGCAGCGGCGCATGTAGTTTTGGACCCTCGGGTCAAAGAGGATATGTCTGACCCCCTGGCCGCACTTGAAAATGCTCTTGATGAGGCCTCCAATTCCGCCCATGAACAAGTGCACGATGCCAAGCTCGAACACACCTTCGCCGTTCCATCTTCTCCAGTGAAGAGGCCCCTGGAGGTTGCTCTTCCTCAGCAAATGCAATCCCCAAATGGCAGCAAAACCCCTGTTTTCAAAGAACCTACGCCTCCATTGAGCCCTACTGCCATTGCAAAGGCATTGTTGCCGTCTCCGCCCGGCAAGAGGGTAGCGCCAACTCTCCAGGAGCAGGCCACGAACCGCCACCGTGATGGCGCATTCGATCCCCTCAACTTCAGTCGCAAAATGAGCCTATCTGACGCAAAGTACCAAGACGGGCGTTTTACTGCACATCGAGAAAATAATGTTGACGATGACCTTCAGGTTGAGAGACGCCTTTCTCGGGCGAAGAGTTTGCGAGATCTCCCTATGCTAACGACGTTACGATATGCTATTGGTGTTGTGTCGGCGAACAGATTACCTGAAGAGATGCCCGTGGTTCCTACGGCTTACGACGATTCGGACTCTTCGAGTGATACCTCGGAGGTGTCTGAGGATGATATTGACGAAGAGCTACCAGCAGAACCTCTGTCTATTTTGGGTAGTCTCGTTATGACCGCAAAAAGAAAACTACCTACAGACGGCAATGCCACGCCCTTGTCGACCATGTCTTTCGCGGAATCACTGGGCGGTGATTTTCCTAACTATTACAACCTGCAGCTCGATGAGGCGTCCCTTGCTTGCTTCGAGCCAAGCTCTTCGGACTGGTCATTGGTAAACTTGCCATCTCCCGTCGAAAGATTGTTGACCGGCGCACGTTACAACATGCCATCATTTGCCCCTCTAATAGCGCAGTGGCCGGGTACGCCTACCTCGCAACCGGATGTCACTATGGACACAACAGACGAGAAGCCTCTGAGTGGAAAGGACAACATCGCAATAACCCAGATAGTCACAGATCAGATCATTTCCGCGACTCTGGACGTTCTCGAAGAAGATTCGACTTGGGCGCCAATATCCAATCCCCGCCCATCATCCGAGACGCGCTGGCACGACGCCATCAACAAAATCTTTCCAAAAGCCACCGAGTGTTCCGTTCTAACGCTGGCAACCATTCACGAGATACTTCCGGGTTATCCGGCCCAAGCGAAAGCCCAGCAGAGACTCCCACCACGTAACTCGAACGAAGGAGTGACCGTATCGGGGAACCAAATGTTCCAAATTCACCCGCCTTTCATCCGAGTCCGACGTGCAGAGATGCACTGGGAATTGCTTCCTCCGGCTATTGCTTTCTGGGAGCCTCTTGGCTTGGCCCCCGTGAATGAGCCAAAGAACGTAATCGCCTTCTGCGTGTATCCCCACAGTGACTCTTTGAGACCTTGCCTGGAAAACTTTCTCTTGAACGTTCAGCTCGCATATGACAGCTGTAAGCTTGGTAGTCATTCACGGGTTGTGACTATAGCCGAGTACGATGGGGGTTTGGTGCCTTGCAGAATTCCTACAGCTACCACATCACGAGATGCGTTCAAAGCGTTGAGGGAGACTTGTGTTCAGCTTGGCAAACTCCTCGCTATGAACTATGCGCACATCCGAGCGCAGCAAGACTCCAAAATTGATGCCTTTGTTATCTACATGGTCGATCCGTTTGGCAATCCTTCAGCGCTTTGGGATTTGTGTTCGGCGTTTTGGACTCTCTTCCAGACATATGGTCAGGGTCCACCAGGCCGTCCAGACCAGCCTCAAAAGCCAGATCTCGTGCTTCAGGTCATACCAATGAAGTGTATAGCTTCTTTCGATGCTCCCGTCATTCTGGATGCAAGCACATACGTCAACCTTGCTCGAGAAGTTTACGATCGATGCCCGCCGAGCGTCCCGAATGGGGACAAGACACCTCTCAACATCCACAAGGCGCCCGCATTCCAGCTGGAAGAAACGATACCCCGCCAGGTGCCATTCAAGCTGATCTCCGAGCCACCCCACGATCTGCTCCGCGAGAACTCGTACATGCATGTCGGCTATGCCGTCAGTCTCGACGGCACCTGGATCACCGCGGCCTGGACCGACAATTGCGGCAAATCCCAAGCCGTCGTCACATACCATCTTGGCACACGTGTGTTTTCCGAGATCGCCAAAGAAATATGGCAAACGACGATCGAGATCCTGCGATGCCGAAGAGTAAGTTGGCGTTGCTGCATCGCCAAATGCGGCGTCATGGAACGAGACGAGCTAGAAGCATGGATCCAGATCATCTCCTGCCCAACCCAAGTCAACCTCTTCCTAACGCTCCTCACCGTCGACACCGACTCCCCCATCAAACTAACCCCCACCATGCCCTCGTCAACCACCGCCCAACCATCCGCAAACACACCCGGCTCCACCCCACAAGCCAGCATCTCCCCCGACCCATCCCAAGGCTTCACCCCCGTCGCCACCCCCTCCGCAGACACCGCCACCGACCCCTCCACCGACCCCGAAGCCCGCCTCATCGACACCACAGACGAATCATGGGGCATCATCCTCGCGCACCGCCTACACAACTCCCACTCCACCACCCAATTCAGCCCCGCCCTCATCTCCGGCCTGCTCATCAAACGCGGCGAAACCCACGCCACGGCCTCGTCCCCACTCCACACCACCCCGGGCCCCATCGTCGTAGGCGTAAACATCCTCTGGATCGGCTCCGTAAACTCGACGCGCAATCTGCCTGTTGGTGCAGATGGCACGATCAATGCGGCCCCCGAGCGTATTAATAATTGGCTCATGTGGACGCCGACCGTGCAGACGCGCACTACGGCTGAGAGTCTGCTTAAGGAGGTGTTGAGCCAGTTTAGGGGGTTGGGGTTGTTGGCTCGGCTGAGGGGGATGAGGGGGACGAGGCATGGGACTGTGCCGTGGCATATTGCTGCTGCGAAGAGGGGGGTTGGCGGGTTGGGACGGGTGGGGGGTGGACTTTGATATCCTTTTTCTTCTTCTTATTGGACTGTTGTTTTGGGTGGTGTTTGGCGTCTTGTGTCCTTTTACGGTGTTGGAGTGTTTTTGGCGTTTTGGTTGGGTTGGATTCGGCATGATATGTGTTCACGATATGACACAGCACGACGGACGCACGCTTAGTATTCCCCTTTCCCCCTATCTTTCCATATCACGTCTCGTCTTGTTATGTAATTCATAATTCCATCCATCTACCAACCTACCCCTCAATACCCAAATGATCAACCCGTTCCACTTTCCTCTCACTCTCCCTAACACTCCCCTCCCTAACACCCCCCCTCACCCTCCCCCCCTCCTCCGCATGCGCGCCTGCAAACGCATCCCCATGCCCCTGCGCACCGCCTTGTACTGCTGCTATTTGTGCAAATGTATCAGCACCTACTACCGCACCTACTACTGGAATGAATGAATCAATGGGAATAAGCAACATACCTCTCCCGTTCCCCTCCTCGACAGACGTCTCACTTCCATCAACGTTTTTGTGCGTCGTCTTTTTCGAGGAAGAGGATAGGGCGCCCGAGAGCGCGGTGAAGAGGTTGAGGTTGAGTCCCGCCTTGGGGGCGTGTTAGTATATTGCTGGAGTGGGCTGGGGGGCTGGGCGGACGGGGGAAGGGGGGAAAGAAGGGAACGGGTGGATTACGGATGCTTGGGCGGATTTGTGGTGCTCTTGCTCGTATTCTTGGGTGCGGTCTTGGGTATGGGCTTGGGTTTGGGTTTGGTCTGATTTTGTGAGGGCGTGGGAGGTTGCGTGGGAGGATGGCATTTTGGGTGATTTGGTCAGGTGGGAACGAAATTGTCGTATGTCGAATGCCGAATGATATAAACCGCAGTGATAGTTTGAAGATGTTGTGAGTCTGGCTCCGCGGGATGTTGAGCTTTATTTATGTATAAGCTTCCATGCTTGTTTGTTCCTGTTCTCGACATCTCGGGGTGAGGTGAGCATATGATGTCATCGGTACAAACATCCAGGTTTCGGACAGAAGTTGGACGACAGGGGGCGGTTTGACAACTTCACGAAATAGTTCTATCAAAACCAAATGAGATACATTTCATGTTATCTAATTGAGTAGGGCTTCGCTCAAATTATCCCAGAAACCGAGATCATACACGTTCTCCACCGCCGCCAGACTCCACACACGCTCAAACCCATCGTCCCGCACAACAGAGCTAACACGATCGGGCAGACTCTTCGGCGCCTGCCCGTCGCGCGTCCGGATGAGAATGTGTCTGCTTTCCAGCGGCCAAGTCGTCGGCGGCTCTTCGTCGTCTGGAGGTGTTTCTGGCGGCGTCGGCATGGGCGAAGACGAGGATGATGAGTGCGCGGAGTATACACGTGATGGCATGGCTGAACGGTGTTCTTGCATTGTGTTTTCTCTCCGGTGCCCCAGAAAGACTACGCCCTCTGCCATGTCGTCTCGCCAGTCTGCCCATTTTGCGCTTTCGTTGGTGGACATGCCCGCCCAGATCAGGAAGATGTGGTAGACGAGCAGGCCGAGGGGAAGCGGCCATGTTAGCAGCGCGAGGAGGCCGACGCCTGAGCCACAGATGCCGCCTGCGTCGAGGTAGATGCTCGAGTATTGGAGTAAGTTGTGCAATTTCGCGTTGAAGTATGTGGCTATGCTGTTTGGGTCTGATCCTGCGCTTGGCTTGTATCTGTAGAAGTGTTCGTATTTGCTGTAGTGTAGGATGACTTTGGGAGTCAACGCGTACCATGCGAGGTAAGCGCCGTATGCAATCAGAACGGTCGTGGATAGTAGTAGGGCAAGGAACCACTTGTAGTTGCCGCGTCCAAGACAGTTGTTGACCCAGATGCAATGATGGTCCATCCTCGCCACACACGTTTTGCATATGCTGCAGTGCTTACTTCTCGCTGGCTTCAAAAACCTGCAGGTCGAGCATGACTTTCCAGGGTGATACAGGACCCTATCATAAGGATAGTGTCGCATTTGTTGTGTATGGTTTAGCGTGGTGATGTACGTCTCGTTGTTCTTCTTTGCACTAAGATACAGGAACACGTATGGTTGCGGCACTAGAATGAATGCAAAGAGCTTGTGGTGCAGTTGAAGGAGTGACCAGAAAGAAGGCAGAAGCATTGCAGCACACGCAGTCACAAGGCCGAGGAAGAAGACGACTACGACGGGGTGCTTGTCGTGCATCAGGTAGTTCCCCAACCGGGAGCCGCCGCTCGTAATGCGGCCATTGGTGAGCTTGACATCGAGCTGGTGGAGGGCTGAGGGAAAGTGCTGGACGAGGAGTCGGTGGAGAAAGCCAATCGGTGTGTTTCTACATTCGTTAGCAAAATTGGGTGACCTCATGGAATGTCTTACCTGAACGCCGGAAGTCGTCCAAAAAATGCGACAAACGTGATGAGCGATACGGTGCCTGCGCCGATGATGAGGTTGCGGGCGAGGGCCATGGTGAAGAGGGATCAGATGGCTGCCGCGATCTGCATGGCCCCAGATACCGCGTTGTGAGTAAGGTTAGAGTGAAGGGAAGATCCGCGTCCAATCGCACCCCGCATGAGCACATGTGAGCACGCGTCTCACCAACAAACGCGTCAACTTCACTCACCCGACCGCGCAACAACACCACCACCATGGCTGCACCGATCGTGTATGATGACGTCGCAGAGGGAACCACGCTCGATGGCCAACTATTTGCCGGCAAGAAATTCTGGGTCGCGCAGCGTGTGCCCTCGCGAACGCGTCTGCTAGACCTCATAACGAGCAACGGTGGAGAAGTCGTGATGCTTGAGAAAAAGGCGGATTACCTGATCGCGGACCACTGGCGAAAAGATTGTCCAGCAGGGTCAATATCGTATACGTTTGTAGACAAATCCATCGAGAAAGGCGAGCTTGAAGATCCAGAGGACCATCGCGCAGGACCACGACTGGGCGAGGCGCGTGAACCAGGATCTATCAGCAGACCTGCAAAAGGTGGGAGAGCGCCATATACTCCAGACGAAGACAGGATACTCTATAAGTGGGTGAGGGATGCTGAAGCAGCGGGAGGTCAGTCGAGTGGGAACGAGATCTACAAGCAGCTGGAAGCAAAGGTATGCACATGTGAGAGAGCCTTCTCGTGGGATTTGTGCTGACATTGTATAGTATCCACGACACCCGTGGCAGTCGTGGCGCGATCGTTACCTCAAGCAGCTGCGGACACGCCCTCCATCTGCATTCAACATACCCGATAATGCTCCGCCATCCCCACCGTCAGATCAAGCCGTCCAAACCACGCCTCCAGTACCATCGTCCTCCAAACAAATCAAGCCGTCAACTTCGGAAAACCCACAAAGTTTAGGTACTAAGAAGGTTAGCGGCCTGGGAAAGTCCAGGATGAAAGAAGAGTATTCAACAGAGCAACTGTCGGCTACATTCAGTTCAGAAGACTGGGAGGAGCTATATGCCAGTGTGGAGGTCATCGACTGCCATGTAGGACAAGACGCTTACGATGATGCATGGGCGAAGTGGGCTGAAGCACAGGACAACCAGACTGCTGAGCAGTGGCGCCAATACTACGAGAAAGTCGTTCGTCCGCAGTGGTTACGCGATCCAGTCTCGAAGAGGGACCAAATTAACAAGAAGGTTGGAGAGAAGTATAATGAAAAGCGCGCGAGTCAGAGCCAGCAACAAGACGAGGACTCACAAGACGATGAAGCACCAGAGGTTTCGACCCCCAAGCCACCCAAAGCCTTGAACGAGAAAGATACACCTGCATCAAGAGGTCTGTCGAACTCAAAAGCCCTCCACGACCAACCATATGTTACGCAGAAAGAAGAGATCATACCAACGAAGACACGCGAATTAACGAACTCAGACGACGAGCGCTTTGAACAACTACTTGAGACCCACAAAGTAGACAGTACGACGACAGCATACACTTTCTTTGCCCGAGAGAATAAATGGTCAACATGGAATGAGAATCTTGATCTCGATCACAGTACGTCGGCAGTATTGGACTGCCGTTGAGTGTGTGCTAACATTCAAACCTAGCCGAGCTGCACGAGCTACTTCTGTCACAATGGGGTTCGCTCCCGGAAAAGGACAGAGCACCCTATCTTGCTATGGGTAAGGCAGGGGGGAAGCGGCTCGCACCAGAGACACATGCTGAGCTGATGTCTTCTTCAACTGCCCATCACGAGTCGCCAAAGCATCTTGACGAACTATACAAGAAGACACTGAAACGTATACGCGAGGAAGATGCCGATGAGCCTGAGGACCATGACAAGGAATCGCGCCCCATGAAGCGGCTCAGGAACGTGCGCTTCTCGCCTGCTTCTGAGGGGAGGACAGGACATATCAGTTCCATTGGCACGCAGGATCAGCCGTTAGAGATATCCTCCGAAGCAACATCGATTGCTAGCTCAGAAGACGAAGACACGACACTGCAGCCGGAAGAGCAAACGACAGAAGACATTGTTCAGGTAAAGCTTGAGGTTGAAAAAGTCCTCGAATTCGACGCAGACCAAGCTACCGACAGCATAGAAGTCGACGAGTTCAAAGACATCGACGACATAACTCCGCCACCAGATGAAGACGACGAATCCGACCTCCCTTCAAACACCCCGACACCGCGCGCAACCCGTCGCAAAGCCCCAGCCTTCGATACGCAAGCCATTCTCTCCTCACCTTCCGAGGGCATCCCCATCGCCGCTCTTCCCCGCCCACGCTACACACGCGACCTGTCCTCCCCCTCCCCAGAAATCACCATCAGCGCTCTCCCGCGCCTCACCAACTCCACACGCGACATCTCCAGCCGCGCCGAATCCGAAGTATCAGCGCATATGGACCCGCCATCCTCGATCCACGAGCCCGAGTCCGAAGCCTCAACAACCCAGTCCCTAGAGGAATTCCGCTCCTTCAACTCCGACGATAAACCCGCCTACATCGCGCCCTTGCCCCGCCCCCGCCGCGCATCCCCCTCCCCAACCCCCTCCTCCGCATCCTCCACCGACTCCGGACAAGGCGATCCCGACGTGCCCCTCGCAGCCGACGAAATGAACCTCTTCTTCGACGAAATGCGCACAGATGTCATCACGGACGACTTCATCTCCAAGGCGCTCATGCGCACACGGTGTCGTCCTAACTTGGCGATGCGCGTTTTGGATGCGTGGAGCAAGGGCAGGGCGCTGCCGAATCAACGCGGGATATGGAGTAGAGAAGATGATGAGGCGGTGGAGAGTGGGGATGGGCGGGCGCTGATGGCACTTGAGAGGAAGCATACGTTGGATGGGTGGGGAGGGATTACAGAGCGGTTGGTGTTTTTGGAGGCGTGTCGGGGGAGGTAGGAAGGTGCGTGATGGGTTGAGGGGCTGGTTTTGGGTATGCTAGTAAGTGGACTGCTGGGAGTCGGCAATCATCTTCGGCCGGAGAACTATGAGGGAGTGGATAGTTGGGAGGATCGCCTAGCACTCGATGGAACGTTTGTGAACATTTACTATCATAATAAGCGGTATCAAAATCAATGTGTATGAGGCAAACCACCCAGCTGATACTACAGCGGAAACAACTTAAGTCATGAATGCTTCCTAGCTTTCTCACCCTTCTCTGTTCATCTCTTTAAGCCCCCTTCTTGCCGGTTTCTTCATCGACCGGATCCTTCACTCTCCTCAGCTTCTTCAACAAGACGTTGTTGTTCCAGGTACTCAAGACGCGTTTCTTGAGAAGTCGGAGGGCTGTGAATCCTCTCCACACTCCGAGAACGGCCACTGTCAACACTACCGTGCTGACAAAATACAGCCATACCCATTTCGAGACGTGCGGTCCGGTGCCTTGGGGATCGAAATTCCAGACTAGAAGGATGGCGTAGTCAGCATATGTCTTGTAACGTTGGAGGGAGGTGTGAATAGATAACAATTTGTCTGTGTGCGCTTGGATGTTGGCACATGCAGAGATGCGGAATATGTTATTTCACAGTAGGTGGGATGGCTTACTGTCGTAGAATTAGCAACTTGTTTACCGGAATATGAGGTAAGAGAATACATCATACCAGCTTGTACTGAATAACGTGGCGATGAAGGTGCCAGGGAGGAATATGAGCGTGACAGCAGAAATGATGCGCATATCAGCACCGTAACGAAGGCTAAGTTCGTTGTCCTTTTGCTGGAGGACAGCATACACCTATAATCTACAGTTACACGATTTTCTTCTACAAAGTCACGGGCAGAAAAACTTACCATTTGCACCTGTACCTGCACCGTATCCTTCATCGCCTCGCTTCTCTTTCGCATATCCCCGTGTTTGAATCGAATTACACCAAGGCGATGTCGCATCTCAGCTACGACATCCATTGGACCGAGTCGAGAGTGTTTCTCGAGCTGATCTTCAACAAAGTCTATCGTGTCCTGGAAAGCTTCCAGTGTAATCACGATACCTCCCAAAGCGGTAGCCATAGCTGTCAGTTTACGTGGCATGTCGGTCATATTAGGCCCTTCAGTCTGGTCTAACATTGGCACGAAGTATTCGTCGGAGCCTAGAATATGGCTTATGGATTGGAAGTCTTTACTGAGTCGGTTAAAATGCCCTGCTAAACCCTGAAGTTTGTTTCCCGTCACTATGAATGGTAGAAGATAAGGCTGGAAGGCGAAACTTTTCGCGGCCAGTAATTCTTGAACGATACTGTCCAAGGTGAAGGGGTCATTGCTGGCCAGTATCGAGAACATGGTGCGTGTGGTCGGATTACGGGATAGCCACAAATCAAAGCAACGCGGTGAATTAGAGCTGAGATGAATACCTAGAGACCTTTAGCTAGGCACGAGGGTACCGATCTACACGGTTATGTGAAACTCACCTTCCCATGAAGGGTCGCCAAGAATAGGACTGTATGGCATTGGGTTGCTGTTAACCTGTAAGAAAGAAAAACAAACATTGGGCATATGCCAATGTTTTTGTAGCGCACTATACGATGCCCGCGAATAAGGTATAGCCCAGTTACTGGGGCGTGAGGTCAATGTAACCAGGCTAAAGTAAAATAAGAACAATTCTCTTCGGTAAACTGAGTTACATACAATCGCAGCATCCACACAGTGTCTGGAGTTGACGGATCACTTTGGCACAAGGCTGGAATATCCTCGTCGCGTTTGATCTCTTGGATGACACTCAACCCCGACTGTACGTATAGTTAGCGATCCATATGTCATTGCGTCCGTTTTTCGCACCTTTGTCTCCGAGATCTCTATGTACCTATGTGTACATGGCTGTTCTATCAAGATTCCATTGTGACAGGCGTTCATCCAGCTGGAATCGCTTGATGAGTCCATAGTAGAATCAACCGGGGGAGAAAGACAGGCTTCAGTCGTCCAGATTCAAGAATGATATCGTAAAGGTTTAGTACTCCCAGCAGAGGAACAAGGCAAAGGCCAAGGCAGACACCTCAGGCAGAAGGTAAAAGCCATTGCTGCAGAGGTCAGGCTCTCAGGCGCATGCGCCTCAGCCTTGTTCAGTTGATAACGAGCTCAGCTTGCGGTCTGAACGCCTATTCGACACTAGATGAGCTGGTGGCGTCTGTTGGCGACTGACTAGTGGCAATAGAATAGGTCGACGTCTTAGAACAGATGCGCCTGCGAACAGGCACAACGGGAGCCCACACACAACGTTTCGCTGCGCATTACATCACCTGCATTGCTCCAGTCGCTGAGTACGCAAACGTCCCAACGCTTGTTGCGATAGATGACGTTTGAAGTGAGGCACTCCACCTCCAAGGGTCCAATCAGCGCCATGACCAGGATTGTGTCCTCGCTAGATCCCCGACATCCTCTTCCATAATACAGCTTGTCACAACAAAACTGCATGATAGGCAATTATATTAACAGAGAGATGTAAGATCGCTAGGAGAGAAATATCGCTTGTCTTCAAGCTTGGAGGTATGGGTAACAAGACGACAAATCCTCAAGAAAAAATGTTGTGGATGAATGAGGCTGAGTCGCTAGCCTTAGGAATTAGGTTTCATCGTTGCCTATCTTGTGGACACTACTGATCCTAAGACACATCTCTGTCCTGTCAAGATGATGACCCGAAGCCGACGAAGATTATCCGCAGACAAGCCCCGGGTTTGATAACTTATTCTGGGTCACCGTCATCACCCGTGTAGGTAGGTACACATCGAACTCCTTTCGACGGATTTCCCTGTCATCACAGCAAATGGCTGAGATCCCGACCTCTGACGGAATCATCTCAAGACTAACTTGGTCGAACCGCGAGGCAGTGACGCCGAAGCGACGTACATTGCGATAGCCGCCATCCAGATCGGTATACAAGAAGGATTTTCTACAGTGGACGTTGAACTGGTTGTGATCGAGCGGAATCAGTCATCTCTCTTTGCGTACTAAAGTACCGTACGAGCTGCAAGAAGCGCGACTATGACTAGCCACGGGACGTGCCAAATACTCTTTTGAATTGTTATAACTGACTTGCGTTCATGATCGATCAAAATTATACTGAGCCCCTAAGCCAGCACACATGCAGTCATAGAACATACCGTTGGTTATGTGGGTGGTTTATGTGAGAGTTCAGTTTTGGGTTCAGAAAATGCCGATAGCGGGTTTCAAGAGTAAGATTCTACTAGTACTAAACAAAGACATTATTGCTAGGTATTGCGTCGCAGCAACAAGATGACTTTAGCACAAGCCTTGTCGTTGTTGTATCACAATACCCGTATCTTGTTCAGTTTGTCTTATACTGAATCTGAAACTAGATTTAGAGAGCGACAGGGTGAGCATAAGACAGCTGAGTCTACCAGCAAGCGATCTTTGAATCGTTTGTCCCAAGGTTAAATTACAGCAATCATCCCTCACCATTGTCTCAAGGCAAACTAAAATATTGTATATGCGGTGTCAGAATATGATCAGGAAAGAACATACTGGGTGCCTGCTCATCTTTCTTATGTCGTTACTATAAGTTCCTCCTCCAAACTCTGGTTTCGTGGCAACAATTTGCGCCCCGAAAGATCTGACACGGCACTTTAACTATAATCAACGTCATGCGCCTTTTCACGAAGCAACTTCTATATATAAGACGTTGTAGCAAGATCCTCATTGTGGTATATCTCACTCATAGATTGCTCACAACAATGTGAGATCGTCACTTTCATGCCTACCCTTTCACAACTAGAAAAAGCAGGACACAATGGTCACACATTGTCAAGCCTGCTTTCCTCCTCATATAAATCTCGCCGAGATGCGCTTTTTGCGAAAATTCAGTAACCAGAGTCCCGAATCGAATCAACTACGCAAATACCCAGTATTTAGTTTACATATTATATTGAATCTTGTAGGTCATCCTCACCATCCCCATAGATATTCCCCTTTACACACAGTAGATATTGGCGAGGGTACACAGTGACAGTAACAAAGAACTGATCAACCGTCTCTCGACAACTTGCTGCTTAACGTACTGGTGCGGACGCGTGTTTGAGAGCTCAGGCAGCCGTTAGTTGAAGTTTGGTTCGGTCGTGAACCCTGGATTGTATCGTGAACCCTGGCTGAGTTGTAAAAACTCTTCCTGATTGACCAGTAATGGTGAACACATAACCAGAGCAACTTCGGAGGGTGAGCAGGCAACGACGATTCATGTGAACGAGCCAACACATAAATATACTTCGTACCTCAAGGTCAAACGAAAACACTTCATCCATCCATCTCATCTTTCTCCACAACCGACATTGACCAGTACTAATAGCCTACCAGATACCGATTGTATTCGTCGTTCAAGATGGCATATTCAGAAGACTCTCGTAGTGTGATCTCAGACAGCGTCTTATCGTCGTCGCCGACTCCTCCATCTTCCGAGTACAAACAACTCAAGGAGTGGCTCGTTTGGAAGTCTAGCAAGGAAGTGATGCAGCACTGCCTGGGTCTAACTGATCTAGCTGGAGCGCCAGTCCTTGCCAACAGCTTGGTATTGGTTTTTCTGGACACCGAGAGCTGGGAGAGTGATCACACGATTCTTACAGAGATTGGTATCTCTACAGCCGATTCTCGTCACCTGCACGCTGTAAAAGAGCCGGGTTGTCATGGGGAGGATCTATTAAAGACGTTCTACTACTATCATGCCCGTATCGAAGAGAATGCGCATCTGCTTAACGTCAAGTACTGTCCGGGTGATCCAGAAAAGTAAGTACCCCTTTCTCCGAATTACTGAAAGAATTGTGCTGATTCAACTTAGGAATCGGTTTGGTCGCACGCGTTTTCTCAATAAATCAGAGGCTCGTGAGTTTCTGAAAGGTGTCTTCAACTATCTTATCGACGCCACCCAACCAGAGCTCGGTTTTTGTCCAGTGGTAGTCGTAGGTCATGCCCTTCACAACGATCTCGAACAACTTTCTTCAACACTGAACTTTGACGCTAAGGTGCTTGAAACCGTTGTCAAAACTATTGACACGCAACAACTGAGCCGAGAGTGCGATTACTGGTCAGACCGTAACCCTATCGGCTTGAAGACACTTGTCGCTCAATGCGGGTACCAGTACCGGGACCCTCATACCGCATTGAATGATGCAGTGATGACCAAGATCTGTGCCGTGGAGATGGTCATGCCCGATAAGCTCAAGAGCAAAGACGTAAAACCCCTTCAGGTAGTTGTGGACCAGCTCGAGGAGCACAGTCATCAGCAGAGCTGGGACGTCGATTTAGGTACAGAGCTTTACTGCATTCGTTGTGGGTCGCGCGACCATCACAAGGACAATCGTTTTGGCGAGAGGTGCTACGAGAACGTCTGGTGTGACCACTGCGCATCTTCGACACACAAACAGCGTCAGCGCGCGAAACGTTCTCATCGCACCGAGTGCTGCATCTCCTTTGCAAAAGATTCCGCGTTCGCTAGGCGTCGCGGCTGAACGCAGAGCGGGGGCAGTGAGAGATCACTGGGATGAGTACGTGTTGAGGTCTGGACAAGGCTTACCGTGAGAGAGATTGTTTATATGGTTTTTGTGGTATTTTCTTGCACATGTTAGTCAGTCACATTGTCAATGAAGTATCTTCATTGAGAAAGGTATTGTCAGAGTAAATTAGACATATGAAACAACTATTTTGAAATTCTTATAGTATACGTTTTCTTCTCATAGTTAGAAGCCAAGTCAGATGTCAGGGATACCACTCCCCTATTTGATAACGCATCAAAAAAGACACTGAACGTCTAAAGTTTATTAGCAGCAAAATTTAGTTTTCGAGCTTTCGACAGAACCATTGATAAGTAGTTGCGGTGAAAGAAACTTGGTTAGCAGAATTCTGCTTGCTTCCGCATGGTAAATGCACGCGTGTCTGAGATATTCCCTGACCAAACCCAGGAAATTATACTTATGACCAGTTGAGCGTGACACTATGTCTGTATTTCATTTGGCGGTCGTGACTCTGCCATTTGCGCTTTGAGACCAACAGTTTCCATCCACCATGACCCATAAAGGCGCGCTGAAGCCGTTCTCTGTGAAGTTCACCACAAGTAGCTGTCCTCACTTTTGTGCAACACGGGTTTCAATCTTGATCGTGGTGGGTTATAGAGATAGGCCAGGACTTGACACTTCTGTTTTCTATCCCACCTGGTCCTTGCTTTCTAGAGCGATATTCACCATGGAATTACTCACTTTCACTCCAAAATGTCGTCGACTCGATTTCACTTGCCTTTTCCCTTCCCTCTTTATATAACTAGCCAAATCAGTTCGCTCCGGTATATCCGTTCCTCTCCTCTCATCCACCCGCGAAAGTGACTCTCAACCGTGGAGTCACTTGCGATATTTTCTTATCTTCTCTTCGAGTTCAGTTCTCTTAAAGATCTTTCTACTCTTCAATCAATAGTTTTCCTCTACTGCTATACATCATGAGTTCACGTAACAGCTCATCCAATAACGGGTCGGGAAACGGGAACCTAAACCCTCAAGCCGCAGCGTTTACGCCTGAACCCACAATACCCTCTGTAGCATTCCGCCATGCTCTCGATGTTCTTCGCACTACTTTCACCAGCATAGAAAACAACGATGCCACAGTCATGCAGCATTGCCTCGGTCTCTCTCAGATTGATATTCCCAGCTCTGAGCGCCTCGCCCTGGAACTTTCACGATACATCATCGTAGTTTCCATTGACACTGAGGCATGGACCAACAACGGCGACGAGATGACAGAAGTAGGCATGGCCAACTTCTCGCTTCAAGATATGCGCGCTGTTGTCAACACTGGCAAGCTCGGCGATCACGGAGAGTTCCTGATGCAACGCATAAGGTTCTACTTCTTCCGCATCAGGGAGCACGCCCACCAGAAGGGGAACACGCTCGACATGCGTGGAGCAGAGGGCAACCGCTTCGGCGAAGGACGGTTCGTTACATTCCCGGAGATGCGTCAAATCCTGCAGCAATGCTTCAATGTGCCGATTCCCGGCCGAACAGGCTGGAACTGCCCTGTTGTCGTCCTTGGACATGCCATCGGCCACGACAAAGAGAATCTGGCCAGAGAGCCACTCAGCTTCGATGTAGAAGCAACCGGCAACGTGATCAGGTATATCGACAGCCAGAGGATTTCACGCGACACTGGCCTGTCCGACGCCTGCAACCTGGGCAAGGGTAACGAGATCGGTCTCGATCGTCTTGTCACAGAGTTGAAGTTTCGACACTCTGACCCCCACACGGCTTGCAACGACATCGCCCGAACAGCGATCTCCGCTGTCCAACTAGTCCTTCAGAAGCGAGACCAGAGCCGCGCAGACGCCGACAAGCTGAAAACAAACTCCCGCAAGACAATGCAACTCGTCGCCGACGAGCTGGAGACATACAGCCGCCGCAACTTCCGGTCGATTGGTGGTGCTGAGAAGTACTGCTGGCGATGCGGCAGTGTCGGACACATGATTGGCGAGTGCAGAACGCCGGTGCGGTGCAAGAAGTGTGCCGGTGATGGCCGTTCAAGAGCTCACGTAGAGTCTCACACCACCATCCACTGCCCGTTTGCTGCGCAGGAGCGAGGCGAGGCGCGCCGACAGTTACATGCGATGGAGAGGGAGCGGAAGAAGGCCGAGAAGGCTGCCGCTGCACGACGGCACGGAGCTCATCGCGGCAGAGGGTACTTGTCACTGGGTAAACGTGGGCAGTCTTCGGCGTCGCATCGTGGGCAGGATCGTGGCATGAGTGGTTCCCGTCAGGACCAAGAAGCTCTTGTAAGCCAGTCTGGAGCTAGATGGATGAGTACGTCACACCCAGCACCATTTCGAACAGTCACGCCTACTCAGCCGCCTGCCTGGAACCAGGCCTCGTACGCCGGTACGGGTCATTCTCAAGCATTCGGTCGTGGAGTTCCCGTGCATGCTCACTCAACATGGAACATCACCGCAGGCGTGCCTCCCCCTGCGATATCCCAGAGCCTGATGCCGCAGACTGGGACTTGGGGTGGGCGTGATAACAACGCCTTCTTGACGCAACAGCAACTGTCAAGTCATGGCTATACTCCCCAGAACTTCCAGGGACTAGGCGATGCTGTTGCAAACAATGGATTCATGGCTAGAGGAAACCCTTCTGGTCATGGTGGGTTAGGTAACGGACCTCAATCCAGCGGCGATGGACGTGGGACGTATAGGTTTGGTAACGGGCGCGGTCGAAGTGACAATGGTCTTGGCGATCGAGGTGTTGGCCGTGGGTATGAACGCGGACGGGGTGGTCGAGGTAGCGGATTGTAATATCGACTTACGTCTTCCATTTCACGTAGACTTCTTTTGTGATAAGACATTCTTGGAAGCGAAAAGAGCGGCGTTGTTAGCACTTTCGGTTTATGACTGGAAATTCTCAATAGATATGACGTTCCACTGGTGTGTACATTATGACAAACGTCCTAGATTGAGCAAAGATAATCTTTTATGGTACAGTGACCCAGTAACCCCGTCTCTACTTTCTACGCCATAACTTCCTCCAACCACGGATACACAATCCCATTTGCTTCTGGGTATCCCATATGTGCTCTACCCTTGACAACCCTAATCTCCTTCGACGTCCCATACTCGCTCAACAACGTGCTATCCTCGATAGGCATACAGCCATCCAACTCGCCGTTAACAAGCAACAACCTGCAACTTCTCATACCCATACCAACAACAGCAACTCCCTCGCCCTTTCCACTCACCAAGCTAAATTCGTCCTGACAACGAGTTTTCATCTCTTCGAAGTCCTTATATCCGTATTTCTGTATATACGCTTCTTCCAGTCCAAAGGGATACTCGTGTTTGTCGATTTGCTCGAGCCATTCGCGGCCGATGTAGTGGTGTGATCCCGCGCCGTGGCCGACGCTGCCTAGTAACTGGGCTTTGTGCGTATGTGCGAGGCGGATGGCGTAGTATCCTCCTGCAGACAAACCCCAGGCGATGACCTTTTTGTTGTCTAAGTAGGACGTTTCTGCGATCCACTCGAGAATGGATGTGAATAAACGATCAGGAGAGAGCGGGTCACGCTTATTGGCAGGACAGTCTACAGTCGTACCGGGAATATCGCAAATCACGGTTGCCCAGCCGCGGTCGAGGTGTTCTTGTGTACGCTCTGTGTTGTCCGGGCGGTGGCCGTCTAGACCTGTGATGAGGAGTATAGTGGGAAATGGACCGGGACCGGAGGGCTTGCGTATGTACAAGGGGATATTGTCGCCGTCGCCGTTGGCCGCGTGCTTGTGTGGTATCTCGATATCTTCAATTGGCACCTCCCAAAGTTTCGTGCCATAGAAGTAGGCTTCTTTCTGCTCCTCGAAGACTTTCTTCTTTAGCTCTGTGCCAATGTATGGAAATCTAGCTAGTCGGAACACTGCATTGGCACGAAGATACAGCGTTTTTGCCTTGTCCTTGTCTGTGCTTTCCAACTCTTTCGCTTCTTTGGCTAATCTCTGCGCAGTAGGTAGGAAAGCATTGGTGTATGCGTCATCGTACGGATCATTGATATTGTTGTCAATGAGATGGTTGAAGATAGGCTCAAAGTCCTCGAACTTGCCATCGTGGAAGGGATATACGCCACGTTGGCATGGCATCTTCCATCGCATTTCCCATAGTTTCTGAATGCTGCCGCGGTGGCCAAAGTCTTTTGTGAAGAGGTCGCCAAGTATCCAGTTTCCGTTTGGCATCTTGATCGTTGAAAGAGGTGGGGGTACTGGGGCAGGATGCTACTGTAAGGTGTAATACGTGGAAGAAACATTGAAAGTAGGTTTATTATATTACTATTATAGTTATTGTGTATGTCTTCTCGGTGATGGCGGGGCCGGCTCTGTGGTCCACTCGTCTCACACTACGAGCCGGTCGGACCCCCACCATTATAACGATGCCTCCTCATATGGGCGTCTCTGACGAGTTGGCGAAACAATCGTGAAAAGTAATGCGACAGATCTCTGGGCATCTAAAAATAGGTTTCGATATGCGCACTATCCAGCCATCTTTTCATCGTCGCTCCCTTTCTCTGTTCGCTCCGTATATGCGAGCAGCACTTTTACTAACTTCGCTTTCGCCTCCTTCCTCTCGAAAACCTGCGAGTGATCTGCCGTCGGCCACCAGAGCGTCTCCAGTCCGTCGCCCTTCCACTCACTGGTTTTCCATTTCTTGTCCTCGCTCTTCAAATCTGTACTATTTAGGTATTTTCCTATCGTATCCGTATCAACAATCAGATCCCTTCCACCCAAGCTTACAGTGACGCGACGGTTGTGAAGATCCTCTTTCCAGAGGATGTTGTGCGCCCAAAAGAAATGCCGTGCGAGCGTGTGCGCGATCATCATGTCTGTCGACGCAAAGTAGTACAGTTGCAGCTCGTTTGTATATCGTGGAGTTCGCGCAGTGAAGTTGTACGCTACGTCAGGGAGGTGCAAGAGGAATGTGACTGGGTCGATGAAAACAATAGGTCCAATTTTGGCGGCTGTTGTGGGATCCTTGAGAAGATGGGTCGAGACCACGGAGCCATAAGAGTGACTCGCGAGAACTACTTTGTCGAACCCATGCTGAGCAAGGATAATGTTGACCTGACGGCAGATCTCGGCGCTGCGAAGGATGGGTTTTGTGATGTGAAAGCAGATGGGCATGATTTCCAAGGCGATGACACCGACCTCTCCATCGTCAGCCGATTGGATGTCGTCTTTGCTAATCTGGCTCAAGAAGTTGACGTATGGGTACAAGCCAATTCCGATGCCATGTATGAAGAGGATGGGAAGACGCGTTTTTGAGGTATGTGGACGGTACCAATAGCTTAAGTCTGGAGCAGAAGAGATCTGACGTGTAGCAAGGCTTGCGATGCGGGGCGGAATCATGGACAGCGACGAGCTGAGGCTGGTGCGGTAGAGGATAAAGCCATTGACGCGTAGACGCGTCGCCGTGAGAGTATCAACAAAGAGAACGGCCTATAGCTTATTAGCAAGATGCTGGGAGAGGGGGTAAGTTAACCTACAAAATACCATATAACTGGTCGGTGCAGCATCCTGACCTCGTCGATTGTCAATCTCAGGCTCTTTGCGCTACCCCGCCCAGGTTCAAGCTTCCCCCCAAGCATTGTCTGTATGCCGTCCGCATAGCCATCTAGCTCCTCCTGTTCGTCTCGACTTTCGTCTGGATGAGACTGTATCCTCCTTTTCTTCTCATCCTCACTCTCTGTCTCCCGGTTCAGGAGCGCCCACTCAAAGAACTCCCTTACATTCTCCCTCTTGATGTCGCCGATCCTCGCGCCCAAAAACCATCGACTCAGGTAGTACTCAGGATGAGGGATATTGTCCCAGCACTTCCAGAAGAGTGCCTTGCGCTCTTCTATGCCTAATGGTGGTGGATGGTGTGCAGAGGATTGGAGCGCGCGCTTGCGAGGCAGGAAGACGAGCAGCCAGAAAGCCGTCTCGATGATGCTCCACGTGAGGAGGAAGCGCCCAAAGGCTGTGGTCGGAGGTTCGGCGATGCTAAACGAGGCGTACAATATGCTGAGTGGCGTGACGGCGCGCAAGCCGTATATGCAGATCTGTATGAAGATGTACCCAGGAATCGTGTGGTCTAACATGACGGCGGTGGATCATGCAGGTTTGGCGGTTGGCGAATCGAGTGTATAGCAGCTCAGCCGTAGTCGTTCAATGGGAGGAGGCACATATATAGTTGCGGCGTTGAGCTGGGCATAGTGATCAAGTGGCATGAGCGGGTTGTACTTTCCTTCAACAAGCAATGACGCGTGCGTTCCTTCCTGAGCTACGCGTTACTAAGCGAGTGCTACTCCCAATTTCACCCGAGGTTGCTCGCAACAACAACCTGATCAGGTACATCCACATGTCGCATGCCCGCAATTATCACCATTTTTTCTACTGCACTTTGAGTATGTTTGCACGTGTTTTTCGGAACTGTGACCCGAATCCTCTAGGCGACTGGAACCGCCAGGACGTGCATCTCAACAATGAAGCAGCAGGTATCGCAAAGATAAAGACTACCTATCAGCATCTATTGCCCACCTTCGACCGATTATCTTTGGGCATCTTCACATGTATAAGCTGAAGTCACAATGCTATCAGGAGACACGCGACAAAGACATAGACTCAACCGTGCATGAAACAATCACAGGGTGGCTGGTATGCAGCTTGACTCCCACCAACGATACCATGTGCTACATAGGTTTCAGATGAACCAGACCGATAAAATCGACTGGTTATATATCTAGTGTAGTTTTTTGAGCTGATATACTGTGCAGGAGTTGGTACGCTTGAATCAGGATATCCTATGCTGGGCCGGCGTCTGCAACGTCCACTTGTAGGATTGATAGGTCAGAGTCAAGCTGATGTTGCCAGAACTTCTTATGCTACAACAACCGTTTTCCTAATCATATACGCCTCAGTATGTATAATTGAAAGCAGTCGCCATGGCAACGCTGATATCGTCCTCAACCTGCGGCTCAAAACCTGAGGCATGATTCCAAAATAGCAACGTTTATCGTCTAAGATCACAGTTGCGAGTCCGAGAAAAAGTCTTCATGGTCATGTGTTTGACGATCAGGCCTTGAATTTTGTTGCCTGGAAGATACCTGCCTGGACGTTTGCATCACTGGCTATGGCCTAGTTATACGTTCGTAGCACGAAGCAGCTAACTATCATTTCATCTCCAGTAGTGGTTTCATTTGTTGGAAGGGTGGACTCCTTCATCAGCTTATACCCAAGATTCTAGGTATTATGGGAAAAGCTTCAACTTCAACACCAGAGCCCTGGCGAGACTTTACATGTTTCAAAGAGGAGTCATTTTTTTTGATGGGACAAAAGCTCAAAGGACGAGAACACCTGGAGCTTATTGAGGTGAAGAAGCAGCAGCAGCAGGAGCAACACGAACAAAGAGGGATGTCAACAATTAAGAGAGCCTTACATAACTTACCATAGTGAAATGACATGTTGTATCATTAGCAAATATAATCAAATAATTACGCCTAACCATGGGGGGATCCATTCAATACACATAAAGAACCGGTGACAATCACAAAAGTTGCAATGTCAGCTGCATGAAGCCCCTGAAAACTTAATTTGATGGTGGGACGAAGCCGCTACCCGGTCGATAGCCACGTGCAAATGCGTTCGGACTTCTTGCTCTGGAATTCTGAGACTCGTAACGCAATGTGAGGAAGCTTTCTCCACACCACTCGCGTACCTTCATAAACAGACTTGACACCGAATACGAAATGCGTAAATGGCACCGTGGCGCGAACGCAACGTGAGTCCGCTACGCATTGGCTGCCAAACTTTCTTGCGGACGTCCTTCGGCAACTTACAAGGTCAGCTGTAGTCTCGAAAGCTTGTGCAATAGAGTGGATTTGTGCGTTGGCTCTTTTCTTGGAAACGCGTACACCGATAGAACCCCAGATCTGACCCCGGGAGCGTGCTAACTTGAGTGAGCTTAGAGGCCCAATATTTCCCCACAGCCAAGCCTCGCTGTAGCCAGTCGAGAACATCCGCGTTATCCAGAGCCTCACTATCCCCGGGGCTGTGAGTCGGACCGTCAATTATATACGGTATTGAATTCGTTTCGTGATGAAACGGCAGGCCGGGCACCCTCAAGTCTCCTCTTGCGAAACTTACGAAGAGAGCTGAAGTGTTGTATCTTGTTTCTTGTTTCTTTGCGCTATGCAGGCTTCGGTATGTATCATGCGGGAAGGAGGTCTTGATGTCTCGATGCGATTGAGCGACAATGGGAGCTAGAGGCGCGAAGACCATGGAAACCTCGCTAAGCCTAGTGATGTGCTGCCGTTGCCGTCGCGGATGAGCAGCCTTGGCGGGATTGATCGGACGTTACTCCTCCAACCTTCACCATCCCACATCAACACCTCTCCTTTCTGAGCGCATAGTTTGCGTGTCCACTCGTTTGCCAAACAACTACTGCTTTCCGCCAGCCTTCAGAGAGGATATCAACGCATTACAGTCGACTTCCTTAATCACAGCGCAAGGGCTTGTCTCTTGGCTGTATAAACTTCCACGGTATCGCGTCCCCAACTTTCTTACGATCAGCGGAAGCGATCCTTTAGTAGTACTACACCGGTGTCGTCTCTTTATAGTATTGCACCCTAACCGGCTATCGATCTTGTCGGCGGTCCGACTGACTTGCTGGTGACAATGACGATGACACGAAGAGCTACTGCAAAAGATGATACCGTCACGGCGAGTAAGTTGCTTCTCTTGTGAGGGGTCTTCGGTGATTATCGATTAATAATATGAAGTTGTTGCAGCAGGTGTCCAAACGGCGAATGTTCGTGGTAGCGCCGAGTCCGATTCGCAACGCACTCGCAACGCGTCTCTTCAACCGCGCGATGCGGACACCTACAATCGCGCCACTTCTAAGATTTCGATACGTCAACTTTTTGAGCGCGCTTGCAGATGTTTGACTCGAAACCGAGACGAGAGAAATCGAAGTTGTCGCCCCAAATGGAAACAAACAATGGCAATAAGCATTATGGTCAATGGCCGTGAAGAGATCCGCTATGGCGTCGTGTTGTTCGACCCACAGTGCGAAGAAGACATCGTCTCTTCAGATTTCGCAACCAAGCTCGATCCGCAGCTCAGATTCTCTGCTGGAATACCTTTCGCGACCACCATACTGGGTGGTATTATCGAGAGCATTGGCGAGCTAGATGCACGATGGGCGCCTGCCAGCATTCAAACTGGACGGCAGTCTTTAAGGAGTCCTAATTTTCGGTCGCGCTTCGAGGAGTCACACTGCTACATCGTTCAGTCAGATCATTTCGACTTCATCGTAGGCGCGAAGACCATCGATAGACTTCACCTGTTTGAGTCTCGCAATCCCATGGTTGCTGCTTTCAGGGGCCTGTCTCACGAATCGAACGGTACGTCGAGAATACCAACGTTTTCGATGATGACTGACAAATCTTTCGCAGCCGATATTATCTCGCAAGAACAGAAAGACGCTGATGAACGACGGAAGAAGGCGAAGGAAGAGTCACTTCGGTATAGACAACAGAAAGTTAGTACCTCGAAAACGCGGAGACACAGAAATACTGACATTGACAGCTCCAAAACAAGCCGCGTAGTCCCCCCTAATCAACCGCCACATCACCGCACCGCCTCCACGATGACACCCAACGCACTTCAGCCTGAACTTGATTCATTACCCAGATCAGATCTCGTTTACTTCAGTTCCGCCAAGGGGCAGATCTGGGTACCGAAAGTCGTGAGGGGTTTGAATATTTTTCGGCTGTACTGTTGTCCCACGTATACGGAGGTCCAGGTCATGAGATATAGTCTGTTTTCGCGTATTATATCTTGGGGAGACAAAGGGTTGTACGATATTTATGATAAGATGTCTTGTGTTGTAACGCGTTCTTATCGCAGCAGAACTTCTTATTTCTTGTCCGTTGTCAGGAATTCGCGCAGCATAGTTGGGCAGCGGCGTCGCACACATTCTGTTTGGGTTTCATCCCTCGAGATCGGACGTACGCTTTTCTATAGATTTCTACTAACTTTTCAGCACAATCGCCTAAACTTGGATTTGTTTCCTATTTTGACCTTGTTTGGCAAGGCGCATAGGGACTTCGCGACTCTCATGGATAGAGCATGGTCAACTACCAGAAAAATAATCGAAAATAGGTATAAGAACAACAGATGCATCGATCATGATGAGTTGTTCATTTATCACTTTCCCTTAGGTCGATATTCGCTGACATGTGAAAGGAATTTAGAAGAAGGAAAGGTTTCTGCGAGTCGAGCGGGGTAACAGATTAATACATATTACAAACACTTGCCGCAAGACGTGTAACCATTGGTTGGTACCACGCGCCAGGGTTATCGATCGCGCCGGGAACCGCGTTGGCTTTGTTTCTCGTATTTGCCATCATTCAACCGACGCTCCACAGAAAATCTAGCATAAGGGAAGAAGCACGCATGTCGTCTCCGCTCAGTGCACCCTTACCCCAGTCGCATACCAGGGAGCAGCCAACTGTTGATACCCGAGTTGGCGTGTTGTTTCTCCTGCCTGTAAGCCACACCCTTGCATCCGGGATGTGACTTGTAGAAACTCGAACACTCGAAACAGCCATGCACCGTTCGATCCCTAGGCCTGGTTGCTTTTGTCTGACGCTACAAAAACGACCTGTACTGCAGCGAACCTACGAATGTCAGTCTTTGAGACAGAGGAGAGTTTGCATACATACGCAGCCGTGATGGCAAAGACCTCTACTCGCTTCGCATTAGCGAATCCCATCAAGCAGACCGAGACAAGAACGTTAAATGCAGCGATAATCCCGAGTTTTGCTGGCATAGATTGAACACAGTACAGTACCACGATGGATGCTATTGGAATCAGGGAAGCCAAAATGCTAGTGATCCAATATGTAATCCTATAGATTGTGCTGTCATCATACCCAATTGTACCATGAACTGCAGAGGGTTTCAAGCAACGAGCGAGACAGAAGAGATTTGATATAGCTGTTTTGGCTGCCCACATGGAAAACGGGTCTTTTTTCGCGCGAGGATGCAGGGCGATGAGATCAGGCTTGTGCGAGGTTCGGTTATGCATGGAACCCCATATCGTTGAGTCCTCACCCTCCAACACGAGCGTTCCCATCCTTGGATTCTGCAGGTAATCCTGGATATAATGGAGATCCCATCTTCCAGGCTCGGGGTAGTCGAGAATGACGGACTGTTGTATGAGTGCATGGTCTGTATGAGATAAGCGATGGTTCTGATCTGTACAAACAATCACGTACTGTATTCCCTTAATGTTTCTCTTATCCTCAAGACGAGTTGCACTTGCCGAGCGTTCTCGTCGCCTTGAAGTTCTGATTCTTGGAGCCAGCTCCAATTCTTCGCGTATGATGACCTCTTTCCCTCCTGACTGTTGCTATCTTCTACCTGTTGCTTCTTCAACTCCTGCTCTAGATCAGAAAGCTCTGCTTGGAAATAAAGTAAATTTTGAGCATTCAGTGCACCGAATCTTCGATAGATTGCGATTTCAGGCTGAATCTCAATCCTGGCGGCAAGTTTAGGATAACCTATAACCACGTCAGGAAATGGATCGTGAGACGCCATTCTATATCTTTATGGAAAACAGTATGGCGTGATGATGAAATGCACATTCAATCGGTCATGTCGCGTACTAGAAAGGCTATGGCTTTATGTGTCAGATGAGAGGTCTCAGGTTCTTCGGGTTGGAACAACGCACACGATTGTTGTGTGGTACACCATCCTCTCGTCGTCGAATAGTTGAGAGGACATGCGAGGTCTTGCATCAGGCTGCGTCAAGCCTCCTCGAGCAGGTGAGCCTGATTTGCCTTAAATCAATCCACCGTAGGCTACATCGCGATCACAAGGTGTTTTTCATTGTAAGGCAATATTATAGACATGTAAGTAAGCCTAGACTCGTGAGGTCCCAGAGCTAGAACTGAGTTTGAGGATGAAACAATCTCTTGGCTAGTCCTGAGGGGTCGGGCCGACGATGTGCGGGGACAGGAGACGCACATCTTAGCTTCCAACGACCAGGGCCCCTAGCTTGTGTGATACCGTATCGCTTTGCAGACATTAGCGGTCAGTGCGTTGCATTTCTTAGCAACTAGCGTGTTCCTATATACGTGGGCGGCGGGCGGATTGTACTGTTATCGCCCTTCATCCAGCTTCTGTGGGAACTGTTGATATTCCCCTCCTCACATCATGGCCTATTGTAGCCTTTCACGTCTGTTCCAATCTAGAACACAGGTCTGAAATTTCTGATAATTATAGTAATGTGCCAGTGCTGATCGTACTTTAGCGGGAGCCAAATCTTCAAAACCCAGCGCGAATAGTGATACGCTCGCAAGCCTACCAAGACGAAGAGACATGGCGAAGTGCCATAATCTCGTGCGATACAACCTCAGACGACAACATCATTTCGCATGAACTCGTTACCAAAGTCCTCTGTGCATCCATACAGTCGATAGACAAAGAATGTCAAGGCCCTTTGCGAACCCAGCGTTACGGCGAAAGTATCAACGGCTATGTTGATTTAGCTTGGTGCTTGAAGAACAATGAACACAGAACGCACAAAACTCGATTTTTCGTTACCACGTCTAACAATCCGCCGTATGACGCAGTGCTAGGAAGAAGGGATGCTGAGCAATATGGCATATCGAAACCGAGGAACAAACGTTAAAATCAACATCCGATAATCCAACGTTACACGTGAGCCATTCAATTTTGACAGTCGCTTTTAATATTCGCGCCCCTGGATGGTTCTCCAATACATGGCAACACATGGTACCCTACCTCCGAACATACTTCACACAGCGTTCGACATCATAGATGTGGTCTCAGGAACAGTGTTGACCTAGGGTTCCTGCTGTGTTATAGATCATTGAATCCTGAAGGTCGATGCCTGATCATCAAAACGTACTCTGTTCGCGTATTCCATCTTCCAGCGCCAACGTAGCAGCGCATGGTCATATCATTCACATTGCTCTATCTTAGAAGTATGATCGTGATACTTTGCTGGGGCGGCTATTTGCGCAGACCTTAATCCTACCGATTGGCACAACTGCGTTACAGCAGTCATCGTCGTATCCGGATTGTTTAGCGGCAAAGTGCCTGCAGATGTTAGCCAACAGTGGGCCTCTCGTCTCGACAGCCACCGCAAGCCATCGTTAATTTGGTGCAGTAAGAGTCCTCGGATAAAATAGGGGGTAACCATGTCACCAAGGCGAATCACGGTATGATCATTCCGACCCACCAAGGCTGACTGTTCTATGCACATGATGAAATATAACTGGACATTCGGAGGGTAAGATGACGCGACAATAGCACAGCAGAAACCCACCCTAGGAAACTCAAACCATACATGTGCATGCCAATCAGCCTTTCATGCAAGCACATCATCGATTCACCCGCATCAAGACACATCTCATTGGCCGGGCTTGCAGGGACGTCGAAAGGAAACTCGGCTTCATGCTTGTATCAAGTTAACCTCGGTTAAAATTGATTCGTGGACCCAACCTGACAGTTTCCCTCTCCATCAATCCATTACGACCAGCATATTCCCTGGAAACACGACCGAGCACATCTGTATTGGGTATGCTGCCCCTACTCGGATTTGATCATACGGTAGACCTATCGACTAGAGATGTGCCAAGCCTTCGTACTACTTACTTGAATGCTTCAGATACACAAAGCGGACGGGTTTTAGGTAACTAGATACATTTGATATATGCCAAAGGTCGAAATCAACGATTGTCCTTGCTGTTACCTGATGTAGCATTAGTCATTGAGGACTGAATAAGTATGCCCCGACCATTATCAAATCGTCACTGTAACAGTATGCCTTGAGAAAGGATTGAGGTGAGTTCAGCATCTAGATGAAGGCTATACTAACTTGTTCAGTTGCCGAAGCGTACGACTGGAGGCCGTTTCGAATATGTACATTTATTCTACGTGTAACAGACTACAACTCATCATGCTGTCGGAAGTTGACCGTACATTGGGACAAGAAATTCTGCGGAAACTGCTGTGTCAATCGTGCCCACACGGCTGCGCCATGTGCTACTGCTTCTGTTGGGTCGATATCTGTCACAACATTCACTACTTCTGTCCCCACCGCCATTTTTGCAATCATACCAAGCTCAGAGATACTTGGTGCGGAAGCTTCGCCGACAATAACAATTGCACGGATGTCATCGCGGTGTTTCTCCAGCAAAGCCTTGTTGATAAAGACATCCAGGAACTTGGCCACCTGATCTTCATATGCTCGCGCGCCAATTCTCTGTGATACGTGTCAGATGATGCAAAAGTCGGAGAACATAGGAGTTTGAACTGACATCACGGAATCGCTCTCCACAATCTTTGCAAATTTCTTGCTGGCTAACGTAGAACGTCCCGAAGTCGAAAGCCACTTGCACAAACCAGGCGTAAAGATAAGCATCTTCGTATTCCAGGACCACGATCAAGGACTCAGGGCCGTCGTCATTAGATTCTTCGAGTGGCAGCCCAAGGTGTTTACCTTCGAAAAACCCGTATCCATAACATGCGGCCTCTCGAGTCAATCCAATCTTGAGGGGTCGCTCCAATGAATCGTCGGGAAAGACTGCCTCAGTGGCAGCGTATAGTGTATCGCGATCGAACACTGAAGGAAGGAATAGGGTTGAATATTCGGGCTTATGTCCTAGCTGGCTACTCAAGCTCTTTGTGACGAGAGAGATGATATGATCGAACATGGATGCCACACTCTTGGCATCATGGGTCTTATCACCCTGTAGCCCATGCGTGTAGACTGCATCCTCATAATATACCTGATACTCAGGACTGACCGGATACCTTGTAATCTCGATAGACCCGGAGGCGTTGAGTCTGGAAGCAAATATCGTAGTGGGACTGAAAGTAAGTCCGAAGGGACTTTCGAGATTATTCTCCTTGTCCGCGTTGGCATATCGAGCGAGAATGGTGATTGTGGAAACGTAAATGAGGGAGCGCATTTTCTGTAACAGCCAGTGGTTGTAGATCATGGCCAACCATGGGATTGCAAGAGAAAGCTGCATTGAACCTAGCCACGGCGTCAAACCAGGTTGGACCTATAAATTTTCCTGATTATTTAGCTCGCCGTACATGTGCAGGATTTAGACTTTGCAAGGACGACCGCGCCCCATCCTTGCAGGATGCACAGCCCCCGCATCCGTACTGTATTTTGACGATTGGATTCTTGATTGGTAGTTGAATTTTGCATCGCGAACGCCCGATATGGGTGCCGACTACTGAAAGAAAGGATAACTCCAAAGCACCTATGGTTCTGATCGAGACTGGTACCACCACGTGGAATGATAGTGTTTTTGGTAAATCCAAGTTTAGGCACCTCTTGAATTGGGGTTCAATATTAAACTCTGAGATGTTCCCCAATATGCGAAATCGACAAGAGGTTGCCTCCACTACATCGCAATGAATCCGTTTATCACAACCTTCCTTACTGTCCTTTACCTCATGAGGTCAACTTTGGCGAACAATTTCATCATTCATGCGGAAAACGCAATCTACCCTAACGATATCTCCTTCCACGAGTAACCCGGCTGAAGTGACTTCTCAAAAGCATCCTTGAACACTTTCCCCAGACCAACTCTCTCCGAAATCCCATTGGGAAATGTCTGGATGAGTAACACATAGTACAAATCCCATTGCGAATCCACACGATCTCTGGGAACGTAGAAATTCCAGCTATCATGCTCTTCTGTGCTGAAATCTCTTGCTTCAGAGATTGCGATAAATTCGTACGGCCCATCGCCGGCTTGCGTCCATTCGTTTTCAAGCAGAACGGTTCCACACCAGTCTCCCTCCGCATCTGAAAGACTGCACCAAGACAAGCCAGAGACTGTGTCGGTATCCTCGTCGCCCCGAGCGGCAGGTGTATCAAGCCGGAAAAATGCAGAGTGAGTGTAAAATCGAAGATACAATGTCATATCAGACGGATACTTGTCGAGCGGTCCACTGAGGCCCAATCTATGGAGAACTGGTTCGGACCGAGGTTGCGTCGGTAGAGGATCTCCTGTCTGGAAGTGACCATATGGGTTGGATTGATAGCCTCTTTCATATCCTTGCCATCGACCTGCAGTCCCCTGATGATTTCCGTTCCAAACAAGTTCAGCTCTCCTTCCCTCCCTTTGGACATACCAGATTATCCATGTGTGGGAAGTGAGCCATTCATGAAGGTTCATAAGCACCCCTTCAAGCGTTTCGTAGCGATATTCGATTGCGTTTTCCCAGCCACACCAGGACCAAGATGGATACGATGAAATCCTCCTCAGTGAAGTCTTTGGAGTCCAAAGCAATGCAAAATCGAAATAAGACGTTGGTAGAGCGACTACGAAGTCTGATTTCAGATTGACGCTTAATAATTTCTGTATAGCTGAGAAAGCTGGCAACTTATCGTAAACAAATGACAGGCGTCGTTCTGTGTAGAGCTGCACGCTTTTAGTGTACTGTCGTAAAGGATTCTCAGAGAACAGTCGACCTGGAACGTCTTTCAGCTCGAGAGACCATCCATTAGCGCCCCCGTAGGATGAGTTGCTTTCCATGTGGATGTCTTCACACATCGCAGACTGTCGACACTGGAAACACACACGCCCATCCACGATTATTAGACATCTGTTGGAGCATAGGCGCTCTTGGAATGTCCACGCCCGAGAGTTCCATGTGCTCCTGTTGATGTAGAACTCGGCGGATTGGGAGACCATCAATTGCACGTCGTCGTCGTAGTTTCCAATGGTCTGTGAGAATTTTCTGTCGTCCCTGATGATTCCAGGAATACCAGATCCAGCATCGCCATTGGCAGCACAGATGGTCAACACTGCCCCAGTGTAAATGGCGTCCATAACGCCGATCGTTTCCCTCTTATCGTCTATAGAATCTTGAATTATACAGTAGCGATCAACCCACAAATACTTGTGACCCAAAAGCCTGGTCAGTTCCATCGCGTCTCTAACCGTTGAAGAGACGTGAGAGGAGACCTTTTGAAGCCCTCCAGGGCGTGAAAGGTCATCAACATTGGAACTTGTGGTTGCATGCCCGGCTTTACCTCCCCAAACGTAACTCAGCGCAACGTAATGTCCCTGTACATCTGTGGTGATGTATTGTGCATCAACGTCGATTGCCCTAAAATGGGAACTTAGATAGAGCTCCTTGGTGGGAGTTGATTGACAGGGTTGACAGTCAAACCCATGGCCCTCTCGACAAGCATCGATCCAACTACTGACTCTCTCCATATCCACGATCGACGGGTCGACTCTCCTTCCCAGAAACTGTGCATTAGAAAGTCCTGGATTCAGGAGAACTAGGTGTGCATCGGAAAGGGAGTTGTCGGTAGTGAAAAGCCGAAGACGTCGTGTTGAACGTGTATCGATGGTGTAGTCATTGAGAGTGCGTCCATCCTTGATCCATTCGAGAGCACATACAACTCCATTTTCCAAAAGTACTCTAGTTTCCAGGTTTCCAGGGTTACTCTCGATGAGTGCTGATACAAGGAGGCGGCAGAACGGACAGCAAGAGTGACCTAGCATAACATCGGACCGGGGCAATATGATTCTATGGAAGCTGGCTCCATGATTTTGGGATGTTATGCTGGAGCCGAGAAAACACTGCACAGACAGGTTGAGGTTGGCACAGAACTCACAGAGCCTGTCATCTTGTTGCTGGAGTGACATTCGAGGGATGTCTCTAGGGAAAGTGGTTATGACACAAGATTTTGAGTTCTATACAATGGTATGAAGGAAGGGCCGGGTATCATAAGCAATCAGTTCCAACCCATTGCATATATCGTGCATGCACAGCCCCGGCTCAGCCTCAGCCTGGTTGAACCGCCGATGATATTTATGTCGTTTAGGCTACATCTAATCTTCAAGCCCGAGATTGAGATGTGAGGCGTATACACAATTTGCCTTGCTCTCGTGAATGGTCGAAGATGTCGATTGGGGGTGGTGTACGGTGTTATTCTGTGATGGCTAGAACGACGCTAAAGGTACGCTAGGCCGAATAGAGCCGGCCTAATCAACTCACGTTTCCCATATCGTGCCGCACCACTCCAACCACCATGCCGGACGGCTGCCTCTCGCCTGGGAACACCTCTTCTATTGAGTTATATCCATATCCTCTGCACAGCGCAGATATGAATGAGTCGCGATGAGTCATTCTTACACGTTCACGCTCCTCAGGTGCAGTACCGCATATGGAATGTGTAGAAGTGATCAACCAATCCTGCAGCACGTCAGTTAGATATATATCCATTTGGACGACAGACATGCACACTGTGCAGAGCCGATCGACCCCAATTGACCGTGTTCATGGTCTACCCCGGCTACTGTATCCACTCACAACAGACGCGTCATGCAATGGAGATTTGAACCTCATACTTGTGGCTACCTTACTAGGCATGTACTTGTTCCTTCAGAGTGGGTGTATTTTTTAGAGCGTTGCTTATATGCAGCATGCATTCCGTAAAGACTGCTATCATATCATGGGTCACCTATACATGGACGTCGTGCCGACATCTCATACCCATCTCACATCAAGGACGAGCTTCAGACATTCCGACACAGCTTGCAAAAGTTACCATCCTCCTGCCCTCCTTGAGCGCCTTCAGTTCGTCCTCAAAGTCCTGATCCCACGCATCTTGCAGCCTCGTCGGCTCCCATCCCAGCAGCTTCTGTCCAACCGTACCCCTCACGGCCTTCTCGCCACCCCAAGCAAGGGTGGCGATGTCGACCCGTCCAGCACCTATTTTGTCGGCGATCTCCTGAACCGGTGCCAAACGGATTTCTTTCTGTTGCGGCGTGTCTCCCCTCGGTAGGTCGCCAGCTGCAAACGCAACATCAAGTGCTTTCTGGTTGATTTCAGTCACCAGCGTACGGCCCACAGTCGGAAATAGGATACCCTCTTTCCCAGTAGGAATGAATCCTACGCCGCGATCCGGGCGACTGAGGATCGTTCGAACAAGCTGGACAAAGTAGCTTGCAAGATCCTCGATGTGCACCCAGTCGAAATTTGCCGTCTCGTTCAATTTGAAGCCGTAGCCATGTTGCACAACAAACATCAATGCCAGGGGAATCACCAGGCCTTGTCGATTGAACTGCCCGGTTCCCTCGCCAAAGATACACGGTGCTTGCAGACTGACAGCCGCTACACCGTGTTGTGCTGCAGTCTCCAGCACCGTGAGTTCAGTCGTGCGCTGCGAGTACGGCGTCTTCGCATCCAAGGAGGCCATGTACTCGAAAATCGCCGCGCCGTCTTTCTCATCGTTCCACTCCCGCGGCTTCTGCGACGGATCCACAAGATTCGTGCACCCGGACACATGGAGGAACCAAGGCGTGGGAAGGCCAGCCTGTACTCGGCGAGCGAGTCCATCAACAAGGGCTTTCGCGCCTGAGGTGATGAAGCCGGACCCGGCATTCACGATGATGTCGTACTGTGCTGCGGTGTCGGCGATGACTTTCTCGTCTTCTTCAAGGCCTTTCCAGAGGATGGGATGCACGCGGGCGCCATATACACTGCGTAGTTTTGCGGCTTGAGTCTCGGTCCGCACGAGGAGGGAGATGGGCTGGGATGTGAGTTTGGGGTCGGCGAGAAGCTGTGTGAGGACTGTGCCACCGACATAACCGGTTGCGCCTGTGAGGAGGATCTTGCTCATGTTTGCTGTGAAGAAGGTAGTTCAATGGGAAGTGAGATTGAGGGTGTTTGCGATGTTGTCGCAGTGAGATGGCGGAGCCTATATATCCTTGTGAGTCTTGCAGGATGTGTATCCTTGTTTGCTCTCTCCGCGGCGTTTGCGTTTGACGTGAAGGATCACATATATTAACCTGGTATGGGAAGTAGCCCCGCCTGCAAGAACCAACCATCTCATGTGGGGATTCGGGCAGGAGCGACGCAAGGGTTGTGAGTGTTTGTTACGCACGCACCATCACCATCACTCACAACCACCAACCCACCAACAGCACGGCGTCGAGATTCCACCCCGGCATAACAAATTGCCATGTACGGGTCTCCCCGCTTTTCCAAACACACACTCCTTGCCTTTCAACGCTTGAGCTGACTCAAGATCGCAATCCTACATCTAAATCATGAATCATGCATATCGGTGAGTGTTACTGATTGGACGGGAGAGTGGGGTATACATACCTCTACGCAGTGGGTGAGCCGGACGGTCTCGGGACAGTACGATTGAAAAGTACGGTTCGGATGGGCTTCTATTTTGAATACTAGCGCAACATCTACGTAATCTTAAGAATCCACGTGATAGGAATCGTTTGTATAGACTATTACTACTAAATCTTCCTTTGCTCCTCTAAAAATCAACTCAACGCTATGTTTTTAACGCTGACTTGCAAGAATCAACAAAAATCAATTGATTGCTCCGACCTGTGTTTGAACTTCCGACCTGTAAAAAGAATAGAAATCTTTTACCGACAACTATAGAATAGAAGTCTTGATGTGAAGTTGTATAATATTGTATAATATGTAGAGATACGAAAAGATGGCAATGTGACAAATTATTCAGTCAACGCACTTTCTGAAACAACACCAAACAAGCTATGTGGGGCGCGCGTGGGCGGCTTATTGAGCTCGAGATCGGGTGGATTAACGGTGGGGATGACGATGGGCGACGATTTTGACATTCTAGAGAGAGAACAACAAGAACAACACGAATTTGCGATGATTGGGATAACTTAAACAGTTGAGTAGTGAACGATTTGTATGGGTTGAGTAGTACTAAACGTTCTAATTGAAACTGTTGTTGGCGGAAAAAACGACTAATCTACATCTAGTATTCCATCCGATCTCCAACCGTACTTTTCAATCGTACTGTCCCGAGACCGTCCGGTGGGTGAGCGGCGTGGTTAAACCATACATTGTACCCATGGCGATAAGCACCATTCCTTGAAGATCCCAAACCGCTTTCTGTGTTGTTCTGTTGCGGGGTTGTATTTGTATGTTGGATTGAGCTAGGTCACTCGCGGGATGACGAGCGGATTTTGCTTGAGCTAATTACCACGAATTATTCCTGTTTGTCTCCTCTTAGCATCTACGGTAATTATTAAGAAACTCACTAACTCTGTGGGACACATTTTCTCATATGCCTTAACCAAACGTAAACACACTAAACTTCAATACCTACTCCAGCTTTCAAACAACATCAGCACGCCGAACAGTAAAATGTATCATCAAGAGACAACAAACCAAAGCGGGCAATATTAGGGAGTCACCGTCTTACACAATTACCAATATTCAACAGTAAGGCTTAGAGCCAATACCACGTGCCACAAATCTAAACTAACTCCGAGTACTCCATCACCCCCCACAAGACCTAGCTCTTCCATCGTGTTTTAAACATGCGACAGATTCCAACGCTCCCCGCACCACCCTCAAAACAAAACAGACACGACCTAAAACCTCGACCCAATTACAAGATGCGCGGAAGACCAACGAGCCCCACAAGCACTCCCATACATTTCCCCACGAAAATCTCAACTGGCTAGAATTAAGTTTGTGATACATATCGCAACGGCCAAGTCAATCCGCATAACTCCCACCAATTCCCTGCGTTGAAGAACCGCTGAACCCGCACTTATGCATCAGGCCACGGACTGAAGAGGAGACTGATCACACCATACTATGCCATGCTATACATCCACCCCGTTTCGTCAGATGCCCAGACTTCGAAAGTCAAGATCTTATCCAACAAAAAGAAAGGAGACACTACTTCCCCATGCAGTATCCGCGTCGTTCAGGAAACGAACGCAGAACAAGAAGACATACGATACCAAAGTACGTAATCGATTAAGATTCCATTCCATGACTATATCATCCCATTTCCTCCACAGAATACCGTGATTAAAACTCCATCTGCCGTACTATCTGGCTAATAAGCCGACAGGCAGACAGACAAACACAGAGAAGAAGTTGAAGCAAAACGAGCAAAACGCCATAAAACAAGACCATCCCCATCCCACAACCCCCTACAGCATCTCCTCACCCCCTCCCCCTCCCTCCCCGCCGCGCCCCCATCAATCTGCCCATTCGCCCGTCCCGCCCTTCTCCCGCGATCCCGATCCAGAATACTCTGCAGAGGATTCACACTACTCTTCTCGAAAACCGGGGGCGTATAGTACGGCGCGGGATTATCTGCGAAGAAGACCTCCGCTCCTTCGGCGGGTTTCGCAATACCGCTATCCGCAAAGAACCCCTCCTCCCCCGGTTCACCAACCGCTTTCAATTTGCGACTTGTATGCAAAAACGAACATCCGACTTTCCTACACCCCACCCCCGTACCCTCAAACCGACACGCAAGCTGCCCACGCACCGCCTTCGTATTCGCAGCACTACCAGCCCGCCGCGCCCGGGGATCATGCACCATCTCACACGCCGCACCGAGCGAACACGCACCGCTCGCATACCGCGGACAGGGAATTCGGGATGTCGGGTGTTGGTAGGTACATGAGTTGCCGCGGGGGCATTTGTTGTGGAGGAAGGGGGTGCATACTGAGTTTTTGACGGGGGCGGGGGAGGGGGTTTGGAAGTAATTTACGTTGCTGAGGTTGCTGGGACTCTGGCCCGACGGGTTCAGTGCGTTACGAACTAATTTCTTGGCCGCAGCGGAGAGCGCGGGGGTTTGCGCGAAGGCTGCGGCTGCGGCTGGAGCAGGGAAGATAGAACTCGTGTTATTTAAAGCAGATGGGTCATGGCTCCGCCGACATGTATCGCCGAATCTACAGCTGCCTTTTCGGAAGTGAGCGCAGATCGGGTGGCGGTATTGGCATGCCGCGGCGGTTTTGTGGCACTTGTGGAGGAGGAAGTTTAGGCATTCTTGTGGTTTTTGGGGATGGGCAGGGAGGGTTATGGTGTGTGTTTCCGGGTGCTCGATGCCGGTCATGGGGTCTGGGGGGTTTGTGTCGATTGGGGGTTGGTTGGGGGTGGTGGGAGTAGGGGATGGAAGGGTGAAGGGAGTAGGAGTGACTCCGAAGGGTCCGGTGGTTGGTGGAAGAATAAATGGAGCTGTGGATGTTGCGGTCATGGAGGTACTACCCGTCGACGAGCCGAACGACAGATCGAACACGCTAGGCTGCTGCGTAGACGTCGAAGACGCGAAGGACATATGAAGCGGGTTGGGCGCCTGAACCAGCTCAGCAGCTTCACGCAGCGTCAAACAGATAAAATCCACATCCCTCTTCAGCCCAGCAAGCGGCTCCAGATCCTCATGCGGGACCAGCCCAGATTGCAGACGAACCATCGCTCTGAGCTCCCACTCAGTAGCGAGAAGCTCTGCTGCCGTGTACCCCCAGCACTGCAGCATGTACATGAAGCAACGAGCCTGCGCGATGACGTTGACGTCGAACGCGAGCAACATGTCAGAATCGGTTAGAAGGTCGTGGGGCGTGATGGTCCTGATGAGCGTGTTGCTTGAGCGCCAGAGATCTTTCAGGCCGGTGAGACAGGCGGTTTTGTCTGGCATATTCAGGGCTTCGAGCTTGGCTGGTGTTACTGTACCGGTGGTGACGAGATTGGTGAGGTCTTGTAGTGCGAGTTTGTTCGTTTTGCCGGTTCTTTGTAGGGCTTGGCGGGCGGTGGCTTTTTCGTGGAGCTTGCGTTGTGTTTCTTCGTCTTTGGCTTGCTTTGCTTGATGGTGCTCGGCTTCGGTTTTGAAGATGAGGAACTGGCGCTCGAGGTCTTCCTTCTCTTCTCTGGTTTTTCGCGCTTGCTGCTCGGCCGTTTCTGCTCGCTGGCAATGCGCTTTCTCGCGCTCATCTGCATTGCGTCGAGCTTGGATATGCCTATCGACATCATCCTTGTGGCCCGCCTTCACTCCTCGAAGCTCTTCCCTATGCGCTTCCCGCAGCTCAGCAAACTTCTTCTCATACCCATCTCTCAGAGAAATAAGTTCCCTCTTGTGCTTCTCCACTTCATCAGAGATCATCGTCTTATACCCGTCTTCCTGCGCCCGTAGTTCTTTCTCATGGTCCTCACGCCGAGCAGCAAGCCCCTTCTGATACTCACGCAGCTTCTCCTCCGACACCTCGGCGAGCTTCTTCTTCACGACCATTGCAGCCGCGTGCGGAATGCAATAGATCTCATCTGTGCTGGGACTGTTGAGTGACAATCCCAGAGGGTGTAGGAAGTCACTGCAGTACTGGGTCTTTGCTACTACGTTGCGGAGATTGAAGTCGAAGCTGCTTGTGTTGATGGGTCCCGGCGATTGGTCAGTGATGGGACTGTTCTGCTTCAGATGTAGTGCATCGAGGGCGTTGCGGATGTCGTTAGGTAGGGTAGTGGCGAGAGCCGCTTGGATGGCGATCTGCTCGCGTTGGGTGGCTAGTGCAATGAGGATATCGCCTAGGTGGGAGATGTGTTTAGGAGTCTCGACTTTGCTCATGATCTCTGTGACTTGAGCTCTGTACTGATCCATTGCGGTGCGATCTAATTCGGGCTTCTGGTGCTTCTTGAGCCAACCACAGTGAGCTTCAAAGCATTCATCGACGATACGCTTCATGAAGTTAGTACTACATCATTCCAGAACTCAGGGTCGGCTTACCTCGACACTGGATTTTGGTTCCCACTTTTTGATGTCGCGTGTCATTGGACGACGCTCCTCCCGACGGACCTTAGAAGCTGTGACATTAATCTTCTGCGACGATGCAAACTGCTGTGGACAACGTTAACAAGACATTCGAGGTCAAAGTATATCAGGAGAAACTCACAATGAACGCACTCTCTTGATCTTCATCAGCAGATCGCTTCCTCTTAGCATTAGAAGTCGACATGACGTTCTCGGTCAACGGTAGGCGTGGTGACCTGGCAGACGTAGTCGAGATCGGCGTTGTACTCGTGGAAGTAGGAGGCTCTACAACAACTATGGTGTGTAGCGTTTGATGTGACATATAAGACAAACCGACCACAGTTGAACAGTAAAGAAAACAGCTACGGGGTACTTCTCACAATGCGAGGTTCTAGAGTAAGCAAATCCTGCTCTTGACGTAACGGGAAACTAGCCCACTATACTGATTCGAGCTTGTGATTAGAGTATAGGGAAAGGGAAAGAGTGTTAAGGCCCGTGCCATGACACGAAAGAGGTCAGGAGAACGTTGTGGAGAATAGAATCCAGCGTGAAAGAGGGGGGTTGGATTTGGTTGTGTGATATAATATATAACAGCGATTGCTCGCATTGTTTGGGCCATGGTACAATGTCTTTGGTCTTTGGGGGAATTGAGTCATGAGTTGAATATGTATATAGGGACTGTGAGATGGATGTTCATGCGCATTGAGGGATCGAAGGGAAACTCTTGATGAGTGTGAGATAGAGGGGATATGAGATTGCGTGCAGCGAGTTGACGGTTTGAGGGTGCATGCAGATATTCATTATGGTTGTTGTATGTGCTGTTGTGAGGCAAACTTGATGGAAACGCCTGCTTGTTACTCGCCTTGATTCTAACATGGTCTTTTCGGTGCCAGTTCCAAACTCGATAGGTGCACTGGCGTACAGTAGAGTGACATATATGGGTCGTGAAGCCTGGCGACATGTGTATCTATCAGAGGTCAGTCTTGCATTCGAGACCCTCCTGTGCGCATTCATGTTATAACTCCTCGGTCTTACTACGGTGCATATAGGTAGGACCCTGCTGGTTGAGCATGTCATGTTCTGTGACGACGCGCGTCCAAACGTGAGCGAGATGGAGATAGACAAGCGAGGCAGCACGTCGACGAAGCGGAACAAACAGCAACCAGACAAAACTACGTCAGACCAAGTCATATCCAACACGCACCGAGTGAGGTCGAAATAGAGGCGGGCCGCAGACGCCACATCGGCCATGTGCTAGCGGCAAAAGCAAGCGTGGGGACCATGGATGTAAGGGACGGGAGAGCAACCAGGGCGGACGATGGTGAGGCGTCATGCGCGTGGATGCATCCGCGCCCGTGTACCCTCTTGAATGCTTCATCGAACCGTGTAGTCACCCTCTCCAGCACCCGCGCGACGATGCGCAACCCAATCGCCTGCGTGTCGTGCCGTACGGCCAAGCAAAAATGCCTCCACAACGACGCGCCGCCGTGCGATCGCTGCAGACAGACGGGGCGGGCAAACGACTGCCAGTTCCCCCAGCCAGGCACGAGCTTCATCCACCGCAAGCCGAAGCGCCCGCGCGTGTCCGAAGAGACGGCCAGCCCACAGGCGCAGGCACCGGCTCCGGCGCAGTCGCAGGCGCTGTACCGCCAGCGCGATGACGTCCACTTGCCGAGCGGCACTGCTGGCCCTGCCGCCGCGCTCGTCTCGCCAAACGCGGCATCGTCGCAGCTCGAGGGGCTGGACGCCTTTGAGCTGCTGACGGACGAGGTCAAGAACAGTTATTTGCGGTGCTCGTACAAGTGGTCCTTCCACCACACCCCCACGCTGCTGCTGCGGATTCGTGACCGCACCCTGGAGATATGGATGGCCTGGGCGATTCTGGCGCTGGCCATCAGGTGCGCCGCCCGCTGCACACGGTATGAATGAAGACGTTTGACGCGCCGCAGGTTCGTCAAAGACCCGCCCGCGCCCTTTGCGACGCAGACTGAGGCCAGCAATGCCTACGCCGCCCATGGTGCGTTGCCCCCTACTCAACACCCCGCCGCCATGCTCACCCCCCCGCAGCCCGCCAGATGCTGCAGGCCGACCTCGAGACGCCGACCATCAGCCGCGTGCAGGCCCTCCTGATGCTGACAGGCCACGACTGGGGCGCGGGCAACGGTCGCCGCGCCTGGATCTTCCTGGGCATCGCCATCCGCCTGGTCGAGGTCCTGGACCTGACCCAGGAACTCAAGGTCCCGCGTAACCGCATGCCCACGCGCGAGGAGTTCATCGAGGCCGAGGTGCGCAGGCGGACCGCCTGGACCTGCTTCCTGATGGACTCGCTGCTGAGCGGGGGCAAGGGTCGGAAGCGGTCGTTGACGGCTGCCGATATGGCCATCCAGCTGCCGTGCGAGCGTGAAGGCTTCGTCTTCGGCGAGCCCATCTGCACCGAACAGCTCGACAGCACCGTGCGCATGCCGCCTGTGGCTCTGCCTGTGAGCGAGATTGGCATCATCGGATACAGCATGCGCGCGGCGAACATCTGGGGCAAGGTCGCGCGCTGGGCCTGCTCTGAAGACCTCAAGAACGAGCTACCGTGGGCGCCCTCGTCGCAGTTCCAGCAGCTCATCTACGAGCTCGAGCGGTGGAAGAACTCGCTGCCCCCGCGCCTGCAGTATGACCTCTTCTCCCTGCACAGCCACAACGCCGTCGACCAGGGCCAGGCCTACTGCTACATGCACAGCATCCATTTCATGAGCTACATGTTCCTGCACCGCGCCTACCTGCCCGTCCTGGGCCCCCAACAAAACGGCGTAAACTCGGAGGAAACACCAAACTCGTACAGCGAGCATAGCGAGATGTGGAAGACGTGGCAGAGGACGTCGCGCAAGGAGCTGTTCAAGGAGTCGACCATGGTGCTCGAGATGCTCGAGGAGATGCGCACCTTTGGCGTTTTCTTCCTGCGCGGCCTCGTGCCCTGGATCGGCTTCACCATCTACACAGCCGTGGGGGTGATGCTGTACTCGTTCAACTACCCCAGCCGCGACGACGACCCACGTATTTGCGAAAAGTCCCGCGAGCGCGTCATCCGCGGGTGTACTTTTCTCAAGGAGATGAAGACGCAGTGGCCCATGGCAGAGACATGGGTAAGCCATCCACCCCGCACGCACTCCACCAACACCCCTCTAACCAACCCCACAGTTCGAAACCATCAAGCGCATGCAAGCCTACTACCGCTCAGTCCTGGGCCAAGACGCCCCAGCCTCCCACGAGGAACGCCAAGCCCTCCGCCGCGCAATGGTAGACTACGGCGCCCTCCAACCCTCCCCAGTGCAGAAACACGCCGACGCGACCAAAACCCAAGAACGCATCGTCGTCGCCTCAAGCCACTCGCCCGCCTCGCAGTACCGCGATGTATGTCCCCCCCCCCCCCTTTCCTCCCATTCAAGCTAAGCTGATTTCACAAACTAGCAAAAACCCACCATATATGCAACGCAATCCTTGATTAGCCCCTCCACGGCTGCCCAAACGCCGAACTTGTATACATCGCAGTCTAATCTCTCCTGGGGTACGCCGCATGCGGTGCCGCCGTTGGAGGCGGATGAGAACTTTGATTTGGGGGGTTTTGATTTGAGTAGTGCGGATATGGAGGAGATTATTATGGGGGCTACGCAGGATTTTTGGGCGAGCTTTCCCGGTGAGGTGGGGGTTGGGTATCAGTGAGGGGGTGGGGGTGGCCTCCGAGGTGGTGCAGAGGCGAGGCGGGTACTTGTACTACTACTTCTATCGATTGTTTTCTTGTCACCCTTTCTTCCCTCTTTCTTCCCTGTAAACGGTAATCTGTATCTCCCAGTGTTGTTTATGCGCCTTCTCTTCATGCCCAGATCTATCCACAACGTCTCACTACCCTCTTGCGAACCGTTCCTCGGGAATCAGGATAGACATATCTACATCCCACACTCTCCCACCTTGTCGATTAACGCATCATCTTCCCAGCAGCCAAACGTCATGTGCTACGAATATCTAACAGGACACATTTGTTAAGAACAGCGTAGCTCATGCTGCCGTACTATATACGCGTATAACATAGAGATTGGTCGGGCAGCACAATACTGAGGTTAAAAATAGGTAAACCTAGCTTTATCCAGAATGGGCTTTTCGCGCAGATACTCAGTCGCACATGACGTTTACGTTTTGAGAAGGAAGTGCGTTTCCCAGAAGTAGAGGCATTTTTGTGTGCGGTGTTGGTGGAGAAGTTTCAAGGTGGAGCTTCTTGGGAGGGAGGTGATGTGGGGTTACAGTTATCTAGTGATGTGTGTGCTTTCTTGTCAGGGTAGGGTGTGTTTGATTGGGGGGATGGGGATACTTGCTGGGTTAATGCGTAGCTGCGGAGGAGGGGAGGAGTTGGTGTAGAAGTAATAAAGGCTCTTCTCAAGGGTCATACGGTGAAAGGCTTGACATGTTCCTTTGTTCAGCGTCGCAGGAGCAGCCCAATATAGAAGGAGTGTAACACAGGCCTTCCTATGAAGTTCACGTAACAGCTTCAACTCCCCTTCACCTACTCTTCACCAATGGCCAAGTCGGTGAGTGGGTCAACGTAGCGTTTCCAAATCCAGCAAAATTCACCTTCACTTCACCTCCTCTCGCTTATATACCTTGACGACGCACTACTACAATTATCCCACACTCTCCTCTCCCCTTACCTCCTCCATCCTCTTCCAATTGTCCTACAACAACCCACCAACTCCCTCAAAATGGCACGCCTCAGCGAAGAGCACTTCAAGCGCACCCCACTCACCCCCACGCCCACCCTCCCAACCCGCCGCCCAAGCCGCTTCAAAGAGATCTTCAAACCACGCTTCAGCCTGAGTCCCAACGCCAACTCGTCGTCCAACACACTGACAAAGGCCCCGCCGCCACCATCTCCATCACCCCAAACCACCATGACACCGGGCTTCGAAACAATCGGCCTGCTGCCTAAGGAACGCACCTCCCCCTCCCCCTCCTCTGCTGTTCCCACACCCCAACAACAAGGCACAACCAGCGGCGCCGAACTCGCAGAGGAGCTGAGAGATGTAGGTGTGCCGGGTGGTATGCATGTGCATGCGTGTTTTAGAGACTTTGATGGTGCGTATGCGATTACGGAGGAGGGGTTCAGGGATAAGGAGGGGAGGCCGTTGACGGAGTATGAGGCGGATTTGGGGAGGGCGGAGAGGGCGGATGGCGGGGAGGGTGGGGATGGCGGAGATGGTAGGGGTAAAGGGACGGATGGCGGAGATGGTAAGTCGTTGGTTCTGGGCTTTAGCTTTGTAGGGGGCATTGCTAATGGTGGTTAGGTGGAGTTGATGGACTGTTCGATGGGGCTCGCGCGCCTGAGCGTCTGGATTCGCGTTTTGCCAAAGGTGAGTGAACTGGTTTCCTTCTCCTACCTTGCGTGTGAACGAACTAACTATGTGGTGTAGATACGCACGTCAACGAGGAGAAGAGCAGTAGTACCCGTCGCCCCTCTGCGTCTAGCATCTCGTCCTCCTCCCCGAGTCAGAGCATCTGCGATTACATCGACCGCCAGACCAACAAGGCTATCCTCGAGCACGAGCGCACTCACACTCACACGCCAACACAGTCCACGACGCTTACCCTGACACTGAAACTCACCCCTTCCCTCGGGCCAAAGGTTACCACTTCGACCACCAAATCCATCGGTCCCTTCAAAATCTCCGACGCGCACCTCGCTGCATCCACCCAATCCCTCATCCTCACAGCATACATCCTACTCTTTCTCGGCGCGGCGCTTGTCGGACCTAAGACGTTCTTCCTCACGCTTTGGCGGGTTGGTGTATTGTTGGCTGTGTATGCGGGAAGTGGTTGGTATCTAGGTTGGGGTGGTGATGGGGTGGAGGATGTGCTGCTTGCGCCGGTTGGGTGGGCGGTTGGGGGTTTGGGGGTGGAGGTGGAGGGGGAGGGGGAGGCCACTCATAAGTTTGGTGTGAAAGGTTAGAACGTGGAAGTGTATTGGCAACAAGAAGGCGACGAGTGGCTTGTAGTGGGGAATTTCTGGATACACATGTGGCTTTTCACGTTGGAGAGATTGCATGGAGATGCGAGTTCAGAAGAAATGGGAGGTTGACGTGGGAGTCTTTAGCCGGGCAGAATTAGGTCATGCCTTCTTCGTACAAGTTCAAGGGTGCTGGATACAGGATATCCGACTCAGTGTTTGCCGTGCCCTGAAGTATCAACGTAGCGGCTCGCCTTCTTTCTCATTACTCTAAATACGTACAGCAATCATGGTATCGAAAACTTGGAAAGTACGCACAGTTGAATAAATCTCAAACATCCCGTAATCATGCAGATCTTAATCGTTTCCCTTTTTGCTTGCTGGTGGGCGCCTAGAAGTAGCTTCTACCCGATACTGACTTGGGTTTCCAGGCGCTGTTTAGTTGCTTCTATGTAAGGAGAGTTTTCGTGCTACTGCTTATTTAGATAGACGCCGTGCATTTGTCTATAAAGCTAGACAGTCCGAGACCATGAGCAGTGACCATGCTAAACTTCAGTATCCTGATATTGCATGTCAAGAGCTTATACCGAGAGATGCAAAAAATTATCATCCGAACATACCTTCATGAAAACATCGACGTGCTCCCAGTTTCCCCCCACAATATGCGCATTCCCTCATCGCCACTCACGCTCCCACCGGACTATCAGCCCTCTTCTCTCGAGGCGTGAGCTTCATATCCAGCCCGTCTTGCTTCACAAACCACCTGCACTGTGTTAGCAACCATATCCCCACTTCTCGTCGTGGCGAAACGTACCAGCAATGCTGTTCCGGCAGCCTTTCCGGGTCTGCAAGCTCGATATCGAATTGCATGAGCAGCGAAGGAACGAGTTTGGTGATTTCGATCCAACTCAAATCTGTTGTTTGGTTAGTCGCCCGGCCGGCATTTGAGTAAGAGGAAGAAAGGGGGGGCATACTCCTACCAATGCAGCCCCGGGCGCCGCTTCCAAAGGCGAAGAAATTGCGATCTGGGATGGCTGGTCAGTGGGTTTCGTTCGTACTGGAGAGGTGATGCAACGCACCCATGATACTTCGATCACCCTCCAGCCATCGCTCAGGCCGGAATGCCTCGCAGTCCTCACCAAATACCTCTTTCTGTCTGTGGATGACCCACGGGTTTGCGCCAATGATGGTCTGGACTTGCGTCAGTGCCGCGCAGCCCAGTTCATGACGCGGTACTTACACCTGCGGGGATAAAAACACCCTCATACTCGAATCCCTCGGCTGGCACAACACGCGGAAGCGTCATGCCCACTGCAGGATGCATTCTTAATGCCTCGTAGATGACGGCCTGCAGATACGGCATCGCAAACCCCGTTTTAAACGGCATGTTTTGAGTGGCATCAAGGCCTTCCTTTTCAATCGTCTGCCTGATTTCCTCTACGAGCTTTTCTTTCACACGAGGATCCTTGCAGACATTGTACAGCACAGCCCCGATGCTAATCCCCGTCGTATCACTCCCAGCGAAGATATTACTCGCCGCCATGCTCAACACGCCATTGTCGTCGAACTCCTCGGGTTTCTGGTCCTGCACGTCTTTCAGCGCGGCTAGGATGTCGCGATGGTCAGAACCCCGGCCTTTGCGGTTCTCGCACTCCCTTGCGGCGAATTGCCGAAGCGAGCCATTGCGGTTGTTGACTCCAAGGTAATTGCCAATCACCGGCATGATGAAGTCGTGCAGCCAATAGAGCCAGGGAACCTGACCAATCCAAGCCGCAGAAAGAAGCGCGTCGTCGATAGCGGAGAACGAGCCGTCATCTTTGCCAGCGGAGAGGAAGCCAAAGCGGCGGGAGAAAGTCACCTCGCCGATCACATCTGTTCGCTATGTCAACAATCATCTATGAATTTACTAAGAAGGTTGTCCACACGCACCAAAAGCAAACATCTGCGCCCATTTCCCCATATCAACTCCCTTCCCACCCTGCCCCACCTCCCGCACCCGCTCCAAAAACAAATCTAGCGTGGAATCCACATACGGTTCCAACTTCCTCAGCTGATCCAGACTATAAATATTACTAACCAGCCTCCTCTGCCTGCCATGTACCTTCTCGTTCCTCTCGCCAAACAAATCAAACGTGCGATGCCCCTGCCAGACCGAGTACCAGTCGCTTTTCCAGAACTTGGTACCAGCACCGTAAATAGTTTTCAGGGCCGCTGGGTCCGAGATGCTGACTTCGTTTGGCGCAGTGCGCACGAGGTGGCCATGCTTCTTGTGTAGCGCGATCATGGTCGTATGCATGTCGCCTTTCCGGCTGCGATGCACCATCCAGAGGCGCGAGAAGCGCGCCCGGAAGGGTCCGGGGACTTTGCGCAGAGGGTCGGCGAGCCATGTGTATGTGAGGGCTAGGGCAACGAGGGCGACGAGGATGGGGGTTAGGTTGCCCATTTTGGATGGATGGATGGGTTGGGGAGGGAAGTGGGAAGGGAGGAATGTGGAGAACGAGAGGGTAGGTTGGGGATGAGGTCAGACATCATGCTATGCAATGCAGTGCAGTGCGGATCTGGGGATAGAGTTTAGAATGTGGAGTGCTCCACACTATGTCAGTCCTAATGGAGTTAATCGTGTACGATGCTCCGCACCCCGCGTTTTCCGGCTCGCCGCCACCTCGGAGACTTTGGGCTGGGTATGTCATGAGGGTCGTAGTGCTGAGCGCGAAGTCGGGGTCTTCATTGGATAGGCTGCAGAATACGTAGGATGTTGGTCGTGAACAACTCTACGCTTTGAAAGTTTATGTTCACGTACATCTCCAACGATGTAAAGCTTGTTGTCCGATTCCTGACAATGATAGACGTCGGAGGATCAAGACTGCCGACGAGCCATATTCATAATCGTCGGGGCTCCGGGTGAGATCCACGTGGGGTAAAAACCGAGAGATCCGCGAAGCTCGGTCGAGATTTCTGGTTCAAACGTCACGTCTTTCTCGGCTTGAATTCAATTGGGAATCTGAATTATCCAGCGAGAACGCACGTTGGAAAATAACCATGGATTGGAAAATTTAATACATGTAAATGGATTTGTCAACTCGCACTCCTCGGATGCGGTTCCGGAGTTGCTTATCGCAGTTAAGCCACCGCCGATCAATGAAGCCATGATGATCCCTCGATACCGTCGCAATCTTTATTTCCACAACATCTCCTTCCACAAACATCACCACCCAAACGACACTGTCGTCATAAATCTCAACCTCAACCATCTCCCCACAAACAACCGCAAACATGGCGAACTCCAAAAACTATGATCTCAACTGCCTCACTATATCCGAACTCCAAGTCCTCGCCGCCGAGCGCATGGACAAGCAAACCCGCGACTACTACAACGAAGGCGCAGATTCCGGCTCAACACTAGCAGAAAACATCTCAGCGTACCAAAAATACCGCATCCGGCCGCGGGTCCTGCGCGATGTCTCTGCCATCGACACGAGCGTGACTGTATTCGGTCACAAAACTAGTATTCCGCTTGGAATCGCATCTACAGCTATGCAAGGCCTTGCGCATCCCGATGGCGAGATAGCCACGGCGCGCGCTGCCAAGAAACTGGATGTGGTGATGGGATTGAGCAGCTTTAGTACGACTAGCTTGGAGGACGTGAAAGGCGCGTTGGGAGATTGCCCGGGTGCTTTTCAGCTGTATCTGTTTGAAGAGAGGGCGAAGAGTCAAAAGCTTATTCAGAGGGCGAAGAAGGCTGGGTATAAGGCTGTGCTACTGACTGTCGATACACCGGTGCTGGGAAGGCGGAATCTGGAGATTCGGAACCAGTTCAAGTTGCCGAAGCATTTGAAAGTGGCGAATTTTGTCTCGGACGCGAAAGAAGAGGAAGGCGAAGATAAGGGTGCCGAGGCGATTGATGAGAGCAAGGATACGAAAGAGGATAATGTTGACGCCACTGGGTCTGAAGGTAGCGGGAAAAGAGCCCCCCCTTCAGGACCCATCACCTTCCACACACATGCTGCCAATCCGACATTGAACTGGGAACACGACATCGCGTGGCTCCGAGAGCAATGCCATCCCGAAATGGAAGTCTGGGTAAAAGGCGTTGCGACAGGCGAGGACGCGATCTTAGCGTGCCACCACGGTGTTGACGGTATCATCGTTTCGAACCACGGCGGACGTCAGCTGAACGGTGCGATGGCAACACTAGACGCTCTTCCGGAAGTAGTCGAAGCTGTCCGAAGCCAGCCTCGTCCTATCCCCGTCCATGTTGATGGCGGTGTTCGACACGGGACGGATGTGTTCAAGGCACTGGCTCTTGGCGCAGACTTTGTCTGGGTGGGGAGACCGATCTTATGGGGCTTGGCGTACAAGGGGCAGGAGGGCGTTGAGCTCTGCCTCAAGCTACTCGGTGATGAGATCAAGTTGTGCATGGGTCTTGCAGGGGCTACAAGCGTCAAGGACATCAATAAGGAGTATCTGGTGAAGTTCGACAGGAGCGGGTTCGTGAGCCGTTTGTAAGATCGACGAGTTTGTACTTTCTTTCGTCTGATACTGTATAAAGCCGAAGTTATACGTACATATTTATTGACTCACGTCTTTCTCGCCAACCAAACCTGCGCTTTATACGCATTCTTCGTCAAAGCCTTCCCGTTGAATCCGTACTCCGCCCCCGTACTCCTAACCTTCCCATCCTCGAACGTCAACGCCCCACACTCATCCCCTATATCTTCGAACACAAAGCCCACCTGCTCCACAACCGCAATAATTTCATCCAAACTGAGCTGCACAAACGGGCCTGTACCGTATAGCAGCGGCCCGAAGTTCAGCCACTGACCACCGGGCCTCAGTAGCCGGTAGATGGTGTCGAAGTAGCTCATCAAGTTGCGCGCGGTATCGATGAAGAAGTGCGTTACAATGACGTCGTATTGTCCTCCTTGGCCGTTGAACGCGGTGTTGAAGTCTCCCTCGACAAGGAGAACGGATGGGTTGGGGGGTATGTTGGGGGCGGTGACTTTGCGGAGGAGATCGTCTGTGGTGGCATGGTGCGACAATCCGTCTATGAAGGGGTGCATAGCGAATGAGACTTCAGGAGTTCGGTTCTCGATGTAACGGTAGCCGACGTTCATGTACATTGACCATTCGTTGAGTGTTACTTCGAAGTCTGCTGCAGATGAGTAAAGAGAAATCGTGATCGGGTGTCTTGCGTCCTACCTCCGAGATTGGCGACTTCGTGACCTAAACGTCCGACTCCGGAGCCAGGGAGGAGGATCTTGAGTGGCTTTCCGCTCGGAAAGGTTGTTTTGAGGGTTGAAAGCGTAGTGAGGATACAGGGAAACGCATCGTTTCGTTCTTTGACCCCTTCGTCCGCCCAGTCTCTTACAAAATGCTTCAATGTCTGGGATACACTGATGCGATCAGCCTGACGTCCACTCTTCTCCGCTTGCCAAATATGCTCATCCAATTCCCGTTGTTCAATACCATAGAAATCCTTCGCGTTCTCCACAATATCCATGCAAAGGACTGCATTGCGATAGATCAACTTCTCAATATCGTCGAGCTTCTTCTTATAATTCACCGCATGCTCCAAGGCCTGCATAGTGGTTAGCTCCCAGTTTCCTCAAGCCGGAATCGAGTGTACCTGTTTCTGCTTCTTGCCGATATTCTTATATAGTCCGCGCCATCTATTCCGCTCTGCCATGTTACGCTCTCGGTATTTAGCGAATCCAAAAAGCGCTTCCAGAAGTCTTCGCCGTGGGTGATTCGCATCCCATTTACCGTGACGCCGTTTCATCCTTTCCATCAAATGAGCCTTCTCTTGTCGATGCCGGGGGGACTCGCTAAGCGCCATCGAACCTATCGCCGATAGACCCTGTGCGGATTGTGCTACATTGTCGACATATAATGCTTCCATTGGCACAGTGTCGGCTGGAGTGGCTAGGGTAGATGTGATTGATCCTTTAGCTGCTACGGCGGGAGTGCTGATGCCAACTAAGAGCAACAACAGACAAAGTAGTAGTGGAGATCTCATGCTTATTCTCACTGGGACTTTGGAATGCGAGTTGTATCGCAAACTCCAAAACAGCGAGGGTTCATTTCTGAGTACCCTGATGTCTGCCAAGTAACTGTGTGGTATTAGGTCCTTGGTCTTTGAGTGGCGATCTTGGAATCACAGCACGGTTTGGAGCACTCAAAACACACTGGTGCCAGCATGGAGAAAGAGACTCCTCCCTTCATGTTCCTGTCCCTGTTTGCCATAGAAACCGCACTGGCTCTTTCTGAGACATTTATTCCAGAGCTACTCTTCCAGGCGTTGGTGTTCATTTCTTTGTTGTTGCGTGGTTTTCGAGCCATGATTCAGAGTAGGTTCACTCGTTGCGTGGTCCATTTGATGATGTCTCGTTCATAGTTTGCCTCATCCATACTTACTGATGCGCTCATCTGACGCGTCCTCTTAGAGATCTTTTGACAAGAGACTGTGACTTATCTGATGCGACATGACAGTTTGAGATGTGACGCCTATCAAAGTGCCCTGTCCCAGATTCCACACATGTGACTTGGCGAGTAGCAAGGTAACAAGTTGGTCAGGGCGCGTTGTAGACTTCAAACCTGTCTTCAAAGTCACCTTTCCATTTTATCTGCTGTTTCAGCTTGATTCACTGTCACGAGTCGTTGCTTGATTCTGCTTTCCCTATGCAAGCAACTTGGATCACCACCTTCACCACGCGGACACATAGACCCCACTTTTCTGTTTAGATCCAGAACGTCGAACAACAAAGTCCATCCAACTTTGCTATTTACCAAGCTCTACCTGTAGATTCAACTTCAACTCACATCAACTTTGGATATATACTCATCATTCCACTACACAACCAATCCTCTTCTGTACACTTTTTCTCGCAATAACAAACTCAACTCACGCCCCAATGCATCGCCGTAGCAAGCTTACTCTGGACGACACCGGACACACTTCAGATCACGTCATTCGGATGACCAATGTTCACTGGCAAGCCACCAATGGGGACATCAAAGCGTTTTTCAAAGACATTGAGATCCTTGACCAGAAACGAGACAAAAATGTGAGGAACAAGGGAAGGAAGCTCACAGTCGCATACGTTCTATTCGCAACTCGAACGGAGCAGATGCAGGCTCTAAGGCTTGATAGACAGTTACTGCACGGTCGTGAGGTGCGATTGATGCCAGCGCCCGGAGGCACGTATAGCGGTAAGATTCCCCCTCATCTGTAGTTACGATCTTCTTCTGATCACGTCATGCAGTTGCTACAGACGGCTTGTCCTTCGAGCGCGGCGAAGCTCCACCCACCCAACTTGCTCACACCATGGATGGTTCCGCAACTCCCAGGTTTGACGTGGGCGACTTTCCGGCTCTGAAGCCTGCTCCGGCTCTTGTCTTCCAGTCTACAACGACCCCCACCCTTACTACGAGTAAGTTGCCTAGCTCACTCTGGCAAATGTACTCCTTTGGTGATATTCAAACTCGAACACAACATGTAGCTCTGAAGTGCTTCGAGTATGCTAACAATCGGTCAGGTATACCTATTAATCCATCGAACGCGGCAACACAGCGTACAGGGCCCTACACCGACAAGACCCAGGACATCATATCCAGCAACGAACAGCATAGTGATCTACTATCGCTCACACGATCTTCCACCGAAGCCAACAGGGCGGAGTCATATGCTCACGGGTTTTCGATAGAGGGGCTCAGTTCGCTTCTGGACACCCTTTCCGTCAATCGATCTCAGCGACAAAGCCCAACAGATGGCCACCTCAACATGTCTCCAAAATCTAGCCCCGTGACAAAACAGCCTAAGGCCAAGGCAAACGATGCAACCATATCGTTCTTGTTCCCGAATGCTGCAGCTCACCACTTGCGACATCAGGATGAGATTGCTGGGCTGACCGAGGAGCAAGCTCGGTTGAAGATTTGGAATGAGCTTGCAGGACCGAAGAAAACGAGGCCTGGATTTTGGTTCGAATGAGGAATCGAACCGGATGCTAACTTTTGGACATGTCCATTTTGTGAGGGCTCCTCATTTTGCGTTTGTGGGAGACGCGCTTTGGAATAACATGAATATTTTGGCATTCTCTTTGCTATGTCAGATATGCTGTTCTTGTTGGATTTTATACTGTATGGCAAGGTTTTGCTTTGTCTTTAATAAATGTTCACGAAGTTGCAAGCTTGAGCTACGGACAATTTACACTAAACCTCCTCAGATCTTGTGGCTAGGAGTTATCAAAGCTTTATGTTTGCCATAGTTATCCCTCTACTTCTGTGTAACACTCAACCTATGCGGATGTGATTTGTGACACGAAATCTCAAGTCACTAAATTTCATTTAGTGTTTGCACCAGAGCCAAGTCGCCCTGTTCTTGGTGTTACTCATGGGTTGTTTGCGCATTAATATTCTAGGAAAGTCGCACATATTCTCCCAATTCCATACATTTAATCAGGGATCCATTGTAGCCTAGATTTCTTGGCTATTCCGCTAACACATCACGACAAAGATTCTCTGGAGCATTGCTTTTTTCGCACATTCGATCTAAACTCGAACGTTGTAGCCAAAGGGCTACGTGGCTTTCCCATCGATTCCACCGTTCTGGACTGGATACGCGGTTTGCCTTTGTTTACTGGCCAGAAACCTGTCGGTTCGATTACGTCTACAATCCATCTAGATCGGACGCCAGTGGAGTTTCTGTATGATCGCTGTCATTGATAATATCTTTGTGCAAGTCGTTCCTGCCATTTCATACTTCGCAATACAAGCTTCTGCTTCGCGCATCCTCGTTCCTTCCAAGTCCCACCCATCATGACTGCCGCTCTAACAATCATCATGTCTCACCAACATGCTCTTACTCCCACTGCGCTGTCGAAGCGTTCCTGCTCATGGAGAAAACTCGCTGTCGCGTAGTACATAACAAATTCATCGCATACTTCATTATCATTGCTTACACACCCACATCGTTAGCAATACATACTGCCCACACACCTCGGACAACAGCGACTATCGCGAATACTTATAAACACATCCACTTGAACATTCACTCAAGGCACCACATCATGGACCCAAAACCCACCCGTTCAGTCATCCTATGGTTTCCCCAATCAAACAAATACGCCCGCGCAGCACAGAATACCCTTTACAACGCAATATTCAACCCCCGATATCAGTACCACCGATACCTACCACAGCAGCACGGAAGTGTCAACCCACAGAAGACACAACCTCAATACTCGGACTAGGAGTTCAACGTTCTGCCCAAGGAGCTTGTGCGACGGTATGCATCATTCCAGCCCAGAGTCTCGCCCACGCCGCCCGAGCGGGAGCGTACAAGGGAGATCACACCCATACCGCTGAGGGTCTTGCCCAACACTCCACCTGTTCTCGCACAATCTACGAGTTTCCATCGTGCCGGGTCGAGTACCTGGGCGTTTCCAAGAAACGGCTTGTATACAGGGCCGCCGACGGGCGTGTACACAGGCTGTGAGTTCCTGACTGGCTGTGCATGGTTGAATGAACGGTGCTGACCAGATTAGTTGCTCCGAGGCACGGCTGGAGCCTCTCAGGTGAGCCGGAGAAGGACGTCTTGTCTCATGTTCAATGGTACGGATGGGAGCGCGAGCGCCAGGCCCGGATTCGGGCTGATAAGAGTGCAAGGATAACAGATAGGCAAGCTCGTTGGGCGAATGACCGGGTTGAGTGATGGGGTTCCCTGTTTGTTGAACGAATAGGGCTTTATGGGAGTTGGCGATTAGGTCTGCGCATGTTCCGTGGAGGTGGGATCGTTCTTTATGTTTTTAGTATCAGCCCACTTGGGGTGTTGGCCGGCGGTATATCTCTCTTTGTTCTCTTTCGCGTGTTTCGTAGAGGACGTAACACTCTTTGTTAGGCTCAACTATACCCGCGCGACTCGTTTGGCCTCCTTCGTTATGTCCTTTTTATGTGTAAGATGGTGAGAAACATGGACTGGTGATACTCGTCATGCGTGCGACCATTTCCATGAATGTGATGACAATCTCATTCCAGCTGGCATAAGGGCCATGGTTAGGGGATCTTTATGCAGAAGAGGGTGTCCACTCGTCGTCTCAGAATCGACGAACAAACCGGGCTACGATACGAAAGTCAAGTTGGAAATGAAGCATTCACAAGGCACATGAGCAAGAGGTAGAAGTTCGAAAAACGAGTGAATTGGGCAATGGCCCAAACACCACTATCACGAGTACATACTAACTGAAAAGAGGGTATCCAATCCTAACCATTTTCCCAATTGAACCAAAATCACACCACACGCACTTAACGGAAGTGAGGAGCGTTGAGCAGAATAGCCATAGTGACGCCACCGATTGTGCCAGCAATGGGGATTGTCATGATCCAGGAGAAGACGAGGAGGCCGACTCGCTGCCAGTTGACGGCCTTGAGCGAACCGTTGCAGAGACCAACACCGACGGTAGCACCTGTAATGCACATGGACGTTGACACGGGAAGCGAGTACTGCGAGAAGATGAGGACGGTGATAGCGGCACCCATTTCCATGGAGCAACCTGAAATTCAGTTAGCGTAGTCATGAAAGGTGTGTAAGAAAGGGATGCATACCTCTGCTAGGCGAGTGGTAGGTGATCTTGTTACCCATGACCTTCATGATGTTGTATCCGTATGTGATGAGACCAAGGGAAAGAGTACCGGACAGGACAGCGAGTTGCCAGACCGGGACCGGAAGCTTGGATGCAGAGGCATTGCCAGTGTTCCAGGCAGAGTAAATAACAGCCCAAGGACCGACGGCGTTACCGATGTCGTTCGCGCCGTGAGCGAAAGAAGCAGTGCAGGCAGTGATAACTTGGACGAAGGAGTATGTGTGTTCGACCTCGTTAGAGTACTTCTTTGCATGGCCGTACACACGCTCCATACGCTTGCCCTCGGGAGTTCCGTGGATACCTGTCTGCGCGGCGTGGATGTCGTAGTTGACGCCGTACAAAGCACCGACAACGATCATGGCAGGAATGCGCTTAAGTGTGATAAGCATGTTCTGCCTCTCATAGACCTCGCCACTCTTGATCTTGTTGTTGTGGAGATAGCGCATCGCCCAACCGAGAGGACCCTTCTTAGCACGGAGCTTGTTGTGGAAACGCTCCTGGCCTTGTTCAACGAGCTCTTTGTAACTGAGTTCCCTGGTCTCGGTGACATCGACACCCTTCTCGTGAACGGGAGTGATTTCGTCGTCAGAACCGTTGAGAGATCCGCTCTTCACCTTGACGTCCACATCGTCGTGCTGGACGACAGCGTAGTTAGGAACAACTGCGGCTTCTGATCCAGTAGGAGCTGGACGACGGAAGAGAAGAGGGCCCATGAAGACGTGGTACCAGCGGACACTGGAGTCACGCTTGACGACACGAACGTAGAGGTAGGGAACGAAGAAGAGGAAAGAGAGAAGAGCAAGGGCGAAACCAGTACCCAGTGTAACACCAATGATAAATGACTTGGGCTTCTTGTTCAGGCCAAGGTTAGGCGACCCCTTGTAGACGATGGAAAGTGTGCAGATGGTACCGGCGATAAGGAAGAAGAACGGTGCGGTCCAGATAGCCCACGGGATTGGGTTCTTGCGCAGATGCACAGTGACCTTGATCAACATGAAGATGGTGGCACCGAAGAAGGCGGAAGCAGCGGGAGCCATTCCAAGACCAGCGAAAATAGCACCAAGACCCTTGCCATTGTTCCATCCCCAATGGACCTTTGAGGCGCCAGCAACAGCGACACCGACACCAGCGACGGACGAGATGAGCGAGTAGGAGGACGAAACGTGGGCAGAGTGCCTGGTGCACCACATGACCCAGATGGAAGCACCAGCGAGAGCACAAGTGAATGCCAACATCTGAACACCGGCGTCGCCCTTGAAGGAATTCAGGGGAATGATGCCGTTCTTGATAGTATCAGCGGTACGGGCACCGACCGTGATGGCGCCGACCATTTCAAAGATGGTACCAAGGACCATGGCCTGGCGGTAGCTGACGGAGCGGGACGAGACCGACGTGGCCCAGGAGTTGGCGACATCGTCTAAGTGACGTTAGCATGTGATTGGAGACAGTCAGTGGAATAACACATACTGGCACCGTTGTTGTACGCATCGAGCAAGGCAAAGAAAGTGCCTATGCCGAACACATAGTTGTACTGCGTGAGTCTCGGCATTGCGTAGACCCGGTGATAGCAGGCTCTATGTAACTCAATGAAGATACAAGCGAAAGAAAGTGCACTGCTGGCCTGGGATGAGAAACGAACGGTAGAGGCGTCTCTGAGATAGTATATATATGTGCCAACTATGTGGCGTCGCCTTGGGGCGTTTTCAAGATAAGCTTACTGTTTTTCCGCATTCACTACGAACCCAAAAGACACCCAAGGCCCGTGGCCGTGAGGTCTCGCCGTAGAATCGCTCCTGCCGGTACAGCCATCCATACGCATCTGTTGAGCAACGTGAGGTTGACGGGGAAATGCTGGCCAATCAGAGAGCACGAATCCTACACGTTTCCCATGCGCCCAGGAATGGAAAGCTCTTGGCATGGCGGAGCGATTGTCACTAACGCTTCTCGAGCCTCGCAAGCGTCAAGCAAAATTGACAGAAACGGGGAGGAGCTTAGAATGCCTAGCGTGATTTCTCCGGAGTTGGCAGCGGCGACCGGGTGCTAGGCCCTGGGGGTGTAGTGAGAACGTGTGGAGAGAGCCAATCAGATCGCGCCAGACACCCACGTTTTGGACATATAGGTAGGGCTCGCTGTTCAACTACAGGGCCTGCAGCAGAGTCGCTCGATCAGACAACGCGTCGACTTTGCACCACCCTCAGTCTCCCGCCTCGGTACACGCTAGCGATACGATCCAACCTTCTTTGCTTTTCTCGCTTCCAGAAGCCCGCTCAGAAAGGATCGTGGCTAGTTTGTATAGATGATCAACGATTGCGGTACAGTGGCGAAGTAGAGGCTCTTGGAGGAACCAGCGACGACTTTACCAGCTTGTTCCGCTTCGCATTAGCCCAGAACGTGGCAAGATCCTTGTATCAGGGTAGGCAGTGTCTACGGAAGGGAATCTGTCCAGCGACAGCTGTCAAACAGAACACTAGATCCCTGGTGTGGCCTGTCAATCCTGAAAACACAGATCCTGTTGCCTTCACTGTCCATAACGCGAAACCCCATAGGCTAAGCACAGTTGCGTTCGGTCTTGTGACTTCTCCGATGTAGAGTTCGATATCTTTGGCCGTGTCCGTATGATCACCAGAATGAGAGGTTCGGATGGCATGCCGACATAGCCATCCCCCGGAACCAAATCGATTTGTCAATCCTTTGAATTTCGAAAACGTACACCAAACCTCCACCCACGACACGATGATGAAGCCGCAAGTTCGCCACACGAACATGACAATGTTAGTGGGCTCGGCGAAGGTCATACCATGACGAAGATGTTGAAGAAGGTTCCCGCCGCGAGGCCAGACACTCCATGGTCATTCGATAAGGTCGTGCTGGCGTGACTCCGATGCGAGCCATCGTTGTCCACGTTTCCAAAAGAGTGGTCAGGAGCAAAGCCGAGCAGTATCAAGGCCGCAGGAGGCGCGAAGGAGTTTTATCGATGTAATTAGCCCTGGCTACTCGGGAATCGATGTGCCCCATGCTTGGGATCTGGGTCTGATCCGCGAGGCAAAAAACCTCGACTTCCATGCAGGATTAGCTGTTTCCTGGGTCCGGACTACTGTGCATTACTTAGAGTCCCTGGTGGAGATCCACGGCTTCTCGCAGCAGCACGTGGGGCGCCATACCGACAGGCTGTACGAACTTCCGTTCAGGCGACAAGAAACACCCGCGCGATATATCCTAGTCTTTGAATCATTGCACGTTTGTCAGAATCGCGACTGGATGGAGCTTTCGAAAATGACCCGGGCGCCTCGCACGGTTGAGCGTCATATCAGCGTCATACAAGCGCCGCACGACTGTCCTTTCAGGCCGTGATCGAGAAGAGATATCTTTTTCTATTAGGTAAGGATGGGAGACGGCAAGATTGTGATGGCACTTGATGCTTTCGTGACATTCATAGTGAAAGCGAAGCACGAAAGGATTTCACGATGCGCGCTAATCCAAAAACACGCTAGCTCTTCAAAGGTCGTCAGACCCGGCAGCGACTGCAACATCAAGTACAACAACCCTTCAGAACGAAAGACCGTCGTCCCATCTTACCCCATCGTACACATGTATTTCTGAGTTCAGAATACTCCTCCTCACTCCCATGTCGAATGTAGTCAACACAAGCTCTTACACCCAGTCACATACCAAGACCTTGTATTGCCGATTGCCGTCTCAGCACTGCACATCTTCAAACCCGCCCTGCAATCTCTTCGCACACTTGGCTCTGCCCTCAAGCTTCTCGACAGTCTTGGAGACGTGTTATGAGCTTCATAGGTTGGGGCGGAAGGACTGCCAAGAAGGTGACGTGAGATGGAGAGTCGTCACAAAATCAAGTGAGCATGTCTAGGTTTTGAGAGGATTTGACAATATTTAGGTTTAATTTCTGGATCCTGGGCCTTAGTGGATAGTATCCGGATGAATGGCATCCGTTTGTTGCCTTTGACATTTTTTGCGGTACTTTGTCCTTTGAACAACCGTTTTTCTCTTTCTGGTGACACACTATCGTCAACTTGTCGCCCAATGATATGATTTCCAGGTTATTTAAACATATGTCGAGTTTAGCCCAAAGTTTGTTTGGAGATTGCATACAACTTTCTTGTAAGTCACGTGAATCGAAATTCTGCCGACTTGACACAGTGCTTAGATCGGTTGCCACTCAGTCCTCGATATAGAACGGGGCTTTATGTCCACATAAATAGCAAGGATTTTCAAATCATTTGGATTGCAAGAATATCGATCTATACCAAACAAAGCGAACAAGCTTGGTCTTTGTGTGCGGGCTTTGAGGCTCCATTGTCAGTTTAGATCGCAATGATTTCTTTGGCAATACCAGGTTCTTTCGGGGTTCGATTGAATAAACATGAGAAGTCTTGTCTAGTAGTCCGCGAACTCATGGCATATACTCTGTTCATCTTCTGACGAGATTGACACATTTTGAAACGTCGAGGTGCAAACCCACCTAATACCTCGGAAATCTTGTCTTTTATCAGATCCAAGTCATACAGTAGCCATCATGGAAAAGGGCAATTCTCCACGTCGCGATGGCAAACAACATACCCGATCTGACAGCAAGTTCAGGTCAAGGGCCAGAACCGACATCAAGTTGGGGAATCGACAGGAACTCTCCGGATGGAACCTCTACACACAAGAACTCTCCACCTACAAAATGTCAGAACAAGAACGAAAGACAATCAGACATCGTCTATGGAACGTCGACTACCCAAACGCAAAGGCCGAAACGCCTGCCATGGTGAAGGATGTACTCACGGAAATGTATGACGAACACGCATGGCTACGAGAAGAGATCCAGGAGCAGGTGGTGAAAGATAGTGCACTCTACTTGAGTCACGTGAAAATGATGGACAAAGGGGAGCATCTGGATATGGACTACGAAACAGCGACGGAATGGTCTGACATGTTCGCCGAGCTGTATTCCTCATTCCTACTACTCTTAACAGAGGCCATGGAGCCCATCCACGCACAAATAGAAGAACTGAACTCCAATCTCGTAGCACAGGGAGATTTCGTGAAGCGCTTGTACCTCTCGACAGAATGGTACGATCTCCAAACTATGATAAAAGCTCACGTCAGAGACATGCGGGACGAGTCTGAATCAGGTGAACAACAGAACATGTGGACATCACTAGTAAATTGGATGAACAACATCGAAGAGAAAAGTGCTTGGAATAAATTTCTTGTTATCAAACTCCCGAGAGTTGAGAACGATATCGAAGCAACCGAAGACCTGATACTGAAAACCTTCAATGCGAGATTTAACGCACACATTCGCGACGACATTGAGAAATGGATCAACGTCCGTCGTTTGCATTACGAAGACAAACTTTTCAATGAGGGTGAAGATGAAGATGAGCACGACGGCTACAGCCAAACCTCGGTCCCTAATTATAACCGACAATGGATATCAATGTGCGACAGGCTTCTACAAAACTTTGACACGCAACGTCTGGAGTGGTGGAACAAGTACTATGAAGAAACAGAATCATATGCCCATGACATTGAGCAAACAATCACGGGCATTAGGGACCTGTGTACCGAATGCAAGTGGCGGTCTTTCCTGTCAATGGTGCGGGAAGACGTACACAATAGGCTTCGAGATTGCAACAATGATGAAGAACGATCCCAATGGTCCGACCTGTACAGCTGGATGGTGGTCGTCGACGCTGGCCTGGTGCTGACATCTAGAATGTCTAGTCGCGGCGAAACAAAACGTGCTGTACGTGTTATCGTGCAGGATCTGCGACGCAAGATGTCGCTACATCAACGGAAATCGGTAAAGATTGTTGCTCTCGGCAGGGCGTATTATGTTGAGTACCCTGCCATCAGGAACAAGCTCAGATCTGGACTTCGGGCGACTCTTGCCGTAGATCCTGATGACCTCGTTGGTAGACGGCTGTCGAAAACATTCGATGACATCGATAACCATCATCCTGTACATCCAATGGTAAGTACCAAATGGGTCAGCTCAGAGGATGTTCCAGATGATGGAACTACCGGTCACGCAGAAGAGTTACAAAGTCTATCAGAATTGAATCTTCCGGAGCATGGCTCACTCGACGCCGAGGAGGAGAGGTTCCAGACATACTTTGTATCGCATCCGCGTCTGCGAAAAGAACTACAAATTATAGTGGAGGGAATTCTAGAAGCTGCAGACGGCCTGAGTGATCTAGAGATCCTCATGTACACGGAGCTAAAGCAGTGGATGGAACACACGACAACAATTGCGCACAAGTTCCTCGACCAACTAAACGAGACCGACTACTTCAACTCCACAGCAGGTTTGACCACGGATGGCGACAGTACCAATCATCTGGTTGATGGCATGGCTACAGGCTCCGGTTTCTACGAGGTCTTCTTCGAGCACTACACTCTCTATCAAGAATTGCGTCCGTGGTTCCGCGAGCACTTCAATGCTGTAATGAGAGACGTGCTCAGCTTGAGGCCTCATCGACAAGAAGCCATTGAGGAGTTCATTCACGAAGCCCAAGACGATTTCGATAGAGTCGACATGGGCGACATACCAAGGCGTCTCAAACTCAACATGTTCATGCCATACTCTACCCTTTCCACCAAAGAGCAATACATCATCGAAATCATACTCGAAAACGTCGCTGAGCGATGGTACAATTTCAATGCAGTAGAAGCCATTCCTGAGGAACTCCTGCCGTATCAGGATGAGTTGCCGCTCATCTGGACTGTTGCATTTCACCCTACAGATCCACGGAATTGGGGCTTCCAGATGCTAAATGCGTTGGATACTCTGAGTCAGTTGACAATCGGTCGGCCTAAGCGAGCTATGAACGAAGTGAAGAGGTGCAGGGAACGGAGATTAAGAGACAAATCTTTGGGCGCTCTCAATTGGGTGCAGCACATACTTCCAATAGACGTTGAGAACGCTGTGCGTCAGTTTCAACGATATGTCAGAACAAACAAACCTACAGGTAGTGAAGGGGCAGATTCAGATGTCAGTGATGAAAGTGGAAGTGGATGGGATGGGGATGAAGCCGACATGGGGGAAGACTCTGTCGGTAGCGATCCTGGAAGTGAAGATGGTGGAGACTCTACCGATGGAGGGCAACCCCCTGCCAACGCCGGTCAGGACCCTTCTGATGATGGCGACTCATCTCACGACGATGAAAGATCCTCCGGTACCAGTCAGGACTCTTCTGACGATGAAAAACCCCCTTCCGATAATGAGAAAGACTCGTCTGATGAGAGCCAATCATCTTCTGGGGACGACCACTCCCAACCATCCCCTCTGCCACTCAATCAAACATACACACCCGGAAATCCGATAGTCTTCCACGAATCTCTTCCAGCTACTCCACGCACCCCGACTACTCCGATCATGCAGGGCCCTACTTCGTCCAACGTCCCCACGAACATCCCCGATGAAGATGTCTCTTCCTCAAGCAGTAAGAAGAAACGTAAGAGCCGCGAATGGATGGACCGCAATTTCAAGCCTAACCCCACGCCATTGAAGAAGCTCAAGACCGCGTCTCCAAGTCCAGACTATGGACACAAGCCTTCTGGTTCGAGTTCAGGAGAGAAGCATTCAGATTCAGACGTGGAGATGGGAGACGAAGAAATAGACGCTTTTGAACGTGAAATGGCGCAGCTAGTGGAAACAATTCGGGGGGCGAACGAGCACCTCAGTGACGATGACGGCATGGATGAGCAACCGATCGAAGTTGAATCGGAACCCGACCAAACGATAGAAACCGAGGCGGTATCTCCAGCGGTCAGCGAAGATCTGGGAAATGTTATTAACACCCCGTTCGACGACGCACAGACTCAACCAGATCAAATTAGTCAATCATCTGATTCGGACGTATTCACTTCTGACGAGCTTGCCGAACTTCGAGCCGAGTCATTGCGCTTGTCGGTTCCTGACTCGAATGCTTTCACTCCGTATAGCGATGTGCTCGATGTTGAGCAAGCACAAGCTCAGCTTCTGCCAGAGCGGGAACCGAGCCCAACGTACGAGGTTAGACCCATACATCCGGCTTCTTACTACAAGTCCTCAGTGGTGGACAGTGATGAACACGAAGAGGACGACACTATGGAAGACTTCGACGATATAGACTATCTTGAGGATCTAAGACTCGCTGAAGAGCTGAGAATCCAAGATGAAGCTAACGAGCACATGCGAAAGCAACAAAGAGAAGAGGAAGCTCGAGCACATGAATACAACGTCATGGAGGAATTAAGGATCCAGGCAGAGATTTCCGAGGATGAGGAGATGAGACTATTCGACGAGCGGATTGCTGCGGATATCAGGATGGCAGACGAGCTGGAGATAGAGATAGAGATGCAAGAGAGTATTGACGAGCAGAACAGGATTGTCGAGCAAGAAAGGATCGAAGAGCAAGAAAGGATCGAAGAGCAAGAAAGGATCGAAGAGCAAAACCGGCAAAGCATGATTGAAGAACAACGCAGACTAGAAGAAGAGAACACGATTGAAGAACAACGGCTGTTTAATGAGCAGCTCGCTCTTGACATGGAAAGGGCCGAAGCACTGCAACTTGAGGTGCTGCAAGCAGAAGCGCAGGAACTACTTGACGAACAGGAAAGGCTCAAAGAGCAGGAAAAACTTGACAAACAACGAATACTCGATGATCAGCGCAGACTTGATGAAGAGAAAACAATCGAAGAAGAACAGAATAGACTAGACGAGCAGGTCGCTTTAGATTTAGATATGGCTGAAGGTCTGCAGGCAGACGCAGAGCGAGCAATGGACGAGGAAAGAATAATAGAGGAGGAACAGGCGTTAGAAGAGCAGCAAAGACTCAACGAGCAGCGAATACTGGATGAGCAACGCATCCTCGATGAACAACGTACACTAGCCTCCGAACAGGAAATCGAAGAACAAAGGCTCTTCGACGAGCAACTCGCCGCAGATATCAAAGAGAACGAAGAGATGCAGGCCGAGTTACTGCAAGAAGAAGCGCAGCGAAAACTCGACGACGAGCAAAGAGACCTAGAAGAGCAAAACGAGCAGTTCGCCCGCGACATGCAAGCAGCTCTTGACCTCCAAGCCGAGCAGGAGAAAATCGACGAAGAGGAAAGACAGTTCAACGAACAACTCGCTCTAGACTTAGCCACGGCCGAGGCTGAAATCCAGCGGATGGAAGCGCAGCAAATCCTCGATGCGCAAGTTGCGTCCGACCTGCGCGCTGCTGAACGACTTGCTGTTGCGGAGCGTCGGCGTGTTACTGAGCGCGCACTTGCTGAGGATCAGCGCCGGATTGATGAGCAGATTCAGGATGGAATTAATGCTCAACTTGGTGCTGAGAGTGTGGAAGATGAGTGGGATGAGGACGTATATGAGAGTGAAAGCGTAGATGTGTATGAGAGCGAGGGCGTATATGAGGAAGAAGAAGAAATGGAAACCATCGAGCACGGCATAGACATGCCGACGCAGGATAATGACGGAACGAACCCACACGCCAGCTCAGACTCAGTGTCAGATACAGACACGATTTACGACCCCGTCCCGCAACCTTTCCCATCTTTCATTGGACAGCCATCTCTTGATGAGCGGGATTACATAGGCCAAGCTCGTGCTGAGATCGCTGCGCGGTTGGCGTCAGTCGTGGACCACACTCGCTTTGTGCATGTGGATGAAGATGAAGACGAAGACGAAGGTCCGGATGGAGGTAGCGGGTCATCGACTGACGACGATCCGGTCTCGCAACCATTCCCTTCGTTTTATGGTCGTCCCTACCCAGACTTACGGGAATATGAGGATGGAAGCCAGGCTGCTGAGTCTGACACTGGTGATACGGATAGAAGCAACGCAGCGTCCCCTTCCCCGCCTTCTTCCTCCTCCTCGTCATCCTCTTCCTCATCCTCATCCTCGTCCTCGGAGTCAGACACAAACCATCCCAGCGATTCAGAACGAAGCGCCTCTGCATCCGACGCGGACGCACCCAGTGGCGTAGCGTCGGACGTAGACGTAGACATCGACGTCCCAGACGTCCCAGAGGACCACAGTGAAAACACCCCGTCCTCCCCATCCCCATCACCAACGTCGACAATTCAACCACCAGCAAACAGTCTGTCTACCACATTTCCACAGAACACTATCAACACGCCGCCCATCACCCCCGCTCGAGGGGCCCGAACAGGTGAGGGTGTACAGAAGCGTCGCACGCACTCGGGTGGGAGGACGGGGCGTGTGGACTGGAATGAGGAGAGGGAAGGAGGGAGGGGTATGTATGCGCAGTTGGAGGGCGATAATTGGCGTCTTGTGATGAGGCCTGGGCAGAATCTTATGATTCAGTGTCGGGACTGGGAGGGTGAGGGGAGGGAGGTATCGGGATTGGATTTGCAAAGAATTGAAAACAAGGAGAGAGTGTTTGTGTGAGGCGTTGGGGTCGGATGTTTTGGGAGTAGAAGGTTGTAATGTGTACAAACAGGTCTTGTTGACCATCCTCCTTTGGGGGACTTTGTTTGAGTGTAAGCAATTTCGTTGAGATACGTAGCGTTCGTTTATTCGAGAACATGCTAGTCATAGTGATACTACCCATTCCAATTGCGCCTATCATTACCCCCTGTGCGCGCAAAAAAAGCAAACAAACGTAGACGAAGCGATGCTGCTGTGGAGCAAAGATCTTGATGGTATACGAGGAAGCAAACAAATGCGGACGCTAAACGCAGGACCCATAAATAAACGCCTCATGCTGAGATGGCAGAAAGAAAAAACGTAAGATGAAAAGATATGCGTTGAGAAATCAAGCCGCGGTATGCGAGCGGAACAACATTCTCAGCCCACTGGGCTCCTTCTCCTTCTTCTTGGGGGGAGCCGCCGCCGGCTCCTTGGGACTCCTGCTCTTCTTCGACTCGCCGGATTTACTCCGCGACTCTCCGCTTTTACTGCGGCTGCTGTGGCTGGTCTTTTCGCTTCTTACGCTGCCTGCTTTTTCGCTGCGCACACTCCTTTCGCTCTTGGCGCGGTGCGATTTTCGCCTCTCGCCATCCTCACGGATCCGCATGCTTCTTCGGGACTTCAGGTCGTCTTCGTCGAGAACACCGGCGGCCACAAGTTGTTTTGAGGCGCCGGGTGTGACAAACTCGCCGTCGACGAGGGTGCCGCCGCTTTCTGCTTCTATGTCGGCGATACCGCGACGCCACTTCTCCACACGGGAGAGTTCCTGGGGCTCGAGTTCGTCGAGCAGATTTGGTTCTTCAACAGCTTCAATGCGCGGTTGGACGGGCATGGCAGGCAGGGCGGGCATGGCGGGCATAGCCGCCATGGCGATGGGACGTTTGTCTTCGTCTTTGGTGGCTTGAATCTTTCGCATGATCTTGTAGCCGCCAAGCGCGACGATGGTCACGCCCACTGCGACACCACCAGCAATCATGAATTGTGGGCTGAGCAACAAGGCTGCTACGGCAGGGAAACTGCACTTGAGTGTGGCAAGTACACCAGGTCCCATTTTACCTGCGATGGCGCTGATTTCGGCTAATGTGAGTGACACGGCGGCGAGTGCTTCGGGGTTCTTCTGCAAGTTTTCAATTGCAGTCGTAGCACTGTACTGGAGGCAATTCGCCTCTTCAAGCAGCATTGTGATCTTGGAGGCCTTTTCCTGTAGGTCGCCGTCGTCGTATCTAGCTTCTTCTAGGAGTGGTGCAGGAACGTCGCCATAGCAGAGATCATCATCGACTGAGTTGGAACGCGATGTTCTGCGCGCTACGTTCCCATCGGTGTTGCGACGCGCAATCTCCTGGGATTGAGCAGCGCGCCCATCACCAGACAAGTCAGCGAAGCGGCTACGACTGGTGCGTGAGGGCTCGAGCATGTACGTGTCAGTGTGACCACGCTCGAGAGTTGGTCTGTCACCATGTCGGTGGGATCTGGAGGAGCGGTGCGAGCGGTGGGATGTGCGTGACTGGGTGTCGTCGTCGACTATCTTCAACAAATTGACCGCATCGCCCAACTTTTTTTCGCGTATTACGGCGTCTTTTTCCGCCTTGATCTCTGCCTTGCGCTCGCGATAGCTAGCTTTGGCTTCCTTGAAAATGCTGACAAAGTGTTTGCTCTGCGGGGTGGTCAGTACTTTCCTTATCGGGTAGCGAGTGGCTTATCGTAGACTCACATTGCTCACAACTTTGCCCGACTTATTGATGACGGTGATGGTTTCTCCTATACCCATGATGCCGGAATGCAGCTTGGCCCTGCAGGAGAAGAGTAGTGTAACGTGCGACGGCGGTATGCAGTGGTAGGAGAAGTCGCGTCTACAAGTAATATTCCCCACGAGGCGGTCAGGAATAATCAATGCGCGGAAGCGGCTGGGAGGTCCACTGATCCACCCAAGTCCAGCGTGTCGGTGAGTTACAACAGGGAGTCTATCAATAAAGACGATCAATGGAGAAGAAGGCGCGGTGAGAATAAGTTTGCAGAATGAGGCGACTGCTGGTACTTGAGACAACTGCGCGAGCGCGGGGTGAACAGGAAACTCGAATCACGGGCCGATCAGGGCTACCACTCAAGAGACGACTTGCTGCAGACATGTATCGTGACTTGAACCATTCGCGCTGGCATTCGCTGTGATTCGGGGAAGGCGGTTGCTGCAAGGTTGACGGCGTGTCGCTTTCTGACAGGACAGCCACATCGTGGGCCTATAGGCTAGCATGGCCGGATATGCAGCCAGCGCTTCGCTTTCCCTCCAAGCGACATCATTGAAGCGGCAGGCTATTGTAGCCCTGCAATTTGCGCATGCTGATGGCACTGCGCATGCGAAAAATGCCGCTTGGGCATCAAGTCGCGATGCGGGGCGCATTTGTCCAGCTGGCAGTGGCTGGGATCGGCCCAGACATCGGATTTCCGCTGAGCTGGCATTGCTGCGTGTTTGTGGCGGTGCAACGCCCTCGCATATAGTTCAGTCTCGACTGTTTGCGCAGCTGCGATCGTCTCGATCGAACCGATGATTGAGGAACGCGTCATTATCTTGGAGCGGACATGTGTTGTTGTGGTTGGGGGAGAAATTAATCGCTTTGAAGGAGCCCCTCGCCATCGAGTCGTCCCACATGTTGAGACAACGAGCGGATGAACGCTTTCCAGCGCATCGCAACACCGGAAGAAACCGAGAGGAAGTGGATATCGAGTTGCACATCTCTCAAAAAGCCTCAGTGGACAATTCGGGACAGCAAACGGCGATCATGCCTCGTGCATGCGGCACGGCAAGCTCCCGCAGCCTAGGTACGAATATTCCATGCATGCTGCTAAAAGCTCTTCCTAGCTACAATAAAGGACCGGAGTCTCGCGGGCAACATGGCGACGACACACGATGCTTCGATCGCGCATCGTGTATACTTGGACGTGCAATCACGTAGGAGGCTACAAACGCCCAGATACTTCAATGTCTTCGTCCAAGCGACGCCGTGTGTATTGGACAGCACATTCCCGAGAGATATGCACGTAGGATGTGTGCATCTCCAGCGATTGCTACTACATATGAATAGGCTCGAAGCAAGCAACAACAGAACAAAGACGCCTACAACTCCTCTTTTTGCACCTTCTTGACAGGGAGATTTGAAGTACGCAGTCATACCATCATATCCCAATTGCGCCATCACACACCCTTCGCTCGCCATTCAAGGGGCTCAGCGGTGAGATGCTACAATGTCTGAGCACTGCCCAACATGTGTCGACGATTCAGACTCTTCGCGCGACCGTGATTCCTACTCCAACATCACGCCCCAGGATGAGGAGAGCTGCTCAGTGACCGACGAAGAGTTGTTAGTTCCAAACGCGCCTGCAACTTTCAACCTTTCCCAAGCAACAGACTCAGACTTCCCGTATCACCTGCTGTCAGCGTGTTCTTCAACAGGCAGGATGTGTGGCTACTCGCGCTCCGTCACAGAGCATGTCAGCGCCGGTACAAAAACGAGTGGGAGGGTAGAACTAAAAGGTACGTTGGTGTTAGCTTTGATGTCGGCGTCGGCGAAAGATGCGTGGGATGCGTTGGGGGTGTGGTGGGGCGGACTTGCTGAACCCTGGGATTTCGTCATCGCTCGCACGATCTAGCAGACACACGATGAGCAGGCAAAACCACGAAGCTCCTCTGGGGCTGCAATTCGGTCCTTCCTTGTTGATTCTGCCAAGCTGACACTGCACATGGCAGGCCCCTTACCGCATGACGGAATTATGGACGACAAGCCTGTGGGGGATGCACGCACACCAGCCTTGTCGCATCGCATGAAGCACAACAAGTCCATCCTCGCGCTCGCCGTCTCGTCACAATATATTTTTGCTGGAACCCAGGGTGGAGAGATTCTCGTATACAGTCTCGACACGTATGAGCGACGGAAAGCGATCCAGGCGCACAAGGGTAGTGTCTTGGGCTTGTGTCTGCCGCAGGACCAGAAGCTGCTTTTCTCCAGCGCGACAGACCCAATCGTCAACGTACGTGTCAAATGGCTTAGAACAAACAACAATCTAGAAGATATGCTGATTGCTGTGGTTTAGGTCTGGTGTACGGCAACCTTCCGCCATCTCTACGCGTTGTGGTCACCACATGACATTGGGGATATATTCTGCGTCGCGTACTCAACATATCACCGCACTGTCTATCTCGGCGCGCAAAACACGAGTATACAGGTACATTGTCATGTATCTAGTCATGACAGACAATACTGACACAAGCAGTGGTATGACCTCAAAGAGAAGGACGCCCGTCCCCGTCCCGACCTCGCCTCACACCCCTCCGAACGCAAGAACAGGTTCTTCGATTCTCTCGGCCCTGGTGGCGTACGAACACCCAAACCCAGCGGCGCCGATAGCAGATCGCGAGACGCCGTGGGTGGTCAGGAGCTCCAGATAGACAGCCAGGACATCTACCAATTTGCGCATTTTGGCTATGTCCATTGCATGCTCCTAGGACGAGGCATCTTGCCAGAAGCGCCGGGAGAGGAAGTGCTGGTTTCTGGCGGTGGAGATGGACGTATACTTCTGTGGCGCATTGATCCGACACGCCGTGGTGCCATTTCGAATATCTGCGCGCTCGAGGATGGTAGGGAAGAAGGAGAGAGCATCCTCTCGCTGGCGCGGGAAGGCTCATTTCTATACAGTGGAAGATTCGATGGAGAGGTCAACGTGTGGGACTTGGAAACACGACAATTAGTGAGGAGTTTGAAGGCAACCACAGGAGATGTTCACACCTTGACGTTGGGGGCTGGGGTACTCTTTGCTGGGGGGAAGTCGGGCATGGTGCAGGTCAGTATGGTCTGGATGTCTTTTGATTTGTTTATGTTGATGGTCGGCAGAAATTTAACGAGCACTATGAGACGGTTGCATCTTTCAAGGCGCACAGTGGCATCATTCTCGCCTCAGCATTCACCACATACAACGACAAGCCAGTGCTGGTCACTGGGGGTAACGATGACACAATTGTTATCTGGGAGGTGCGAGATTGCGCGGAGCCCACAGCAGCCGCTCGAAGAAGCAATAACGGTTGGTACACCTAGCCCTCCATAACTTACTCAACTAACCACACAACAGACCTCATGGTTGAGTCGCTCACTCAGTTTGTCTCCTTCAAAACCGTTTCGTCACTTCCCAAATATCGTGCCGATTGCCGAAGAGGCGCGTCCTTTCTCAGATCTGTCTTCCAAAACTTCGGCGCCGTCACAGAGATGATCAACACCAGCGAGCCCTATAATCCCATCGTATTCGCCAAATTTCGTGGAAACCCTGCCACTGCAGCATCGCGGAAAAAGATCCTCTTTTATGGCCATTACGACGTCATTCCCGCCGAAAACGAACACCGAAAATGGAAGCACGACCCCTTTGCCTTGACAGGCGAAGGCGGCTACCTCTACGGCCGTGGCGTATCTGATAACAAAGGACCAATCATAGCAGCCATATATGCTGCACATGAGCTGGCTAGAGAGCAAAAACTCGATTCTGATATTATCTTCCTGATCGAAGGTGAAGAAGAGAGCGGATCACGTGGCTTCGAAAAAGCAGTGCAAACGCGTAAAGACCTTATCGGGGATGTTGATTGGATTCTGCTCGCCAACAGCTACTGGCTCGACGATCATGTGCCGTGTCTCACCTATGGCTTACGAGGTGTGATTCACGCGTCGGTACAGATTGAAAGCAAACATCCGGATTTGCATAGTGGTGTAGACGGAAGCGCGCTACTCGATGAACCGCTGAAAGATCTTGTCATGCTACTGAGCAAGCTGACAGGAAAGCATGGCAAAGTTCAAATACCAGGATTCTACGATCCCATCTTGCCGCTGACAGACGACGAGAGGGGTCTGTACACTGAGATTACCGAGACTCTTCTTCGCGGCAATCCAGATCTGGGCGACCCAGAAGAACTCGCACAATCGCTTATGAGGCGATGGCGAGAGGCGTCGCTCACAATCCACAGGTTCCAGACGAGCGGACCGGAGAACTCGACCATCATCCCCAGACTGGCAAAGTCGGCCCTCTCGATTCGCCTTGTCCCCAACCAAGAAGCGTCGGATGTCGCGCGCGCATTGGTCGCCTTCCTGCAGGAAGAATTTGAGGAGCTGGAATCCAAGAACAAGCTACATGTTACAATCGATCACCAAGCAGAACCCTGGCTCGGCGACTACAACAACGAGATCTTCCAGAGCTTGGAACGCGCCGTGGTAGAAGTATGGGGCCCGACACTTGGACGTAACAACGCATCGCCTTCCACATCATCATCAGCTTTGTCCGTGCCACTCAGTCCTGGCCTGAGACCCTCCCCTGCTACTTCCAACACCCTCGCTAACTCGTCTGATCCCGTCTTGTCCTCCCCCGCGTTGACAATCCCGCCCCTGACTACCACATCTCCCCCTGTACAAAAACCCCTCTACATCCGCGAAGGTGGATCAATCCCCAGTATCCGGTTCCTCGAGAAGGAATTCGGCGCTCCTGCTGCGCATCTTCCCTGTGGCCAGGCGAGTGATAGTGCGCATTTGGATAATGAGAGGTTGCGGTTGGTTAATCTGCTGAATAGTAAGAAGATCTTCAAGAGCGTTTTTAGGGAGTTGGGGAGTATCGAGGGGGAGGGGACGATATAAGAGGAGTTGAGAGGGGAGGCTAGTCGTGTGGTGCATCATGACACTCTATGGGCATTCTAAGTCGATCGACTTGGAATCTAGGGCTTACAGTGACTTTAGGGTTCTGAAAATACCTTTTGTCATAGAAAATACTCTGCACTCAATTATGGAATTAAAATCAGGCTTGTGCACATAATGCCGCTGTCAAAATATACGTTAACACCCTGGAGATGAGCCAGGCTATCAAGTTCACTCGGTCTCGGAAACGAGAGCACTGTGAAGACCGAACCGATCACACGTGACCTGAAGCCCAGCAGTGGCAGCGGTATCAACAAATCATCTACTTACTTACTGCTATTCCAGCATATCTCAAGATCTTGCAGAATCACCCTAGTACCATGCCGGAGACTCTCCAGGAGTAGGTGCATCCGCCTTCCCATAGCCAAACCGAATACTCTTGGTATACTCACCCTCGGAGAACGTGACCTTATGGCCCTTTGTTTCGGCCGAACTCAAGACAATTTCCGTAAGGGCCTCGTTGTGCCACATAAGAAAGTACTAGACTTCATGAGCATTGTCGATAGCCGTAAGGTCTTCTTTCTTGGGATGAAATTAATTACTAACCTCACTCTGGGGCTGCAGCGCATGATCCGACGTATCAATACGTTCTGCGCTCCATTGGAAGGAGTTCTTTGAAAGTAGTTGCTTCTCCCCCTTGTTGGGCGCAATACTGTATCCATCGAAAACGCTACTAAACATGCCGTCGACCTTGCGGGCACATAAGAGTTTGTCGGTAGCGCCCATTTTCAGAATTGAATCATCGATATCGATCTCGAGCTGAAAGGTAGTCTTCACGAGCGTGGCAGGGCTGATAGATAAAAGTATGCGTGGTACCGGCTCTTGAAACCAACCTGGAACTTCGTCTGCCCCAGGCTTGTCCGGTGTAATATACCCATACCGAACATGTTGTGGCCTGTTTCCTAGGACTATGACTGTATGGACCTTGCTCTTGTCTGGCAGAAGAATCGCATTTCCTGCTTCCACAGGGGACTTCAGCCAGAACAAAGCAAACTTTCGTTGGTGGTTAGATTTGCAGTACATGCAGCCTTCGTGCTAGTGAAACGCCTTACCTTGTCACTGATGTAGATTTCCGTTCGGACCTGCAAGCTGTCTGCATCAGGGCTTGTGTATATTGGGAAGAAGAGACCTTCAGGTCGTGCGCGCTGCGAGACGCCAACTCGGAAGTAGGGTTCCAGGTTCTCTATGGCGAAGGTCTTTTGCGGTGGGTTGGTCCAGTCCTGTGTTTCCGAGGGCTTTGCCGGCTCGAAGGCGCAATCGATAAATCGTGTTGTTTGCTGGAATTCAATCTGAACTGAGTTGCAAACAGCTGCCGCCTTTTGGAACTTGGAGTCAGTTGCCTCGTTGCCATTGTCGAGGGTATTCAGCACTAAGAGTTAAAAGTACTGACAAACGGTCCATCCTCGTAAGATTTCCAAGCTGTGATTTGGAATTCGTTTGTCCAGGTGAAGATGTTCTGAGATAGAAGTTGCGGGCCTTTCAGTGATCCGGCCGTAAGTTGGCCGACGGCGAAGGCGGTACTAAATGACTTGTTGACTTCTCTTGATAGCACGAGACAGTCAGTGGGCGCCGCATGCGAGAGGATTATGCTGTCAATGGACACGATCAGTTTGGACTGGGACATTTTCCAGACAAAGCCCAATATAAACAACCTGACACTTTGAAACGGAGCACGAGGTGGACATTGTGGAGTTTATCAACGACAGCATGGAAGATGTGGTAAGGAAGTGTTCCCCTCTCCATAGCTAAAAAGGGTAAGGTGCAGGTTGTATTCAGCCAGCCACATACCTAATATCGGGAACTTTCAATCCGAAGAGCTAAAAATAGAGAAGTGTTTAATCTTTCTACTTTACACACGCAAAGTGTAGGGTTTCTCGGTGCATTCCAAGATCCTATACTGTTCTAATTGCTGAATTCCGTGTGCATAACAAGCTAGATGAAGAAGGCGCTGAAGTCCTGATCCCTCAACAAACTTCACAGGCAGGTATGGATAATCTGTGAGAGAATGTAAATCATCTTTGTTGAAAGTGCTGATTATATTCCGCAAACTACTCATAACCTATGCTTCCGAAAGAAGCAATATGAACTTTGACCCAACGGCAAATATCGAATGCCTTACTCTCTGCCTTGAGTTTGTATGAGCGGCGAATCAGATCCGACATGCAACTGGAGTTAGCGCGTTGTGGCTGAACATTCTCACGTGAGCTTATCAACAATGTCGTCACTCTCCACGGAGTTCAGCCTACCTCCAAACAATCATCCCCCGCTCGGACTTGTATCAATACTCTAGGTGACGCTGTTACCCAAGATCTCCAGCTTCCGCGATCCCGAACATTGATGTTCTGCACGTAAAGTGCTGTGTGGGTGTGAACATTGCGAGGCTCAGCCGCTATCATCACTGCGGAAGAGCAGTTCTACATTTCACTGGAAAGGAAGGATGGAACAAGCCTCGAATAATCAGGAGGTGCTCGACTCAGATGAGTACTTACACACCCCCATTTCCTCTACCATGGTCGTTGAACAGACGGACAGCGAAGCTTGTGACGAGGACCAACTCACCGGAACAAAAGACGGGTTGATGTGTCATGAGAGACACGCAGATCGACAAGATATTGGTACTCCAGAGACGCAAAGACATGTCAACAGTGGTACCAAACGCTTGCGATTCGTCGCAAAGCAGAAATATCATCGTTGTCGTCAATGCAAGAAAAGGTTTATGCTCCAGACGGAATTGAAAAGGCATACAAAACGTGCGATCATACTCCCCAACGGAGACAAGAAGTGCCCCGGGGAACCAGATCCTCCTAGGTCATCGACAATATTATCACCTGATCCATCCGTGACAATGTCAGAAGAAAGTAACAAGAGCCTCACCAACCATATGGCGGAACAGAGCCATACGGAAACCGAGAGTGACAGTGATGGAAACGAATTCGGTAGTTATGTTGCTACACAAGCTGAAACCTTCAACCCCAGCAGCTTCTCAAGCAGGGAGTTACCTTTTGCCATGAGTTTCCTTGATAAAGGCAAATATAGTCTTGGAAGTCCTCGGACCTTTACAACCGCTCGTTCAAGTCTTGCAAGCTACAACACAGCACCGAGTGGCTCGCATCGAACTTGGGCACTTCGAACGTTACGCAGGGATGCAATCGAATGGAGTCTCAGCCACAGCGACATTGATAGCCTCGCTGCGGATAAATCAGACGAAGAACTCTTTGAGTTATTCATCGTCTCAGTAGTTCACGATATTCGCAACTGCACATCTGAGTCCGCCTGGTTTCCTGCGTATGGCGAATCTGACATTCGCAAGCAACTACTCCCTTTAATACAGCGTTGGCCTCTAAGCGACCCAAGAGCTATCACCTCTCTCGAAATACCGTTAGATGCAGTGATGAAAGAGGTCTATAATTTCTCAGTCGGAAAATCGATACAAAGACCTAGCATTGCAAATTTGGCAGATCTCAGAAATAACATAGCTCGCCACATTTATGGATTTGCTTCTATCATGCCATATCTTCGAGATTTTGTTCCTCAAACTTACTTGACACAACATCAACAGGATCAAGTCAAGTTGCAAGATAGTCAAGTGTTCAGCAGCGAATGGTTAGACTACTTGAGATCGCGAGGCATAATCCTAGGCCCTTTGGATGCACTCGACTGGTCCGGCCGTGGGCAGCATGTCGAATACACACCAGAAGACGAAAAGCTTATACCACTCAAAGCGGAGAAAATCTTAGGGTATAGCTCATCTGCGGTTGTTGAGAGCGTAAGATGTCGAAGGATCATACTTGCGCGCAAAAAGATCCGATGCATCGGACGTTTGAAAAAAAAAGACGCTATCACAGAGGTTGAGCATCTGCAGCGACTGCAACACCGACATATCGTTCGAGTAGTGGGCACATATACACTTAAGAGAGACCTCGCTATCCTACTGTACCCAGCGACTCCATGGAACCTCGATGGGTTTTTGGACGAGTTGCTCGAGTGTGGAAAACCATTATCCGATTGTGATGCTCATTCATTGTCCACATTCATTGGTTGCCTTTCGAACGCAATTCACTTCATACATGGAGAAAACGTCAAGCATATGGATATCAAGCCTATGAATTTGCTGGTTCGTCAAATCGGAGATAAACACCGGATATATATTGCAGACTTTGGAATCGCCCGCGCATACAAGTCTGCTGAGGAGTCTTACACCAATTCACCAACATCCTTTACGAGGACATATGCTGCTCCAGAAGTCGTGTTGCAAGAAACGAGAGGTTTCCCTGCTGACATATTTTCTCTTGGATGTGTCTTCATGGAGATCTTAGCCACCTTAGTGTCGACAGCAGAATGTAACGAACGAGAACGGCTGCTTCAAATTCGCAGTGGTGGGACAGATAACTCTTACTACGTCAACCTGGAAACTGTGCTTCAATGGCATCAAGGGCTGTTGAATCAAACCGCCTCTGATCGCGGGGAATACGAAGGCAGGTTTGTGCGGTGGATGAGGTTCAACAGGAGCTGTCCTTTGTTGGCATCTGCTATGATGCACCAGATGCCTGACAAACGTCCGTCAGCGACACAGTTGAAGAAACATACCCAAGCACTCTGTTGTGGGAGTTGTGACAACGGGCCTGAGCCGTTCGAGGCTGCCGAAACGACACCATGCTAGTCTACTTGTACGCAAATGTGACAACCATAGTGCATAAGCTTCAAGCGCTCTCTAAGAACAACGTAATATAGACAATGCCTATCGACGGGTTGCCCGGATTGACATATTGATCAAGGTGTGACGTCTGCCAACAAGACCTCATTGCTCTGCTAGCGGTGTTAGACAATTACACCTTCTTTGCTGTCGCAGCCCCAAACATGGTCTTGAGTTCCTCACACACCGCATTTGTTACCTCTTTCGTCGTTGCGTTTCCGCCGAGATCCTTAGTCCTAACTCCACGCTCCGTGACCGCCTCAACAGCATCCATCATCTTTTTCGCAGCATCGTCTTCACCGAGCCAGATCAACATCTCCGAGGCCGTCCAGAAAGTTGCTACTGGATTAGCGACGCCCTTTCCTGTGATGTCGAAAGCTGATCCATGGATCGGTTCGAACATGGAGGGGTTTTGGCGTGTGGGATCGAGGTTGGACGTGGGTGCAATGCCGATGGAACCCGCAAGGGCGGCAGCTAGGTCAGAAAGAATATCTGCTTGCTGTGCAGAGTCAGTGAGGCTGAGACAAAAGCGTCACTGGAGAAGTAAGGAAAACACATACCAAGTTCGTAGCAACAATTGTATCGAGCGACTTCGGGTCCAGAACCATCCGGCACGTCATGGCATCGACAAGCATCTTGTCCCACTTCACGTCCGGGAACTCCTTCGCAACCTCCACGGCAATTTCATCCCACATCACCATGCCATTTCTTTGCGCGTTACTCTTCGTCACGACGGTAATAAACTTCCTAGGCCTCTTCTGCGCCGTCTCGAAAGCGAAGCGCATCAACCTCTCCACGCAATGACGCGTGTAGATGGACACTTCCGTCGCCGTCTCCCATGGTAGCCCTCGGTGTGAGCGGCCACCTTGCCCAGCATATTCACCCTCGGAGTTCTCGCGGACAATCACCCAGTCAAGATCACCAGGTTGCGCTTTTCGAAGAGGCGATTCAGTGCCTCGGAAAATCTTAGTAGGGCGGACGTTGGCGAATTGCTGGAAGGGTTGGCATATGGCGAGACGAAGACCCCAAAGTGAGATGTGATCAGGAACATCTGCGTTGTACGTCAGTGGTCTTTTCGATGCAGGAGTAACTCATGACATCAACATACCAGGTGCACCAACAGCACCGAAAAGAATTGCGTCATGCTTCTTCAACTTTTCCAATCCGCCATCGGGAATGTACTTTCCCGTCTTCTTGTACGTTTCTGAGCTCCAGTCGTAGTTTTCGAAAGCAAGTTCGAAGGAGCCGTCGAGTTGGGCGAGTTTCTTTAGTACCTGGACAGCAGCATCGATTACTTCGGGTCCGATTCCGTCAGCGCCGATTGTAGCAATGGAATGGCTTCTTTGGAGTGCGATGGGTGACATTGTGATTCAAGGGAAAGTGAAGCTTATAAATTTTGAGTAATTTTGAGGATGTGGGTGATGGTAGGCGAGTAACGAAGCCATCAGTAGCTTTATATATCATCTTCATACTACCCTTGAGCGCCTCGGCCATTGCAGATCCAGTTTGCCGCATCATAGCCCAAAGAGCCGATTTCGCGGTTGGCTGAGTTGTTGCACATACGATTCGTCGGATACAAGAAAAATGCGGAGAAAGTGCGGAGAAAGAATGGCCGAACAGGCGTGCCGAATTATACGCCTACCAGGCCCACACTTTCCTTCTCCGGTTCCACTTCGCCTGAGTTAGCTGCATCAATCGTAGTGTCGTGGTTGCTCATGCAAGCAAAGAAACTGCGAAACGTGAGAAACTCAATAAGAGATATGCATACAACATAGTTAGTCGATGAGATAGGTTATGTTTGTTGAAACGGGAAAAGACAGATAGGTGAATCGATGATGTCTGGATAGATTAAGATTATACAATTTTGAATGGAATGTAAACCATGTACAAGCATTCTTATTGTACTCCCTACTAGCCTTTATAAGCTTGACTCTGCCTTGCTCGCACCCGGAAACGTGCGCTGTATAATATCCCACAGTGGTTCGCCACCCTCAGTAAGATCCTCCCATGCAGGACACGCAAGAGACAAAAGTGGCGCAGCTAGGGTGCTAGTCACCAAGTCAACCGGAACCTGGATAGTGGAAAGCAACGAAGAGAGCGAGTTGGGTAGGAAAGTCTTGAGCACCTGGAAAACGAAGCACAGCAGATTGTTGTTCTCAAGCAGGGAAGTCGCGTTCAGTACGCCGCCAGTGATGTCGTGCAGATCTAGACCTGAGAACGAGTTGACGGTGCCGGTATTGCCGCCAATGCTGTGTGAAATGTCAACAATCATGGCCGTTTTGCGATCAAGGCAGGAGAGGATAGCATACCTTCCTAGAACGGGATACTGCAAGATCCAGTTTACAAGGTCCAAATTCAATGGAACGAGGCCGTACTCAATGGGCTTACGATACCAGTTATCGGGAAACGTCTCGTGACCCTTGCGGTACTCGAGATTGCCCTGTGTATCTTCGTAGACGGCAAAGAACTTTTTGAAGACCTCCTGGGTAAGTATACCGTCCGGATGTTCCTCGGTATGGTTGGATAGAAGGCGACCAAGGAACAAGTAGCCGGCGTTACGGCTAACTGTGCCAGTGACGGGCCCGTAGTAAAAGTTGGGGTTATGGGCTACGCTGTACTCCCAACGGCGGGCTGCCTGTTCGGCCAACAAATCCATGGAGATGACACCGTTCTCATCCGCGCGGTCGTAGATGTCGCGAAAAAGTGTCATGTTCATCGTCCATGCGTCGCCGGTCACGTACAGATCGTCGCGAGTTAGGGAGGAGTCAGACTCGATCCAATTGTGGGAACCTTGTAGACCCCGAGGATTGCCTAGGCATGTTTGAATATTATACATCACAGGAGATATGGAGATGTCACAAACCTAAAAGGCCGAGGAGATTACCCAAAATGTTGTCAGTGCCATCACCGGAGGTGGTCCCGCCGATAGAGAAGCCTGGGTTTAAAGAAAGCGGATTGCCCGTCCATACAGTTCCCATAACACCGAGAACGAGAGAGAGCTCGATACCCATGCCTAACACTTTACACACGTCAGCACTGCCCCTCGTTCCACTTGATAATGTCGATTACGAACCTTGATTGATAGCGGTAACGACCTCAGCAAGGCTGGTGATGCCATTACGAGAAATGTAGCCGTGATTAGCTAGAACGTTCAGCCCAGGACAGGGACCACGCTGATCGGCCTTGCCAGGTGCTTGGAAGGAGTGCTTTCCAGTGGTATCGATAGGCTTGCTGAAGTCAATGATGAAGCGCTTATCTTTGCTGTATTTCTGAACCGTCTCAATGGCCTTGTTCAAATTGTCAATGGTGAGGTCGTCGAGGTTGCGGGCACCAAAAGCGGGAAAGGCATCAACGAGGAACAAGCTCGAAGACAGAGTAAGGAGGGTGGACAAAAATCTCATCGCGGATGGCGGAGAGAATGCGCAAACAGTATCTGATTGATTAGTGCAAATCAATGACCTGGTATGTGATTAAACGATAAAAGAGTGACTTGAATGTGAAAAGAGTGTGTGGTGGCCGTTGGCACAGAAGCGAAGGGGAAGAAAGTTGGTAGAGTTGAAACTCTAGGTTTGCTAACACGACAGAATTATGGGGTAGACTCGTGACCGGGGAAGAGCGAGAATAAATCTAATCGTAAGCGATCAACTGAAGTTGTTCCCAATGGGACATCCGCCCTCATCCGTCATGCTGAACCCGTTCATGCTTGCAGAGCAATGATACCCCTTCTCCTTGGAGGCATACGGAAAGAGCCGAATCGCGATGATCGGAAATACACGACCGAGTCTCGTCTGCGGAAGATAACGCAGATCCATGACTAGCAATACTGAAGAAGGTAAGTAGTAAGATTAAGATGAGACTGTAGTGAGGAAGTGTAATGCTGATCTCGAATCCGAATTTCTCACATACTACCCTGCTCTTGGGTTAGTGCCGATCAACAGGTCACTCATCGGGCCGTATTATAGTTCACTGGCACCTTGGGCCTGTAAGGCTGGGATGAGTTATGCCAGATTGAGTTTTACTGCGAACGGACAACCACGAAGGGAGATTGGTGTCGAAGTGGAACCAAGAATGTGCATGACTCAACGATCTTCACTTTTGGAAAAGAAAATCGGTGTTGTGAAGGAAAATTGTACCAGACTGAACACACCTGTGGCTGCGCTTAAAGCTACTGGAGAGGCATGCATATGCCTTGTGTGTAGAAAGCTCATCCTTGTCCGTTCATACTAGACAGCGGCAACTAAAAAAAACGGTCAACTTTTCAGCACGTTTGCTATTTTACATCCAACTGCCGAATCATCAACCTGGCGACACGATCACCACTCACCAAACCCAGTTGCAGACGGTTGTATTGCGGCCAGATAGGAAGTGGACGCGTCAACGGGTGGGAGTTGGTCGGAGAATTGACGAGTCAAGATGGTAACGAGTCAAGTAGCTACAACGTCCCGGGCCTTGTTAGTGCATGATCCTTGTATGCTCCTTCTGGTCAAAGTAAGAAGAAGCGCAGGCGCATTGATGAGTAGTAATGCCTGTAGGGGTCTGTGTGCGTTACGTTGCCGCGAAGCCACAGTACCCACTTATCCCACGCTCCGGTGAGATAAACCCGCGGATTTCGGCCCGACTTTATACCAATCAGAGCAGGGCTTGGCGCCGGTAAGTCGGCGTTTAGCAAACGTCACGAACTTCACTTTGATACTATCAATTAACTCAACACCAACTTACTCTATCCCATGCTCTGGTGAGATAAACCTGTGGATTTTGGCCTGGCTATTAGCTAGTTAAAGCGCGTCGGCAAGACAGTGTTATGCCCTGCGTTAGAGCTTTTTTTGGTGTAAAGGTTTAGTTTTGATGTTCCTTAGACTTGTGCTACGCGATTCTATTGGCTGCAAAATCCGCGGGTTTATCTCACCGGAGCGTGGGATACTACTAAAGGTCTGATATGCTGAAGAGATTGTAAAACACCGTCGAGGGGAGGCAAGTTTTGCCGAAGGTTATCGCGGTCTGTTTCACGTTAGTATGATTAAGACTTAGCTCGAACGCGCACATGAACGGAATGCTCGTCTCTCTTGACCATGAAGCAGTCCGGCTGAAGCCGAACCTTGAGGCCAACTTCAGCGGGTCGAGGAAGCCGCAGCCATCCAATGACTCGTCATTTCAAAAAGAGCCGCCGTACCCCTCCCTGGAACCGCACACTCGGGTACTGCATCGTGTAAGTTACCCCGCAGTTTTTTCAGGAAAAAGTCACAGCAGGAAGACCGACTTTTGCGACGGCCATGATCCTCGCGTTGCCAGGTAATGTTCTTTACGTCCATTCGGATGTTATCACTGGCCATTGTCTGTTTGCCTTGTAATCGGACGCTTGAGAGTCGTTTGCATCGCTGATTGAGTCGCTTGCTGAGGGATTGCACAACAATTGGTTTCATCTAGAAGATATGGTGCACTACTAAAATATACTGGATAAATTTTGTCTAGCTCAAGAGAAAAGAACATCCAGAGACCATTTTGACAGGCCTCGAAATGCTACGCTGAAGAATATTTGAGAACGCCATCATAAATTACGCCAACCCCAATCACATGTATGCATCCCACAAGACAGTACCCTCTCCATTGGAGAGATTTGTTCTCGCCAGGATTACAATTTTTCACCATGCTCTTTCGCCTGCGTCGTCCTGCCCGTCGCGTTGAATCTTGACTGGACACAGTCTAGCGACGTGACCTACAAGTATTGTACACAGCAAGCTTGATCGTGGACGCTTCGGCGTACATCGTTTGATGTATAATCAATTTAAGCCATTGACTTCTGATCCGAGTGCGATTCGTTTTCGACATCTACCAATGGTATAAAATCGCTCTCGTCTCCCGCGATTGGCTTGACCGATGTTCTACTCATCTTACTGGTCGTTGTCACCCTGGAGTTGGTGGAATTCGAATTCCCGGAAACGTTTGTCGATTTGGCCTTGCTTGAGTTGTAAGTCGTTTCTAGCTTTTGCCACGCCTTCACAAAGACCATTCGATGGGCAGGCATGCATCCACAAAATATGGAAACATCTATCTCGATCAAACTCCAGTAGCCAGCTTCGACATAGTCCCACGTGAGGTTCTTCGAGTTGGCGAAATGGACGAGAGAGTACAAGCGGATGGACGAGGTGAAGATGACGAAAATGCCCACCGAAAACATGGCTATGACCATGATCTTCTTCTTGAGGTTCATGTTCAAGTTCCACAAGTGCTTCAGCGGTAGCATCATAACAATCATGTCCAGAGCGATGTTGATACCAGCGGAGATCCAACCCTGGAGGTGTACGTTGTTGCATCTACCTTCATGCAGGCCGTCCCAGGTGGTCCAAGCGAAGCTGACAGGTATACATTGAAAGGTGGTTGCGAAGAAGAAGGCGACCGTGAAGGCTACGGATAGACCCATCACGCCGTACACCTGCATACGGAAATCCTTGGCCGGGAAGACGCGGAGGAAGGAGAAGAGTATTGAGATCTTGGAGATACCGAGGGCAAGGACATAAAAGATCTCTCCCATGAAGAACAACTTGAGGAAGTTCGTAATCTGGTCGGCCTTCAACGTCCATATGTCGCGTCCCAGTCCGTTGTCAACCACTGTTCACCTGTCAGCATTTTCGATCTAGCATTGAATTGTATATCATAACCTACGCATAGGTGCGAAGACGGCAGGAGGGATTGCAAGCGCAACGACCACAGCCATGGTAGCATCGTCCCACCCTAGTGGACGACCATCTCTTCCCAAACTTGCAGCCATTCTCAATGCGAAAGCCACAACGGCGAAAATGATGCCAGTGATACCAATAATGATGAATTGATCGCCCTTGTAACGAACGGGCTCACCGCAGCCTTGGCTGTTAACGTTCTTGGTTTCTGGTATTCTGATAAGTGTGTTGTCGAAAGGCGTATTGCAGGGTTGATCTTACGAAGAGTCTCATAAACGCTGCAAGTCTGCAAGGTGCAAGCGGCTACGGCAGTCTTCAAAGCGACATTGGTACATAGACACTCCGAAGTGAGGTTCGTGGCGCATTGCGATTTGGGCAGTTCCTCGGTGATGCAAGCCACCTTCATAGTGGGGTTAGCCGACAAACTCTACCATTGTAATGAGGTATGGGAACGTACAGCGCAACTGGGCATCTGCTTTGCCAACTGTTGAAGGACACTCTGGGCCCTTACGGACGTGGCAAAGGCGGCCACGAAGGCGATCAAAGACCCTAATCTCATGATCGGTTGTTTTGTGAGAAATATCTGATGCCGGACCAAGAGAGACGAGTCGAAACAAAGGGAGTTGGGTGGACGTATCGATGTTACTCAAGTTCAAGTTGACGGTAATGACACCAGCTTTTCATTCAAGTGATTGAACAATGAAAGTTACGCCGACACCCAAACAGTAAATTTTTATACAGATATCTGACTTCTCGAAGATGTCTTAAATGGCAAAATTCGTAAACCTTCTCAACAGTTGGGCAGAAAGGGCCGCAACCACAGAGCGGATATGTACGCGCATCCAACGAAGTGGTTTGTGCATATACCCCGGTATAGAGACAAACCAGGTAGTGGGTAGATACCGCCTGATTTGGTGAGTATGGTGGAGACATGATGAAGAGTCGGTGACAATTGGAAAGATGGAGAATCAAACAAGCCCTGGGCAGTGCCGGAGAGAAGTGGGGACTGAGTCGCGTTTGTAGCATCTTGAAGCTCCCCTGGTACGATACCTCCTCGCTACAAAGACTCAATGTAAGGGAGCTCAAGAGGGGAAACTATCTTCCTACCACGCGTCTCTACAGTCAGCTCTCGGATTTCGAATCCTCGAGACTACCCCAGAACCGTATTCGGGCCGGCTCAAATAATCTGTCAAAATCGTACGTTTTCTTGTAGGATCCACAGTGTAACCTCAAAATGAGCAAGGGGCACTATCTGACAAGGATCTTGCTTACTTCGATGTGTTCTCCCACAGCGATTGTTCGTAAAAGAGTCTTGGTAAATCAGGGGGTAAGATCACAGCAAAGTTTCACCTTGTCAGGACAACTCTATACCTTGTCGACCTCTCACATATACCTCAGTGTGTTAGCAAGCTTGTGTGACAGAGGTCTGGAAAGATTGCCCACGCGAGGATTATTGCTTATGTGTGAGAAAGATAGCACGTTCGAGCCAGGATATGTTAACCCCCATTAGTGTGCCTGTATCCTGCAGGTTTGCTGATCCCGAGGTTACACTGTATCACAAAGAAAAGTGGGTAAGGCTGTAAAGGCCCGAAGTTCAGACCCTCGAGATCGCTCTCTAAAACAACCGTATCAGGCTAGTAACTTTTGCACGGACGGCTGGGGTACAGTGAATATGACAGGAGTAGGGGTAGGCACGTGCGCTAGCGCGACATGAGTAGCCACTTCCAGGCACAGACAAACGTGCATGTACCGACGATCTCTATTCCGAACCACTCCCCCTACCGGGCCGGCTCGTCATGCTGCCACGTCCTCGAGCTGTGATGGTCGGTATAAACACAGCATATGAGCGTCTCTGCCTGAACCACACACTTTTCCAGTCGCTCTTTCATCCACCAGGAAAACCCCGATATTTCTAATTCTCCTGTCATTCCTTACTAATCAGGTCCTTAACAATGATTGTTGTGAAGACCTTGTCTGTCATTTCCCTGTTGAGCTGGATTACTTCTGCACGCATCATGTATGGTCACCATTCCGTCTGCAACCTTCGGGACGGCCTGGTCGAATTCCTGAGTGCTAACTTGACTACAGTAACGGCGCTGAGCATACGCCTTATCGTGGCGCAAACGTGAAGCGTGCCCTCGACAACTCAACCACCGATGTCACTCTTGAAGACTATGAATATGTGGTAGTCGGCTCTGGTCCCGGTGGCGCTCCTCTCGCCGCTAGACTAGCCATTGCCGGCCACAGAGTCCTCCTGCTTGAGGCTGGTGACGACCAAACCAACACCACCGAGTATACCGTCCCTGCCCTGCATGCCGTTGGTAGCGAGACTGAGTCCATGCGGTGGGACTACTTCGTGAAACACTTCGACGACGAGACAGAACTGAAGAGGGACACCAAGCTCACCTACGAATTGTCTGATGGCTCCCGCTACACTGGTGCTAATCCACCCGAAGGTGCCACTCCACTCGGCACGCTGTACCCACGTGCTGGTTCCCTTGGTGGCTGCTCTAGCATCAATGCCCTGATCACCACCTACCCTTACAATAGCGATTGGCAGTACATTCAGGACATCACAGGTGACGCCTCTTGGGCTCCTGACAACATGCGCAAGTATTTTGAGCGCCTAGAGAAGTCCCGCTACTTGCCTAGCAGCATCGTCGGCCACGGCTTCAGTGGTTGGCTTGAGACCTCGGTCACTGACCTGACCCTGATTGTCCAGGATTTCAAAGTCCTCTCTCTGGTCCTGGCTGCTGCCACTGCTATGGGCCAAAACATTATCGGCTCGCTCATCACTACCGTGACTGGGCTTGCTCAGGTCCTGCTCCGTGACATCAACAACCCAAGCCCGTCTCGTGACTCTACTGAGGGCTTATGGCAGATTCCCATAGCCGTAAATGTACCCGAGAGCAAGCGTGCTGGACCCGTCGACTTCCTCCACGAGGTTGTCAATGCTAAGAACGACGACGGCACCCGCAAGTATTATCTTGACATTCAGCTCAACACCTTAGTCACCACCGTAAGATTCGATCAGGGTACAACGGGCCAGCCCAGAGCTACTGGCGTCAACTTCCTCACTGGCAAATCTCTTTATGGTGCAGATCCCCGCCGCCAGTCTGGAGCTGCAACAGGCAAGGGCACCAAGGGAGCTGTCACTGCTACACGAGAGGTCATCCTGTCTGCTGGAGCTTTCAACACTCCCCAGATCCTGAAGCTATCGGGTGTTGGCCCTAGGGCCGAGCTCGAGAAGTTCGGCATCGAAGTTGTCAAGGAGCTTCCTGGTGTTGGGACGAACCTTCAGGACCGCTACGAGGTCCCCGTCGTCGGTCAAGCTCCCAGCAAGCTCGCTCTAGTAAAGGACTGCACTTTCCTTAAAACCGATAACGATCCTTGTCTTGAGAAGTGGGAGACCCTTCCAATCGCCAAGGGAGTATATGGTACCAACGGTGTCGCACTCGCCATCACCAAGAAGGCTAGTAACTCGATCAACGGCAACGCGGATCTCTTAGTCGCTGGCTGGCCCGCTTACTTTAACGGCTATTACCCCAATTACTTTGAGAACGCTACAAACGGCTCTAACCACTGGACCTGGCTCACGCTCAAGGCCGAATCTCGCAACAACGCTGGCACTGTTACCCTGCAGAGCGCTGATCCTCAGGTTGTACCAGAGATACGCAAGCGTAACTTCGATGTCGGGGGTGATGAGGATCTTGACGCCATTGTGGAGGGGCTCAAGTACGGTCGAGAGGCTTTTGAGGATCTCATTCCACTAGACGGCAAATTCACGGAGGTCTGGCCTGGTAAGCAGGTTCAGACCGATGCAGAGTGGAAGGAGTTCGCCAAATACGAGGCCTGGGGTCACCACGCGTCTTGTACTTGCCCAATCGGTGCGGACGACGACGAGAATGCCGTTCTTGATGGCGATTTCAAGGTTCGCGGTATCGATGGTCTCCGTGTTGTTGATGCCTCCTCTTTTCCCAAAATCCCGGGTACTTATCTGGCTCTTCCACTTTACATGGTGTCGGAGAAGGCTTCAGATGTTATCCTTGCTAATGCTACGACTTTGTAATTATAATATGTCCCATGTTGGAGCCACCAACAAAATATCAATCCTCAGGTAGATAATATCAATATAGACACCATCGCCGATAAGTGTGATCTGCCCCTGAGTAGGTATAGTCTTAGGTGGCTACACGTTCTGTGTCCGCCGGTACGTTGCCCGAACAACCTTGTATTCCTTGACCTATGGTCGTATGTAAATTGGCAAGGTGAGAGTGGACCAAATGTTGCGGACAACATTGCTCCTAGACAGACATGACCACTGTAACCTTGTCTTGTTTCTGTTCATCTGATTCATACGGGTATGCTTCGTTGCTTAAAATTTGTTAATAATGTCGTTAGCTGAGCTGGTAGCACAGTTGTTGCAGTTTGCCAATATTTGTATCTCTGTTCAACGTTCAACTGGGAAGCAAAATTTATATAATTACTATGGAAGGATAGACAAATAGACATAAACAACGCTAATCCTAATGTAATAGTGGATACCGTGGAATCGCTACCATGAGCCATCGCGAACCGAGCCTTCCAACACAACCGCAGAACTGAAACGATACAAAGTGTTTTATCGAACGCGCCAGACATCAGCAGCGGCCTTGATTAGCGCATTGGCTGGGAAGACGTCTTCGCCCACATTTGAGACGAATCTCCGCCGACTTTCCGCGTTCACGACGCCATGACTCTGGACACCATGGCGGATGCTCAGCAGGACTTACCTCAGCCGTGGAGACAAACCCCATTGATCCATTCCACGTTGCTCTCGAAGCATGCAGGCTGGTAAGTCGATCTAGATACTCAATACGTCAAGTACTCAGATGTCTCGTAGTCAAATCTATCTAAAACTCGAAAATCTACAACCTTCGGGATCTTTCAAATCTCGTGGTATCGGCAACTTCCTCCTTGCTCATCTTGCCAAAACAGCGAATACAGAGGAACGCGAAGCAGTTCACTTTTATAGCTCCAGCGGCGGAAATGCTGGACTAGCTTGTGTGCATGCCGCTGTCACACTTGGAACACCTGCGACTATTATCGTACCGATGAGTACGACCGAGTACACGATTGCTAAGATGCGTGCCGCAGGTGCAGCAGAAGTCATTCAGCACGGTGACTCCTGGGCGGAAGCCGATGGCTTCTTAAAAGAGACTGTTATTCCCCTGGCAAACGCAAAGGGCGAACACGCTGTTTATGTGCCGCCTTTCGATGCTAGCGAGATCTGGGATGGCCACGCTACCATGGTGGAGGAGATTTTTAAGCAACTTGGGCCTAGCAGTCAACCTCCAGATGCTTTGATTTGCAGTGTCGGCGGCGGTGGTCTTTTTTGCGGGATCATGCGAGGACTTGAGAATGTCAACCATCCCAACCTTCGAGTTCTTGCGGTCGAGACTGAAGGAGCTCATTCACTCGCATTATCTCTCGAGAAAGGGAAATTGTCTACGCTTCCCGCAATAACCAGCATCGCAACAACCTTAGGTGCTCGAACTGTTGCATCTCAAGCTTTTGCCTATGCCCAACGCAATTCAGTTCGTAGCGTTGTGTTGTCAGATTCTGTCGCCAAGGAAGGTTGTGTACGTTTTGCCGACGACGAGCGGATCATGGTAGAGGCAGCGTGTGGTGTAAGTTTGGCATTGTGCTACAACGGCAGGCTCAAGGAGATTTTGCCTAATTTGCAACGGCAAAGTAAGGTAGTCATTATTGTTTGTGGTGGTAGCAATATCACTGCGAAAATGCTGGGGGACTGGTCTGAATCTATGTAAGTTTTAGAAGCTTACCATGGTGTACCTTTGATGAGCGCAATGCCGTGTTTAGACGAGAAGTATAAACCTTATGCAGCTAGACTGTGGCTCCTTCTACCCACTGTACAGTATCACTAGTTCTACCTGTAAGGGCAAAGTCCTTCTATCGTTGTCTTATTTCGTGTCATTCGACACGTGAGCAATCTTGGAGCATACTTCCAGAGAGGTTCAGCCTTCTTGTTCGCGCTCAATGAACGAAACAGCCAGCATCCACTTCCGGTACCCCCTTGAGACAAGTGGGGCCGCTCATCTTTCTACTTGCCAGTGGAGCAAGAGGGAATGGACTTTACAGGAGAAGTTACTCTCCACTCGGACTTTGTATCTCACTGAAGAAGTGATCTATTCCGAATGGGTTTCTTCGCAGGGAGTTGAGAATCCAGGTTACAAGCTCCCCAGGCCCATGGAGTTTTCGATACTCCTGGCGAAGTCAATACCTACTAAGCGGATAGAGGGAAGAGAGGACCGTTACTCGAGCTGGTACAAAGTTGCTGCATTGTATTCCAACCGAAATCTGACCTGCCCTGAGGATAAGCTACCGGTAATGAAAAGTCTAGCAGGAGCCTTGAGAGACCTCGTCAACGACGTTTACATTGGGATGATGCGCCGATCTGGAAAGTTTTCAAGTCTCGGAAAATGACTTTGGTCTAATATCTCAATCGTCGCCTCATGCTCCCAGGCTTCTATCAAGTCGATGCTCTAGTTATCAGGTTAACGCTCTAGTTGAATTGTCCACTGCCTGAAGCATGCAAAAAATGTATATCGATAGTCGTAATCATCTGGTGGGTTGGACGCAACGCATGTCATGACCGCACCTTCTTCGTCTGGGCCCATATCCGCTACGCTTGACCCCATCGGTTCTAGCGTCCCACACTTTTGCTCGGGCAAAAAACACAAAGTGCAAAAACTTCAAAAAGATATACATACAACAGCGGGGATTCACTTCTGGTCACCCACGAAATTACTAATCCGCCGGTACGTTGCTTAAATAGGGCTGAGCGAACGGGAAGCCTTGTTTTCAACGTCCTATGGTCGTATGTGGAATGACGAGGCCGGGTAGGACAAAATATTCAGAGCGACGCGGCTCTTCAGCAGACGCGGTCGATAGTGGGTTCGTTGCATGTGCCACATAGTCACGGGGAACCCAAATGTATCTCGAGATGACACGTCCTTTACTCACGATTACCTCACTGCATGCACCTCATGTGCTACCCACCATGTAGTTTCCAATCCTACTGCTTCCCCAAAGCCACGATATCCGACTGCCCCAATTCCCAAACACCCGGCTCTCTCTTGTCCTCCACGCATTGCACGCCCGCATGTACCGCTGCTCTAGCAATCGCCGCCGCATCTTGTACCCAGAAGTCCGTCAACATGGGGCTTAACTTCCTCAGCGCACCTGCGATTCCCCTAACCACAGCTTCAGCGGGTCTCGACTCCGTGCGTGTGCCCTGAATCACCCCTGGCTTCAAGATAACCGTATGCTTGAAATTCAGCGCCTTGACGCCGTCCTCAAGCTGGCCTTTCATCTTGAGGTATGCCATGCTGCTGGCGCTGTTTGCGCTGCTAGACGAGATCAGCACGTAGGTTTCTACGCCCGCGGCTTTTGCTGCCTTGGCCAGAGAGAGGTTGAGGTCGTAGTCGATGGCGCGTTGCGCGTCGACGCTACCGGCTGCTGCGCGTGTGGTGCCGAGGCCGGAGAAGAATATCTTTGCGGACGGGGGGAAGAGGGACGGCCATGAGGCGGTGTCGGTGGATGTTAGGGGCTTGAGCTTTGTGGACCCAGACGCGTTGGGCAGATCGCGGCGGGAGTAGGCGTAGACGGCGGAGAAGGTGGGGTGCGCAAGGAGGCTGGTGAGGATGTTCGAGCCCTGGAGGTGTTAGATCGGCGGTATCGTCGAGGATGCGGAGAGACATACGACGAGGCCTGTGGAGCCGACGAGGGTTGCTGTCGCCATTGTTGAGCTTGAGGCTGTTGGTATGAAGTCTCGATCGCGTTTAATGGTCTGTCACTACAGTAAGTCGTAAAGTCGGTGAGTCGTAATCTGCCTATCTATGCTCGGCCGCTGAGCGTCGCGTCATTCCATCCGGCGACGTCATGCCAAGGCGCAGGCATTACTCTATCAGACGTGAGATTGTCGTGGTGAACAAGTTATAGTTGCGCGCAAACCTCAGATAACCAAGTTGTAGGATTGCTTAGATACGTGTATTTGTGCATCGGATATAGAATGGCAACGGTGAATTCTTGTCCGTAAAACGGACAGCCAATCAGCAATTACGGACTCCCTTTTAACCTAGGGCCTAAGGAGCGCACCACAATCCAATCAACAACGATGGATGCCCACGTAACGAAGATTCAAGAAACTGATTCTCAAGGGCGATCTAACAGGTCATTTGTATAATAATGATAAGGTAGAATTCACTTAGAGTATTGACATCAATATCATCTAAAGAGGAATGAAGTCACATCAGCATGAAAGAAGCCGTCCAAGCCCTGTAAGTCACTATCCATCCTTGTTCATGGTGAATGCAGCTTCGTTTCTTGGGCCATGTGCAGGCTTATCAGCTCTGTGAAATTGTATTAGATTCTAATCCATCTTTGTCTACTTTACGTTCTAAGCCAAAACATATATCCTCTAATCTGTAGCTGCCTCGTGCATCGAAGAGAATCAAATGACAGCGCCTTCAACAGTCGACTTGTAAGGGACTTCAACTCACTTCTTACCGCGGCCACCAAAGCCCCATCGGATCTGGTTAGCCCAGCGACCCTCAACACCAAGATCGTCGGCGAACGACCAAACAAGTCCTGGGTTCTTCTGGAACATGCGTCCAACAAACGCCACATCCAAGTTGTCATCTACAAGATACCCGTTCGCTTGCTTGCCGTCGGTAATGGAGCCAACAGTGCCGACGAGCATCTTGTCGCCAACCTTGTCCTTGACTGCCTTGGCAAATGGTTCTTGGTAGCCGGGGCCGCCGTGAATGTGCTGCTTCTCATGAAGACCACCAGAAGAAACATCGAGGAGATCCACGCCCTTGTCTGCAAGGATCTCGGCGAGCTTGACGGTCTGCTCGAGGGTCCAGCCTTCGACGCCAGCCTCCTCGAGCCAATCGGTAGCGCTGATGCGCAGGATGAGGGGCATGTCGTCTGGAATGGTTTTCCGGGCAAGATCGACAACCTCAAGAGTTAGTCGAATACGGTTCTCGAAGGATCCACCGTAGTTGTCTGTGCGCTTGTTGGAGGCTGGTGACAGGAATGAGTGGAGGAGATATCCGTGAGCGTTGTGGATCTCGATAGTATCGAAACCGACCTTCAGTGCACGCTCGATAGCTTGCTTGAAAGCGGTCTTGAAATTCTCGATATCCTCTTTCGTCATCTCCTTAGGCTGGCAGTGGTTGTCGTTGAAAGCAATCGCGGATGGCGCGTATACCTTGTCCGGCCAGCCGTTCATCTCTTTTGTAGCAACGTCTCCCTTGCTCAACCATGGTGCTACTGTACTAGCTTTGCGACCAGCGTGCGCGAGTTGGATGCCGATCTTCTGGTTTTGCGAGTGGGCGTACTCTACGATCTTACGGAGACCCTCCATCTGGGAGTCCTTCCAGAGACCGCAGTCTTCAGGGGTGATTCGCCCCTCGAATTGCACTGCGGTAGCCTCGATAATGCTAAGACCAGGGCCACGCTGGATGATGCCACCCAAATGAGCCATGTGCCATGCTGTTGTGTGGCCATCCTCGGCGGAATACTGACACAGTGGCGAAAGCGCTATGCGGTTTTGTATCTCGAGGCCCCGGAGCTTGAGTGGAGTGAAGAGCTTTGGGATATCAGAGCTACCATCTATCATTCCAATCGCGGTACCAGCTGGTGGATCTTGCTGGGGTGTGAAATACGAGATCTATATCTGTTAGTGGCCGTGCCAAGTCCTCACAGTGTATACTTACACCAGCCGCCGGCCTGTTGCGCATGTTGTCCTCGCCCTCGACCTCAATGGGAAGGGCATGGTGAGAGTGTTCCTCGGTTTCAGCAACCATGTTTGCGAGCGACTTTTGGAATGTGTATGAGAAGTGGAGTGGACGTTGTGTGGAGAGACTTCGAGTTGAGAGCAACAAAGATGAAAGACATATATTCCGGGCGGCTTTGCAGTTCTTATACATGCTCTCGCAAAAATTTAGTGACGTCTATCTTCGGAACGTCTAGCAGACCCCTGCCCCGCGATACTGAGCCCCACCTCGCATGCACGTCACTCTTCGTGATTTGTAAGATGCAAATGAGACCATGTCAAACCTCACTTTAGCCGATGGTAAAGCTACTATCCGATGTGCTTGGGTCGTTGAAGATAGAGTACCCGACAACGCGTGCATGGTGATACAGCGAATGAGCGTTGTGTCGATACTGGAGATTGACCGAAAACAGCCGTCGCGTGTATAAGAAGTCTGTGGAAGCTGTAGTATACATGCAGCGAGATACCTTTCCTCGAAAGTGGGGTGTGTTTAGGTGCGTTGTTCCGCTTTGCTGTTGAGATCCACGAGCAGCCCCATCACCATAGCGGGTATTTTGCGGTCAAGACTCGGCGAATTGATGGACTAAGGTTGGTCAGCAACAAAAGGTCAAGGTCGTGCATCTGATGCGGCGATACGGCTCTGTGAGAGCATACCGGTAGACACGAAATCGTTGTCGCCTCTTGTAATCAGCTCTTAGAAACTATTCCGAGACAGTCCTCAAACTTGGCAGCTGTATATTCCCTGAAACTGCGTACACACATCCAATGATATCAAGGTCGGTTCGATCACCGTACATCTCATCAGGTCAACTTTGATGGTTGGAGGTATCATATAGGTAGTGAACAAGCATCGTCCTCATGCCGAGACCACCAAGACTGAAGCCGGTCTTTGCCGTTCCAAGCCTTTAGTGCTGCAATCGATGTTTTTGTTGAAGAGGTTCCATATCGAGAATACCAAGCGCTATCTTGCGTAAGACGTCCCTAGAGACTGGTGTCGCACAATGCCAACCCTCTAGCACCACGATCGATGGGAAATAGAATTACCACATTCGGTCAAAAAGAAATGCTTGTGCTTGACGCATATCGATTGGATCAGCATTGTGAATATTTGAGTCGTAAGAATATCAGAGTAAGGTTACCAGTAGGTGGCCAGATCAGAACCATTTTTTGAGAGAAAACATCAGCACCTCGCTGCAGGAAAGGTCCAGAAAGTTACATCTATACTATGCTTGGCGTGAGGATTATCCGGTGGGCTGCAACCAATATCGAAACGAACAGGCAGCAGTTTGATGTTGCCAGATTGTTCTTGGAGGATGCTCGGGAGACGTCCAGACAAGACAAACCCAGAGTCATCTATGAAGTGTCACCAAGGCAGACATGCTTGAGGAGACGTTGCAGGATGCATCAAGAATCATTATTTGAAACGGTTGGCAAATTTCCGTCACCCTGGAGAATCTGCGAAAAGGACACCTTGGAGGAATGAATTCTCCGTTGATGAGGCTGGCACTAGCGCGAGGTGGCGATAGGCGATAAGGATGGGCTTTAGACGAGACATGGGGAAAATGGTGTCTTGGGGATTTTATTTGGTAGCGACTACAGACTGCGCAAAGCTGCCGTCTCCTCCTGCATGATGCTGAGCGACTTTCAAGTATCTCGACATGGCTTGAAAATACAACCAATATTGCACACGGAAAGATCATCGTGGAAAGTTCGAGTAACGAGTGAAACCACACGTGTCCTGTAGTACCGCTGGATCGCAAGCACCGTGAATTCTAGGCTTGGCGCGCGCTAGTCCCCTTGCGGAGGCGATTTTCGAATGACCGCCAAAAGGCAAGCTGTTCACAACTTGAGCTCCACACCGCATATAACGCGGCCCTCCGCCGCTACTTTTCTTCTCCTCCATCCTCACCTCGACAAGCCACTCAACTTGTCTTTGTATTCCTTTCCTTTCTGATACCCGGAGTCTCTGAGTAGCTCCACCGCACAGCGAGCTCTTGAAGAGTTACGCATCAGTACTTTGCCTACTGAGAAAAAGCCAGTCGGGCTCTTCGACTACACACAATACCCACAATGGCGCGGACATCACGGGGCGCCAACCAGCGCTCAACATGGTCTATCGCCTTCTACCTTCTCCTCGTCCTCGTCGGCGGCTTGATGCTGGCGAAGACAGCACACGCCCAGGATCAGGAGCCACTCAAGGACAATAGCAATGCTGTGTCCGGCCCTGTCATTGGTATCGATTTGGGAACGACATACTCTTGTGTCGGCATCATGAAGAACGGCAAGGTCGAGATCATGGTCAACGACCAGGGTAAGTCTTTCATGTGCCCTATGAGATGTAACAAAACCTAACAAGCCTGCTCACAGGTAACCGTATCACACCTTCCTGGGTAGCTTTCACCGACGAGGAGCGTCTTGTCGGAGATGCCGCCAAGAACCAGTTCGCCAGCAACCCCCACAACACCGTCTTCGACATCGTAAGCCAACCCCGCTCCCATTGCCTTGGGACTTGAATACTGACAACGCGGCAGAAACGTCTCATCGGCTCCAAGTTCAACGACAAGTCCGTCCAGTCTGATATCAAGCACTTCCCCTTCAAGGTCGTCAACAAGAAGGGCCAACCCCACGTCAGCGTTCAGGTCAACAAGGAGGAGAAGACATTCACCCCCGAGGAAATCTCGGCCATGGTTCTCGGCAAGATGAAGGAGGTCGCTGAGAGCTATCTCGGCGAGGAAGTCAAAAATGCCGTTGTCACGGTCCCCGCCTACTTCAACGACGCTCAGCGCGCTGCCACCAAGGACGCCGGAACCATCGCCGGTCTCAACGTTCTCCGCGTTGTGAACGAGCCCACCGCCGCCGCTCTCGCCTACGGCCTTGACAAGACCGATCAGAAGGAACGCCAGGTTCTCGTCTACGATCTCGGAGGTGGTACTTTCGATGTGTCTATCCTTACCATTGAGGAGGGCGTGTTTGAGGTCCAATCTACCGCTGGTGACACTCATCTCGGCGGAGAAGATTTCGACAACCGTGTTATCAACTACTTCACCAAGAAGTACAACAAGGAGAAGAGCGTCGACATTACCAAGGACGCTAAGACTATGGGTAAGCTCAAGCGTGAAGTCGAGAAGGCCAAGCGCACGCTCTCGTCCCAGAAGACCACCAAAATCGAAATCGAGTCTTTCTTCAAGGGCGAGGATTTCTCCGAGACCCTCACTCGCGCCAAGTTCGAGGAGCTGAACAACGATCTCTTCAAGAAGACGCTCAAGCCTGTTGAGCAGGTCCTCAAGGACGCCAAGATGAAGAAGAGCGACATCGATGACATCGTCCTTGTCGGTGGTTCCACCCGTATCCCCAAGGTTCAGGCCATGCTCGAGGAGTTCTTCGGAAAGAAGGCTCGCAAGGATGTCAACCCCGATGAGGCTGTCGCTTTCGGCGCTGCTGTTCAGGGTGGTGTTCTCTCCGGTGATACCGCTACCGACCAGATCATTCTCATGGATGTCAACCCGCTTACTCTCGGTATTGAGACCACCGGTGGCGTTATGACTTCCCTCATCAAGCGTGGTACCACAATCCCTACCAAGAAGAGCCAGATCTTCTCGACCGCCGCCGACAACCAGCCCGTGGTCTTGATCCAGGTCTTTGAAGGCGAGCGATCGATGACAAAGGATAACAATAACCTCGGCAAGTTCGAGCTCACCAACATTCCGTAAGTCTCCGCTTCTACATTCTGTACTTTAATCGCGACTAACAACTGTACAGTCCTGCGCCCCGTGGTGTTCCCCAAATTGAGGTCACTTTCGAGCTTGATGCCAACGGCATGCTCAAGGTCTCCGCCATCGACAAGGGCACCGGCAAGGGTGAGAGCATCACCATCACCAACGACAAGGGCCGCCTGAGTGCCGAGGATATCGAGCGCATGGTTGAGGAGGCTGAGAAGTACGCTGAGGAGGACAAGGCCACCCGCGAGCGTATCGAATCCCGCAACAAGCTCGAGAACTACGCCTACAGCCTGAAGAACCAGATCAACGACGACGAGGGTCTTGGCGGCAAGATTGACGACGACGACAAGGAGTCGCTCAAGGACGCCATCAAGGAGATCCAGGACTGGCTCGAGGAGAACGCCGCCGAGGCTGTCGCCGAGGACTTCGATGAGCAGTTCCAGAAGTTGTCTGACGTTGCCTACCCCATCACCTCCAAGCTTTACGGCTCGTCTGGTGGCCCTGGTGGCGACGACGAGGAGCCTGGTCACGACGAGTTGTAGATGACTTGTGACAGGTGTAAAAGTGTAGTGTTCTTACATGCATTCGCGGAGCCGGTCACGTTGGGTGGCCCGATATGTATTAGATTTGCACAGCAATCTGCGGAGTTCATAGCTTGGGAGTACTATACGAATGATATGTTTTGATAAGCTTCACATGATGTATTGCCTTTGAGTGAGTGATGCACGGTGGAAGTTGGCATGTTTTGATCTCGTGTTCTTGCAGTAGTCTCCTGCAGATGCAGAGAATGCCCTCGCTCGCATCATGTACCACCCTCTTGGTTAGTCGAAATACCCGGAACTAAGTAGGCTGCAGCGAGGTTCTGCAACAGCTTGACAGCTACATGTGAAAACTTTGTGAAATTTCTACGCCTTACGTGTTGTTTGTATACGTCTACTAGCATGTTAATTTTGTAGTTTAGGGTTGTTGTGTTGCTGCAAAGAACGCAGCTTGATTCCGAGTATTCCGATCTCCATTTCTAGCAGGATAACTCAACTCGTGAAGGTCGAGCGTTGATTGTCCGCCCTGTTCGTGTCGTGCCTTCGTTTGTTACCCACGCTCTCGACTAATCGAAATACCAGGAACCAGGGTGCAGCGAAATCGTGCAACAGCTTGACAACTACAACTAAGTTTAGTGTAGGAACCTTATACCTGAATTGTAAGCTGTATACGCCTTGCGTGCACTTTGACAAACTGCAATTGTGTAGTTTTTCGGCTTGTAGGAGCCACAAAGAATGTATGTAACTTACTTTTCGCTTTTGCAGTTGACTCCTCGTCCCTCACTTCCCCAAAAACGACACGACACGACAACACTCCACCTCACTGTTTGCATCTACCCCTCCACTCCCCTCGCCGCAGTGCGTTTCTTCTCTCTAGACTCCTTCTCTTTCTAAGACGGGTTTCACGGCATTCTTATCTCGGTGTTTCTGCGTCTGTATCTTTGCTGGCGTTGTATATTGGTACTTTGCTTACATGCGGATTGTACGGCTTCGCACTCATATTCACTCTTCGACTCTTTCGCTGACATTCTACGTTTCCTCGGGGTGTTTGTGCGCGGTATGATGATGTGGCTGCGGGAAGTTGTGCTCGCGCTTGCCTGACGAGTTACGTGTCCTGCTCTGGCTCAATGAATGTGTCAACCGACAAGCGTGTGGTCTCCTGCTGTTTCATTCCATGTCAGTTCATCTCACTTCACGTCTGCCGCATGTTGGCACGCAAAGTGTTAGCAAGAGTACGAGTTATCAGAAAAGCGTCACTAACAACGCTCTAATCGACCGACTCGACACGCAACAAACGAACACACAAGCCATACAACCAACAGGTATCGCAGACAACACAGTCAATGCACACATGTAGGTAAACAGAGTATTATTTTTGAGTTTTGAATTCGAAATAGACTAAAAATCTAAACAGTTATACAAAAGCACCTTGGCCACTAAGAGCTCAAATGCGAAAAAGATCCTCAGCCATATCGTGTGAAATCGGGGCCCAAAAGCCGTGCGGGTATCCTGCGAGAAAGTAACAATGTCCAGAAGATTACCGGGACGGACGAGGATGATCTAAGAAGGCCAAGAAGGTCAGATGATATGGGGAAAAGGCGTAAGTACAAAAAACAACTCCGACGACACATAAGACACAGCACTTAGTTGAAGGAGACCTTGACGGTCTCGCCGGAGGAGCCCATGGCGCAGCCACCACCGGTACCGGCCATGACGGCGTCGTAGCCGCCGCCACCGCCGCTGGAAGAGTCGCAGTTGAAGAGGTCGTAGTCAGAGCCAGACTCGCAGGAGCTGGCGCTGCTGTCCTTGCACTTGAACACGCATGTGTCCATGTTGGATGTGCACTTGGAGCCCTTGGAGTTGATGGTGCAGCCGTTCATGTTGACGTTACGGGAGACATCGAAGGCACCGGAGCTGCCGAAGGTAACCTCCCACCAAGTCTGGTCGATACCGCCGAAGAGAGCGAGCTTGGTAGAGGTGTAGGCCGGGGCACAGGCAGCGGGGACGTTCTCAGCGAAAGAGACCTCGACGGACTCTCCTGCCTTGAGGCCGACGGAGATCTCGGGCTGGTTGACGTTCAGGGACATTCCGGAGTAGCCATCGGCCTTCCAGCAGAAGATAACAGCATCCTCGCTGGCGTCGTTGGTGAACTCAGCCTTCCACTCGCTGTCGCTGCCGATCCAGATACCACCGTTGTTGGTCTTGGAGTTCTTGCCGACGGAGACGATGCCGAGGCTCTTGATCAAGGTGGAGACGCCGTGGAGCAGGTCTGAGACAGCGTCACCGATGTCATCGATAGCATCACCAAGATCATCGATGATGCTGTCGGTGGAGACGGTCGACTCCGCCGCGCTTGTTGCGACAGCGGCCTTGGATGAAGCGACCTTGGATGCGACTGCCACGACCGATGCCACCTTGGTGGGCACAGGCGTGTACGCAGCCTCGACGACGGAAGACACCACCTTCTTGGCATCGGCCTTTGCCTGGGTCGCGGTGGCAGCGGCTGCGCTGTAGACAGCGGCAGGAGTGGAGGCAGCGGCGACAGCGGTTGAGGACTGGAAGACAGAGCTCCAGTTGACGGCCTCCCAGTCGACGTCCTTGAGATCAACAGCGACCTTGTTCCAGTCGACATCGGCGCCAGCACTGCGCTTGGCTTCACTGGAGGAATATTAGCATCGTCGACGAAGGCGCGGGAGAAGGCGAGCTACTCACGCTTGGCGGCGCTCGTGGAAGCTGGCGTGACGGTTGTGCATGTGGGAGGCGGCGGCCTGACCGACAGCGAAGGTGCTCAGCACCATGGCGGAAGAGTAACGCATGATGTTGGAGTCGGGTGTTGTTGTTGTTGGTGGATGTGGATGTTTATGTATGGGACGGTCTGGTCGTAACGGCGTTCAACGGCGTGAGTGTGCGGTGAGTGTGTGGGCGGCTGTGAATGAAGTGTGTATCGTGTAGTGTTTACTGTATAGTGATTGGAAAAGACTGGAGTGAGTATACAGCGACAATGGGCGTAAATGAGTGGACGCGCAAAAGGCTGGTATTCTTCAAGCGAGGGACAACGGGCTATTATAGAGAGCGAGGTGAAGGAGGAAAGAAGAGGAGGATACGCGGCCACACACGAGATGCAACCCGCTCGTCTCCTATCGACGCAAGCGGTAACGCGCCTCGCCGAACCGCCCCTGTTTCCAATCTGAGCCCCGCCAATGGCATCTCGCCCCGCTAAAACGAGACGTGCATGGCCGCGCCTCTGATTGGTGTGCCTGAATCAGGAACGCTCGGCACCTCAGCGCTCCAAGACGTTCGAAGCCGCGGGCCTGGGCCAGCGCAACGCCGGCAGGCCCCGTGTATCAAACGTGTTGGCAAACCATTTGCCGCTGCTACCTGGCAGCCGTGGAGAGTGCTGGTCGTGAATTGCTTGGGACCGCCGCTGTCAACTGGCTGCCAACAGCGGAGCGTGCTGGCTGTCAACACCACGATACGACGCCATCACGCTGTCAGCGAAATGATGGCCGCGCAATCACAGCGTGCGTCGCCGTGGGTTATTCCGCGCTGCGCAATTGGAAGACGACGCTGCACAAGTGGAGCAACAGATCGCCGGGCATGTCAGGACGTTTTGGTCGACATGTCCCGCAGCACATCTGACTCTGGAGCCCACCGCGTTGCATGCGACTCATTTCTCAACAACTCTGGGTCACAGTAGCTCCGTCTAGTGTCATGTTTCCCACGCGGCATCCACCTATGGGCGAGTGCTAAAACCGTCCAGTTTCCCTCGCACATGCTGCACAACCGGACCTCTCCCCTCCTCCCGACGGTTTTGATCAAATCAGCATCCATCGCAGCCACATCCTGGTCGGCAGCGACAGAGTCTCGCCTAGATCGTGACGCAACTACGACGCAAACTTTCCTTCCCTCTCCGCACTCTATCCACCACCTGCAGCCCATCTGCACCTACGCCGTTTTCTCTCTCCACTCACCGATCCACCCGATCTGCCGGATTGACCCAGCCCTATCGCAGGGCACCAGAACTGACGATTCTTGCGATCGCGTGGTGCGGTGAGATGCACACGCGGAAGATGCTGCTTGACCGCCAGTCACATGCAGGAACGAGCGACTCTCCAGCCGTGATGTGGGAAGCCTCTTGTGACGTGGTGAACCGCTGTTTGTTGAACGTTGACGAGCTTCGATGCGAGAGCGGAGACTCCGAAATGATGCATGTCGAGATCTCTTCCTTGTCTTTGTTTTTCCACTTGCCACCAATAACAATCCACGGAATTTTACCATCCTTCGTTTTTAACGTCAGAATTTTCTTTTCCCCCATCGTCATTTTCTCTTAGCATGTTCTGGACCTTCTGTGTCATATCGCATCTGATGTCGAGACGGTGAGACGGTTGCCCTTGCACAGGAGGGGAGGTTTGCTCCCCTCGGGCTGAATGCAGAGAACTTGAAACCTTGGGAATACACAAGACACCTCTGCATGCGGTAATCTCCTCTGCCAACCTTTTGCATTCTCTAGTACACTCGTCTTCTTCGTCAAAGCACCCCATTGGACTCAACAGCTCTTTTTCCACACGGGAAACGTTGAAACCATTCTTTTGCAAGTACGCATACCGGTACTGTAAACCCTGCATACGATGCACGCTCCGTTCGTTCGCTGTTGGGAAGAACGCAAGCCTTCACATCGGAGCACGCCTTCGGCTTATGCGGGGTATTGATTCAACAGCTTATCGATACCAAGTGTCTTATCGTCGTGTTCAGTAGAAATCGGCTGTTCAATGCCGTTTTTCTCAAAGTCCGAAGACCGCGTCAGTACCGAGTACGAATTATTCGTGTCGACATCGTGAAGTGATATCCGACTGTCTGTCATCCGTCCTGACATGCGAGCAAGACACGTAAGCTGTCTGGAACTAAAAGTAGCTTCGTAGTGGATACAGCCAGCTACAGCTAGTTGTACGTCGATTCGAATCAATTCGTCAGCACGTCAAGAAACACGCATACCAGCAAAACCCAGCGCAGCGATTCACCAACATCTTGAAATTAACCCACCACACCACAGTAACCACACTCTGGTGCTCAACACCACAACCCAAAACATGTAAGCATCTCCAGCGCCCGCAAATAGGTAGTTGTACACAGTAGGTACGCAACAAACACGGCGTCTAGACCCCATCCACCCCCGACCAATCATCACCCAACTCGCCTACGGTAGGTTGCCAGGATATCACAAATTCCGCGAAACAAAGAACCCAATTCAGAATTAGAACCAGACCCAGCCCAGAACGTCGTCCCACACCACGCCCCATCCCAGTCTGTCAGAATTTGTTTTTTCTCGCGCGGCTCTGGGGTTTGTTTTGCGTGCGCATACCTACCTACCTACTCCGACTATTATAGGTGTCAAACGCGTGGTGTTTGGGAATTGTCGGTCTTGTGCGTTTGTTTGTGGCCGAACGTGGATAGGTGGGTAGGGCTTGGTTTAGATGGTGTTTCGTCGTGAGGAATTCCGGTGCGCGTTGCTTTTTGGCGCGCGCATGTTTGGCTGGTTATCTCGAACGTTGATGGTGCGAGATGAGGTGAGATGCAGGGTCAGACTGGAGCTGCGATGCTGTGTTCTTCTGTCTGGCGACTTAACACACAAAACATGTCCGAGGTTTGTATCTATCCCACTGTGCTATCTGCTGTATACAAAGTCGGCGCCGAATAGTTATGCCTGCTACGTACTCACTCATAATGCAACACATCTCCGCCTCCCAACCCACCCCCGCGTCATCACCGGGTAGACAGTCCAATCCATCCCATCTTCCCGCGTCGAAAAGTCTAGTCTTTCTCTTTGATCAAATCCACAGATTGCATGTAGTCACGTCACGTCACTACATGCATATCTTGTGCCTCCCTCCCAGAAACCCATCACGCGTCCGGGAGTACATGCTTAACCCATATCCTGACCACTCGGATCTGCGCAAACAGACAGTCGCCTGACTATCTCCAGTTTCACGGGTGAGTGGGATTTATGCGTCGTCTGTTCGTCGAGGTATGCATGCAGGGCGGTGGGCGTCTTAGCGGAGAGAGGTGTGTATTATATATGTATGTATGTGGCTTTTAGAAGTGAGTAGTGTGCGTGGAAATATATGGTCCGGTTCAAAAGCCAATACTTCGAAAAATATTCACTATTTCGGCATCTGGTTGGAAGCAGATGTACGGGGATCATGGTGTAGCTGTTTATCTAGCTGGCTAGCAGGCAGAATATAAGACGTCTTTGCACGGCGGGAATTTCCAACATAACTCCTTCGACACTCGTGTACGAGAATGTCTAGCTTGGTGAGATGGGAATCAATCACCAGCATACATCATACAGTCCGATTCGCACACGGCGAGTTCTATAGTAAACATGAATGGCATCATTTCATTCACTCCAAACACACACTATATACATACATATACACGTACATCCCCAATTCTCTGATATCACATCACACCACCACACCACCCCATAAATCCACCCCACAATCCCCCCCACCAAAAGCCAAAAAGAAGAAGAAGCGAATGGACGTCCGAAACCAGCCAGCGGTGAGCGAGCGCCAGGGTATCTCGAAACTGCACTACCAAGAAAAAGAAGCAAAGAAAAAGACTGCAATGCCGGCAAGCCGCCTGACCACCGTTTATGAAACGCATGGAGCCAGAACAAGCAAAAGAAACGAGGGGTTTCTGTGTCCAACAGAAGGAGAAGCGAAAGGGGGTTTGAAACGCCAGTTCCAAGCCAAGGCCTGACATGACGTCGAATGCACAAGAATGTAAAGTGGTCATGTGGAATGACACAAGGGGCTGATTGCCTAGTAGTCATACCCATTGTGATAGTTTCGCTGGCTGGAAGGCGTGTAACTCTTCTGCGCGGGCTGGGGCGCCCATCCTGGTGCTGTCGCACTGCGCTGTTGTGCGGGCGCCGAGGCGCTCATTCCGCGGTTTGGAAAGGGTTGCGGGGCATCGCGGCGCTGGGTGGCGGACTGCAGGCTGGAAGGCAGACCCTGACGCGGCGGTGCGGTGCCTGACCGTGGTGGAGGCATACCTCTTGGTTGAGACGTGACGGGAGTGCCGGTGCGCAGGGTGCTCGGGAGCTGGGGAGGCGCGTAGTCAACAGGAGTATTGGAGTGTGAGTAGTATGGTGATGCATCAACGGGGGAAGGCTTGTAGGCCTGGTTCAACGGCGGTGGTGCACGGCTGTTGAACGGAGAGTACTCTTGATATGGCTGGGTTGACTGCGCTGATTGTGGGTCGTGGTATGGAGGCGTGATCAGCTGTTGGTCTGTCGAGTAATGATCGTAGGTATAGCTCGTGTCGAGAGGTGGTCCGCGTGGTGGTCGCGGAGAAGCTCGGCCTTGGGCCATGACTGAGAATGGCTGAGCAGGTGGTTCGCCGAAGTAGTCGCCCTCTCGTGTTAGTGTAGGCATGGGAGGCGCGGGCGTTGATGTGCCCATACCGCTTGCTTCGTTGATAAGCGGCGCATTCGAGCTATAACTCCTGCTCGAGAAGTTTGAAAACTGCGTGTCGTGTCGCGTCGGCAGATCGGGTCTCTCACTCAGCGAGGGCAAGGAAGGCTGCATGGCCAGGGTGCGGGCCGTACTCGTGGTATTCATGGTATTCGTTCGCGATGGGGGGTTCGACGAGTACAATGGGAGGGTGGTGTTCGATTGCTGGAAAGTGGTGTAGACAGACGATATATCGTCCTCTCCGTCGAGCTTGGGCAGGGTAGGTACTGTGCGAGTGGAGCCCAAGTCTCCCTTCTTCTTGGCCCTGCGCTCTGCTTCCTTCCGCAGTTGGTTCTCTTTCTCGATTGCCTTCTTCATCTTCTTACCCACAATACGCCCCAGACGAGTCTCGAGCTTGCGACGACAGTACTGGGTCAAACTCCCATCCGAGCGAGGAATATAGTGCCAGAGGAAGAACATGTAGAGCAGAACGGAAATGAGGAGACCGAGAGCGGCGAAGACCCAGATGACGAGGGAAAACAACATGGTGAAGTAGATTATGGTCTCCTGTCTGTTGCCCGTGTCGATTAAAACGCCAATGTTGAGGAAGAACTGCTCAAAGTTGGAATGCTCTTCAGACGCGTGGTGGCCAACAGGAAGGAGCTCAGCCTTCATAACGGCGTACAGGGTCATGGCATTGATCGCAATGCGAGGACCTTGCGCGACGACGACGATGAGGGCGCTCTTGAACTGAAAGTAGACAAACAGGGCGATGTAGTTGACACCCTTCTTACTCTTGGTCAGCTCGGCAAAGACGAGAAAACGTCTCCAACCCTGGCCCCGATTGGTTACACGCATGCTCTGCCAGATGGCAGCAATGGGCTCCAGATAGCACTCTGTCACACTGCCCGAGCGCATGACGCGCAGCGTTCTGAAGCCACGGTAGATGAGGAAAACATAGGAAATGATGATGGTGATGGCGAAGATCCACTTGGCCACCTCGAACGAGACCTTGGGCTGCACCTGACTCGACCATTTGTTGTAGGCCAGGAGGTTGACGGCAGTAAAGGCATCGGCGGCGTAGACGGCGCAGGACACCAGGACGAGGATCCACAGCCAGACGTAGGACAGCGGCGTTAGACACGACGTCGAGCGAAAGTCGGAGAGGTTCTGTCATGGTCAGCATGTGGCTCGCGTCTGCGCCTGCCTTGTTGGGGTACACACGATGTAGTCCCACTTCTGCTCCTCGGCTACGATGACGCCCTTCTCGCGATCTCCACAGCACCCCATGGCTGGTGCAGTCGTTAGGTATTAGTAGGTATATAGATGGCCGCTCAACGGTCGTGTCGCCTGCAGTCCAGCTGTGCTAAGGAGTGACGCGAGCTGCTACAGGGACATGTATCGCGTCCAGCAAGCTGCGACGGAGAATCCAAGTGGCGACGGAGCGAGTGTGCTTGTGGTAACAGGCCGGCTGCTCACCACGAGTGTGTGAGTTAAAAGAGTGAATGCAGGGTTGTGGCGCGGTATATGAAGGAGCACAGCAACAACACGGACGCTTTGTTGCTGTAGTCTTCTATTGTACCTATTCCCGCTGTGGAAGCGACCGCAGACGCAGTGAAGGAGTGTCGAGAGGGTCTGTTTATGGCAGGACGCGCCCGGTGCGAATCACAAGCAGCAGACTAGAGAGCGACGAGAAGATGAACACAGCGCCAGCGTCTGCGTCTTTGCCGGTACAACCTACGAGTGGTGAGGGATGAACGGAGAACACACGGCCATGGTCTTCGAGACTCGTACCAAGGTAGTCGAGGGCGGCTGCACCATCTCCGCACCGCCGCATGATTGGACGTCAGTTTGCCTGTCTTTGTTGGTCGCTGTGCTTCACCACACCCAAAAAGGCAGCTCGCTAACCTGTTCCTTTTTCTTTGGCTTGGCAGTCTCGAAACTTGCTAGGCCCATGGTGAAACCAATCTGAGGACGGGCCTATCCCGGCGAAGATGTGCTCTTCAACATTACAGTTTCTTTGTGGCAACTCAAATACCACCGGAAATAGCCATGTTTGTACCACGCACTACCTCAGGGTCCGTTGCCTGTAGGCCAGAGAATCCCAAAAAAAGCATCCAAAGAGACCCCACACGTCATCAAGCCAAGGGCGACTCCTCGTTTCAGCATAGGTACAGCATGGTTGACAGCCTCAGCCACCAGCATGTGGCTTATACCAGCAAAGCCACATCAACGCGAAACAGACAAGTTCATGCAAACATCCACCAGCCTATCAGAGGCGCGACCAATCTCAACAACATTACGATTGTCCATAATGTCATGCTCCAAGACTCACCAAGACGCCAGCGCTGTCGATTTCTTATTCCCGTAATGATGATGTGTTGCTTCGAACGCTTTGTGATAACAAAATGCATCGCCTGAGATATTCCATAAACGATCTACGAGACGCAGTCTCTCTCGCTGCCTGCAAAGGAGCTAACACGGGTCGTACGAGAAAGATGGGACTTCTGAAAGAAAACGCAGATCTTGCGTTTATGGAATTTCCCCGTTGCTAACCTGATAATATTAAACGATTACTTCTTCTTGTTTCTCCAACCCTATCACCCGTAATTCTAATGCGTAAGCTCGCCACAAACGAAGCAGCTTTGGCTAAGCAACATGCCAAATTCAACTCTGCCGTGACTGGGTGGGCTGTAGCTCATGGGACGAAGAGGTCTCAGTAACGGCACTTACATCAATCTTCCCCTTCCAAACCGATCCGCGCATGCTATCCGGCACCTTGATAGCGAAAACGCTAAGAAAGAGGCCGATGCCACTCAAGATAACGCAGCTGTAGTACACGCTCCTATACCCAATGTCACTAAGTTCACCCTGAGGAAGACCCGCATCGCCGTGTGTCTTCTCAATGCCTTCTGCGACGGCGGTCAGCACGGCCAGGCCCAGAACGCTGCCGCCGACCTGCAGCGCTACGTTAAAGACGCCGGCGGCAGCGCCCTGGTCTGACTTGGACGCGGAAGAGACGACGACGAAGTTGGCGGTGATGTACACGGCGCCGATGCCGGCGATGTAAAGGATCATCCCAGGGAAGGTGTAGCGCCAGTACGAAGTGTGCTCGGTGATGAAGCTAAAGAGGAGGATGCCGGGGATGGAAAGGGCCCAGCCGATGATGAACTATTGGAGAGTCAGCACATCAAGTTGACATTATAGGGCGCATGGGTCGAAGGGGGAAAAGAACTCACCATAGCCCTTGCGCCGAGAATCGGAACGAGACGACCCGAGAGAGTATTGAAGATGAGGGCGCTCACGCCGAGTGGGATGAAGAGAACCGAGGTGTGGATGGCACTAGCGCCGTAGGACTGGAGCTGGACAGTAAGAAAATAGGTACATGCTTGTCGTACGGCGTATGTGTTGACGGCAAGGATCAACGTGAGGTTGAAGGATAGGTTGCGGAACAGATGGGGAGCCAGAATTGCCTGAGGGGCGGAGCGTTCATGCAGGATGAAGACGACAAGCAAGACAACAGATACCACAAGAGTAGCGATGATCTTAGCGTCGTCCCAACCTTCGGTGTTGGCGGAGGTGAGTGCATAGGTGAGGAGGAGAATACCCGGGATACCTAGAGAGATGCCCAGAGCGTCGAATCGGACCAGACGCTCACGGACTGATTGTAGAAGCCCTTTCTTCGGCGCCGGTGAGCTGTCGTCTGTACTTCCTCCATCCACAGGATGAGGAGTAACAGCACGAGGAGAGGGGGCCCGTGGAAGGACAACATATGCCGCTGGGATGACGATTCCTGAGATGATCAAAGATATCCAGAAGATCCACCTCCAGCCCAGGAACGCCGTAAGGACACCGCCAAGGATGAGTCCAATGATGAAACCCAGAGAACCTGCGGCACCCCATATTCCAAGAGCTTTCGCTTTCTTCGTTGGGTCGCTGAAATGCAGGGCAATATGTGCCTGCGCTGAAGGGATGGTGAAAGCGGCACCTATCCCTTGGAACGCTCTGGCGATGACGAGTCCTATAAAGGTCGGAGCCACAGCGCAGACCAAACTGAACAGAGCGAAGAAAACCATGCCGAAGAGCAAAACGCGACGATGTCTAGGTTCGACATTAGCTGCGCCCGTAAGGATGCAAAACTGTGGTGGAATCCAACCCGAAGATGTCTCCTCCGCGGCCACCCAGCAGAAGGAAACCGCCAAACGTTAGAGCGTAGGCGGAGATGATCCATTGAAGATCGCCAACGTTGATACCGAAGTCTGTCTGGATTGTAGGAAGTGCGATTGTAATAGCACTTAAGTTCGCAAGATCGAGAAACATTGCAGAGCACCTACATCTCTTCTGTTAGTGACAGGCTAGAGTGCATGGAATTCAGACTCACACGACCGCTAGAATGTAGTAGGGGCTCCTCTCTGCCGTGTGATCTGGGAGAGCCTGAAGTCGTTGGAGAAGCATTATGGGTGGTCGGGAGCTGCAGTCTATTCACAGGCGTGAAGGGTGCACAACTCAAGAATCCTGGAGTTGGTTCAAAGATCCCCCGAGCTATCGCGTCAGACTGAAAGCCAGAAATGGTGCGGTGGTCGAGTTCAATCAACACAATCTTGGATAATCAAAACAACGCAATGATCCAAAAATCTAAAAAGTGCAAAATCTTTTAGCAGCCCTTTCTCAGTCTACCGCCCTTTTTCCAAGTCGCGAAGATGTATCATTATAGTAACCCCGTAGAGATGTTGCTTGTTCGGACACCGACCGACGTTACTTCCGGCTTTCAGCTCGACGCGAGAGCCCGAGGAACACTGCGCCCTTGATTGAAAGTGGGTAACTTATGGCGCCACTTCCGGGGGCACGGAAACGGCCCGCTGTTACGTACATATTTGCGGGGGCTAACGAAGTAAAGCTATAAAGTGACTGCATAACAGAGCTTAAGCAGGTTAAGGTACAAGATGGCCTGCCTGATAGGTCAGTGCACAGGGGCTGCCATGAAGTGGTCAGAGATGAATCAGCTCTCTAGAGACACCGTCACTTGCTCATTTGTGACCGAGATCGAGCAAAATGTCGTTTAGCAAGGTATGATATAACTAGGAACCAATTGCGTCTTTGCATGTGCCTTCCTCTCGCGGAACGGGACTTGAAAAGTCTTGAGAGCAGATGCGGATGAAGCTGCAGGTAAGACCTCCTACCTCCCCGAGTTACTGTGTCCACCAGGCGCTTGTCTCATGGGGCTTGGGTCATTTCGGTGCTTTTCTATACGCTTTGGTTAGAAGAACTCGATCACTTGCCTGCTGCGACTTCATCACAAGCTTTTCCTATATGCTAAGCAGGCCACGACAACTACATGGGTTGCTCACAACTCGAGGATGCTCAGGCCTTGTATCATGGAAGGACAAAGGTCCGAAGGACTTTTCACTCGAAAGTGAGACAGTTTCAAACAGACAGTCGTGCAGAGGTATAAATGGTTGGTTTCCCATCGTCTGGAACAACTTCACCAAGTAATTCTTTGGCAGCAACACTCTTTCTTTCAACCATGTCACTCGTGCCTATGCTGTTCCTGAGCAGCCCTGTTCCGAGCAGTAGCTCAGGACCTCGCGGTCGTCATGAGTCGCCCAGCGATATCGTCTTGGTGGTTTCCTTGTCGAAAGTGCAGCAGGTGCTCTCGCTCGAATACTTGGTCAGACAGCGTTGTCGCGGTACGAAGAAAGCGTGTCAAAAATCCTCAGGGATCTGTAGATGCAGACTGTTTAGCTGGCAAGCTCACCAAACTCCGACGCCTCCTTTTTCGAAGCTGGCAGACACAGCATCACCCTAAACGAGCTCCACAAGCATATTGTGGAGCGCTTTCCTGGCTGTAAGGTGAGCATACTGGACGTTTCACAAGCTGCATGTCTGGCCAGCAAATTGGGAGCGTCGGAACAAAGATGTTCTCTTTCAGAGAGGGTCCCAACGCGACGCGCTCTCTCCGCCGTGTATGTCGTCATCGAGGGCTACGCGACGGCGTCCTTAGCGCGCTCAACACAGCCACCATTCAAGCCGCAGGCATAACCCCGAAGACGATCAGGTACGTCGAGCTGCACGACAGCGGGACGCGCATGGGCGCTGCGTTGGAAGTGAGTGGGTTGGGGCGTGCATTGGACGAGGTGCAACATGTCGTGCACGTGGGCAGCAACAAGGGTGCGTTTGGGAACACAGCGGTATGTTGAGATTAATCAACATGGCAATGGTTGATTCCCACGGCGTCGTTTCTGCTCTGGGACAGCTGGGCGCGCCGAATCCATAGTGCGATTTCGAGGGCAGGTTGCGCCTCAAGCTGGCGCTGCATGATCGAGTCGGCGTGACGGGCTTGGGGTACGGAGGGACGGATGCACATGCAATGCTTTGCCGCGGAGGCACATGGTGTTCCAAGACGTTTGAGACACGCTTAAGCTCACGAATGATCTTATTAAATGAACTCCTCTTCACTTTACTCTGTAGATATATATTAGGATAGAGCAAAGTGGGCCTGTATCCTCTAGAAGAAAAGTACTACGTGTACCAAGGCTTGACCGCCCCACGCATGCCAGCACCAACAAAAACAAAAGCATGACGACATCGCAACATGAAACACCACCTAGCTTCTGTCTCTGAGCTGTCTCAGACCTTCTGCGGGCATTTAAACGGGGGTGTGTGCGTGGGACCCCAGAAACCACCATGTGCACCCTCGCCCGAGCATCCAGACGCCGCAGGTGATCCAGCGACAACAGCCCCATGCCCTAAAGCCACAGCCACAGGGGAAACAAGCAAAAAGGGGAAGAATCACTATTCAAACACATCGATATTTTGTCGTCGTCAACAGCAGAACTTCTCTATCACATCCTATTTAAGCTTCCTGGGAATAAACCACAATGCCATCCGCAACACCGCATGTATACTCTGCTACGCCACGGCCCTCGAAACGCCTCGTCATCTTCTGCGACGGGACATGGGTGGGCCGCGAGACCCAGGTCGCAGGCGCGCCCTTCAGCAACATCCGACAACTTGCAAACATGGTCGGGGAGGTGCAATATAGTAGCGAGTCGAGGGCGGAACCTGGGGAAGTGCATACCATCCGACCGCACGCTAGCGTCTCTTCAGATGCGGCTTCTGCTACCGATTCCTTGGCCGGCCTCGTCTCGGGCGCGGTGAACACCAGCTCCGTGGACGACCCCAGTGCAGTTGACTCCAGCGCTGTAGTCCCAAACTCCAACACCTCCGACACCATCATCGCGGGCTACCAGGAAGGCACAGGCCTCAACAGCAACTTCGTCGAGTACATATGGGACGGCGCCACCGCGTCGGCCCTGAGCACAGAATGCATCAACGTGTACAAGTTCATCGTCACGCACTACACATTAGACCATGAGATCTGGCTGTTCGGCTTCAGTCGCGGTTCCTTCACCGTGCGGTGCGTCGCGGGCATGCTCAACAACTGCGGTATCATCCGCCGGCTGCCATCCTACAGCGAGGCGGAAATCGATTCGTTGTGCTCCGAGGTCTTTAGAACATACCGCAGTTCGATTCCTAGTGATGCGCCCCAGAGCCCGGAGTGCGTCGACCGCAGGAAAAACGCGGACCGCATTTGGCAGGTTGCTCGCCCGATTCGCTTCATGGGTATCATTGATACTGTGGGGTCGCTGGGTATCCCGCGGCTCAGTGCGGGCGTCGGGTTCGACTGGGCGCCGTTTGAGTTCTTCGATCTGCATATGTCCAGTGCCGTGCAGTACGTGTACCATGCACCAGCGCTGCACGACCGGTTGTGGATGTTCCAGCCGTGCCTCGTACTTCCGGGGTCTGGCGGCGAAGCAGCAGTCGTACGGCAGAAGTGGTTCCCCGGCACGCACTACGACGTCGGGCGGCAGACGTTTCGCTTCGTGAAGCAGAGCCCTGTGAATTGGATTGAGAAGGTACTGGGTCTGTTGCCGGATCTGCTTTCGCAGACTGTCTTTCCAAACGAGGTGTTGTCTGATACGGTGTTGCGCTGGATTGTGCAGGGCATCCAGACCGTCGATGAAGACTCGCTGAATCCTATCATTCCCACTGTGCCCGAGGAGATTCAACGGCTGACAAACCGCATTGCTGCGCCTGCTCCGAACACCACGGGCAGCGGCGACATCTACGGTAACATCCTCGATTACGCGCCTGGCGGCATTGTTGTCGACTTTGTACACCGCATGTCCACAGCTGCCATCTCGTTTTTGAATGGCATATTTCCCCGCCTAGGGGACAACATCCGCGACGCCCTCGGCATCAAGACCATCATTGGCATTCTGACAGCTACTGCGGATCGCAGGATCCCTGGGGTGAAGGCAGATGTGTACGCATATACTGTCAAGGAAGCCGTGATGGGTGGAAACCCGTCGGTGAAAGGTGTGGAGGCGTTTAGTGTGGAAGAACAAGCAAAGATGGAGCGGGCCGATGTGCGGGGACAAGGGAGGTACGCGAGTCGAACGTTGGAGAACTGGCTGCTTTGGAAGCGGGTCTTTGGGGGTGGCGACGACGATGTAGTCTCGTAGGTAGTCGAAGCTTGACAAGAGGCGATATGGTGCGGAGAGTCGTGTCCGATTATCCCAGAATTTCATCCAAAGCCTCCCACATACCACTTTGCATTTCCGTTCTCCCCCGCGCTCCGCCCAGCATATTCTTCTCGCTCCCCTCGTCCACCCCCTCCCCGTCGACCTTCCCCAGTTCCCCAAACCCGCCCAGCACATCCCTTACTCTCTCCTCCATCTTCCTCACACCCTCAATCTCGCCCTTCTTCCTCTCCACCTGCCGCTCCAGCATCCCAATCAACGTCTCCCTCGCCTGATGCGGTCTATACTCATTGACCAGGGCATGCATATTAGCAACCAGCGTCAAAATATCGCGCAACTTCTCATTCTTCGCCTCAGAGACAGGATCCACTGCCACAATGCCCAACAGCTCGATGTAGCTCACCAGCACACTGCGCAGGAAGCGGAAGAGGTAGTTTTGCCGGTCCAGCGTCGAGGACGAGGGCTCCGTGCTGGCGGGATACAGCTGCTCGTACGTCCAGCCCGGCAGCGCCCACTCGTCCAGCTTCGCGGCGATGAACGTCATGTTCTTGTCGAAGACGGCGGTACCGGCCGCTTTTGTGGGCTGGCCGAAGACTTTGAATTCTTCGTCTGCGGCGGGCGGAGTGGGGGGCAGCAGGTAGCGCAGTTCGGTGGGGAGGGCGAGGATCTGGGCTGGGGTGAGGCTGGATGCGTGGGTGGCTGTGGTGGTGTCTGCGGGAAGGACATCTTTTTCCAGCGCGGCTAGGCGATCTAGGTTGGCGGGGGTGAAGTGCTTGTAGAAGGGTGGTGGGTCGGGGAAGTAGGCCAGGATTTTGTCCTCTTCTTCGTCTTGTTGCGGGGGTTGCTGGTTGTCGGCCATCTTAAAAAGGTGATGGAAATGTGATTGGAAAGGAAACTTAGGGCGTGAGATTGCGTGGTTGAGTTGGACGCGTTGGTGTTGATGTTGAACAAACAACGCGGGTGAAGTTAGCTCTGGACCCTGGATGAACGCTTGGCGCTGTCATGCGCACGGCCGTTCTTCCCCCCACGTTCGTCTCATGAAAGTGTCTTGAAATGCATGGCGTATATGAGCATCCAAATCGACACACTGTTACTTTTCATCAGTGAATTCGTGGTGACTATAGAGAAGGAAGCCGTGCGTGTGGCTGCCCACCGCATCCAAGCAGCCGAACGAAGCTTAAGAGGTCCGTCTTGTGGGTACTCAGATGACAAATCGAACTTTGTGAGGCTGCCATGGCTACGTTACCACGTTGAGCATCATACATCATCTTAGGTGTATATATACTGAGAATGACCACCTTGTAGCTTGAGTATACCGAGTCACATCTCCCATCAACTTCTACCTCTATCTAGTCTCGTAATCATCCAATAACATGCCTACCCAAAAAGCCATCATCTGCAAGTCAAAAGGCATCTCGGAGCTCAGTAATGATGCTTCCCTCCCTACCCTCCCGGCGGACAACTGGATCCTTGTCAAGACCAAAGCCGTAGCATTGAACCCTTCGGACTGGAAACACGTTGCCAACTGGCCATCCCCGGGCATGACTGGCGGTCTGGACTATGCGGGTGTAGTCGAGGAAGTCGGCAAAGACGTGACGGAGCTCAAAGCGGGTGACCGAGTCGCAGGCTTTGTTCGAGGCAGTAAAGCTTCCAAACGCCGACTTGTGTCAACATGCACTGACACCCCACAGATGACCCAGAAGACCACCAAAACGGCGCCTTTGCCGAACACATCAAAGCCAAGGTCGGCATCCACATGAAAATCCCAGATGACATGTCTTTTGAAGACGCTGCAACACTGCCCGTGGCCATCACTACCGTAGGCCAGGCTCTGTTTCAGTCCCTCGGCCTGCCTCTTCCTCCCGCCAAGGTCAAGGAGCCAACTCCAATCTTGATCTACGGCGCGTCCACCGCAACGGGGACTGTAGCCGTGCAGTACGCAAAGCTTGCTGGATGTGAAGTCCTCACCACGTCTTCGCCGCACAACTTCGATCTTCTCCGCAAGCTCGGCGCCGACCAAGTGTTCGACTACAAAGACGCTGAAGTCGGTGCCAAGATCCGCGCAGCGACCGACGACAAGTTGCATCTAGTGCTAGACTGCATTTCTCAAAGCAGCTCATTCGCTATCTGCGCGGCCGCAGTCAGCTCCCGGGGCGGCCATGTGTCTGCGCTTTTGGGTGCCAAGGGCTTCCCGAGGGACGACGTGCGGGCCAATGCCACATTGGGCTACACTGCGTTAGGCGAAAAGTACAGTAACATGTTCCCGGCGAATCAGGCGGACTACGAGTTTGGTTGCAGGTTTTGGAAGTTAGCTGAATCTCTTGTCAGCAGTGGGAAGATCAAACCGCATCCTAAAGAAGTGCGCCGCGGTCTGGATGGTATCCCGCAAGGGCTGAAGGATTTAGAGGATGGGAAAGTGTCGGGTGTGAAGTTGGTCTACACGGTGGATTAAACAGACGGTGCGGTCAGTCAGATTTGAATTTGTGTCCAGGCACCCAGAGACTACGGTCATATTGGCCCAAAATCCATTTGCGATATATTTCTTCTTGTGCCTGCCAGAGTACAATTAGCACGCATTCTCAAGATGGGGTATTTTGTCCAAGTTTTCGGATGTATTAACCATGCACTGTAAGTTGAATGTTGGAGAAAACTGTGAAGGACCGTCACACAGATTCATCGTACCTTTTCGAAGTTTGTTCCTATGGCACTGCCCTGGTCTCGTAAAGTGTTATGTTCGCCCCCTCGTCCACCATCCCACGAGTGGCCGCCAAGATATTTCATGGGTGGTTTAGAGATGGATACAAAAATAGGACGACCAAACACATCAGATCCGTCATACAATCTGCAAGCTAATTCTGCTTGTTCTCGAGTAGCCATGTACAAAGTGACGTACCAATTCGACAATCTTGATTTCCGTGGCGTGTATAATATGATGCGACTCAAGGAGGTGACATCGAACGAATGGAAAATTGAATAAATCTTGTTCACAACGTTCAAATGTTCCGTGGTGGGATCAGGAATATTGTCGATTGTAACGGATCGTCCCTCTCTTATGGGAGCGAACAAATCCCGAGGATAGGTCGTTATAGGGGCTCGAACTTTGATTTCTTCCAAGTCTGGTGTGTTTGAAGCAAACCATCCATAGCTCAGTGAGGCTTCGGAATCGACGTAAAGCGCTTTCTTCAGATATCGGGAGACACGAATACGACGATTAAAAAGTGGAGCGCCGTGGAGGTCATGCTCAGCGCGCGAAGCTAGGACCTTTGATGGAAGAACCACGACAGTGTAGTTATAGTTGTGACCTCTCATCGCGTCATATGCAATAAAGACCCGATCCCTGGCGTCAGTTTAGCGATGGGTTGCTTCGACAATATGATCGTTGTTTCGGTGCCATGCGAACTCGTGTCCGAGTATCACCGCTTGTGAAGCACTAACGTACACTGGTATATCTGCTTCAGCAAAGAGTTTTCTTATGTCCTCTTCAATAGCAAATTTGGTCAGATTCGTAACCACCACCGCACGAGCGATCTCGACCTCGGAAAGGTTTTGACGAAGGTACACGTTCCAACTTCGGAAGGCCCAATGCCCGTTCTTATCTTTTGTCGCGTTGTCTATCCCCATGGAAGGAGCATGGAATAAGCGAGTCGTTGCTATTATGCTAACAGCGATTTGGCGACTGAACCGAGGCGTGCCTAGGTGGACGGGAAAAGCTGAACCGCGACATGTTAAAGGCGACTGGGAGCCTCGAGCTGCAATAGAAGATACATGACGGCATAATGACCTAGGAGAAGGTTTAGGCCACATTTCCAGGATAAGCATAAAGACCGTGAGGTTTGTGGGATCAACAGGAGGCTGGAGATGAAGAGACCGTGCACAGACGAAGAAATTGATGTTGAGTCGCTAGCGTGGAATTCGAGGGCAGCAACGTTGTACCTTACGAATTCTTGAATTCTGTACGATGCTTGTAGGTAGTAAAGCTTGATCGTCGATAGGATGGCTTTCGTTCAGTCGTGAGAACATATTGGTACATTTGAACATATTTACATAGGCGTGATCGAACGCAGTAGATTCTAATGACACGAAGAAGTTGACAGCCGTCTTGGCTTGTCTTCCTAATCAAACCGCGATGAGATTCTCTGTGCCCAATACGATATATACACAACTTCTTCACGTTGAAATGACTTAAGCCGTTTTGCTAGTGTCGGTAGGTGGCGGTAACGATGACGCAACGCCGAAAGCTTCTATCATTCCACATCTAGACGGACGAATGTCTCATCAACACACTTGAACAGTATCAACATCCGAATCAGTTGTCCCACCAATTCATCGAAATGACCGCAACAATGAAAGCCTGGCAATACGCTAGCGTGAGCGGTGGCCTCGAGAAGAATCTGCAAATCAAGACCGACGTCCCCCAACCAACCATTGGCGACGATGAGATTCTGGTTGAAGTTCACTCCATGGCACTCAATCCTGTCGACTACAAAGCCACCGAAGCAGGCTTGCCTTTGACGCTCATGGGCTCGACACTCATCCCCGGCGCCGATTTCAGCGGCGAAGTCTTCAAGATCGGACGAAATGTAGACTCTTTTCAAATCGGAGAGCGAGTCTTTGGTGCAAAGGTGGGTGCTTTGGCGAAAGGTAGCCTTGCACAGTACATCAGTGTTGGAAAAGAGATGTTGGCGAAGTTGCCAGAGGGCGTGAGCATGGACGATGCAGCAGCTATCGGTATTGTTGGGTTGACGGAGTACCAATCTATCGCGCCGAACGTACAAGCAGGGGATAAGGTATTCATCAACGGCGGGTCAGGTGGTACAGGCATACACGGAATCCAGATTGCGAAGGCTCTGGGCTGCCACGTGACGACGACGTGTTCGACGCCCAACGTAGATCTCTGTAAGAGTGTCGGTGCAGACGAAGTCATTGACTACAAAAGTACGGATATCGTCACCGCCCTATCCGAAAGAGGCCAGATCTTCAAGCTCGTACTGGATAATGTTGGCACTCCCGCCGACCTGTATAAAAAGTCTGCGTCGTTCTTGATTCCCAGCGGCAAGTTTGTGCAGGTTGGTGCGGGCACTAATCTTGGCACGATGGGTCAAGTCGCAACCAACTTCTTGCTCCCTAGCTTCTTAGGTGGCGGGAAGAACAAGTACCAGTTGCTCATGGCGCAACCATCAGCGGAAAACTTGAAGCAGTTGGGCGTGTGGATGAAGGAGGGGAACGTCAGGAGTGTGCTTGATCAGGTGTTCGAATGGGAAGATGCGCCGAAAGCTTTTGAGAAGTTGAAGACTGGGCGAGCGAGGGGCAAGATTGTTATCCATGTTCAATAGAACAAGGCTTGAGTTTGGGCTCATTTGGCCCAGGAATGGTTCGTAAATGAACAAAAAGATCTTCAAAAATTACGGAACCATGATCAGCGTCTGTTCACCTGTGGGCTACTGATCTTGATTAAGATTTCACTGCTTCTTTGTCCATTTCATCCGGTATTTCTGTTCTGGATTCGATAAAGGGGCTTGAAATCAAAGTTGAAAGTTCGAGTCATTCAATGACACACGATTGCCAATAGACGTACAATCGTAGCATAATCTATCATAAGCACGCGCCAGCTAATCATACGCAACTATTTTCTCTATGTTCAGGCCTATCTTGTATGAACCTTGCCCCAGATACACATAAACATTGAGTATAGGCCGTCCAACCTACATCGTGTTGAACATTGATTATTGCGTCTAGGTCATACGAGAAGTTACGATCAGTCTGAACCAGAACAATAGCTCTGATAATACAACGTTGCGAGAATCCATATTCTCTCTTGTTGATAATGAACTGTGCTCGTGCACTAATACCTATTGAGGCTAGGTCGCAGTGCCTAGGCGATCACTCTCGTTCAGCATCGTCTTTCTTTCACGACATCCTCACGCCCCGATTCCTACGCAATGGCTTCATTTCCTATTGAAATCCTTGAGATGATCATCGAAGGTCTTGTTTCGCCTTTGATGCACAATGATACCGCTTTACCCCGTCTGGCAAATGAAGAACGACAGGACGTTTACAATGCTCGGCAAACCTGTCGAGCCTTCCGGGACGCTTCCCTGAAAGCTTTTGCATTGGTTATTGGCGATGTTCCATTCTTTTTCGAATCGGAGAGTCTTACTCGGACGCGTAGGCTCCTGCAGATACCTCAGCTTGCACAGAAAGTTACGATGCTTACATTAGGTGGGCTTCGAATTCAGTCCCAAGGGGATACATACCCACAGATGGGCCAAGTCATACTTCATCTCATTTACATTTTCGATAGTGTTCCTCGCCTGAACCATTTGAGGTGTCTGCCAGATATGCAACTGCCAATGGACGTGGAATTATATGATTTGTATTACGCAGGACGCGTCGAATGGGGCGGAGAGAATCGATTCACGGATTATTTGCAGGTACGTTGAAACGGCGACAAACTTGAGAATCGTGATTGACGGTGCTCAAGATCTTGAACTGCGTCCATGCGATCTTGCAAGCATGTTCACGCTCGCAACTCATTGACCGCATCGGCATATATAGATCAGATGATGATAGCTCATCAATCCACCTCGCCGGCGATGGCATCTTGATTCCATACCAATATCCAAACCTGCAGCACTTGACTGTTCACATGGAATATCTACTTCCAGCAATCGCGGATTCGATAGATCTTCCTCTCGCAGTTAGTGCCGAAGCCCACATTCCCTGTCTACAATCTCTCCATTTGATTATGGATAATCACCTTCTGGAGATCGATTCGAATGACTACCCCCCAAATCTACTGCTGGAACACTTCGCAAATTTCAAGCCACAAGACATCCTCTTAACAAGTGCTAGGCGTGCATACTGGTCGCACACCGAACTATCATTTATTGTCCAATCTTTATGCCATCAAGAGACTCCCGTGCGGCGACTTACACTTCGTATTGAAGGAGTTGAAGAACACTGGATCGACCATAAATGGGACATGCGCTACGAAGCAAGACCCCGCATAATGGAAGTAGTCCTGGAAGATCTCGCGGGCCATCAGCAATCTGAGGCAGTCCAAACTGCCGACGACTGGTATGTGGCGAGAATTTGTGAAAACGGTTGGGATACGGTTCCATGGCTTTGCGAATGCGCCGATGTTGTGCGTGTCGTTAATTGTGGTAAGGAGACGACCTTCAAAGAATGGCCACAATGGGTTTACGCCAAGATCGAGGCCATGGGGTGGTAGCATAACAGCAATGTCAAGAGGAGAGAAACATTCCGACCGCGGGGTGCCGATGGCAACGTATATCATTCCTCTTAACACCTCGTTCAAGCGACTCCAACGTCGACTGGCAGGGTCCGTCTCACGATTATATGCAAGCCTGGATCACCCGTCTTCTATAATCCACCAAGAATAGCTTGATCCAACATCTTACCTTACGATATATCGACACTACGTTCAACAGGCATACTCCTGCAGAGCACCCCAACGGGTCGCTCTCTAGCATCGAGATGGCCAGTACCTACGAGTATCTCCGTAGTATTATCTCTGCACAGCCTCTCTTTCAAATCCACTTTGCCGAAACTCAGCAACATTCTTTTCTATCTTCTCCGTATAATCAACTTTGTACCCTTTCGCTACTTGAATTCCATCCGTTTCGAGAGGTTGGGGCGACGTTCCCTCTCGCGTTCGAGGTGCTTCAGACTCTACGACAAGAGTGTCTTCGTGTCTATCGGCAGTCCTCCCAAGAATTGATTCTGTGCTGGATCCAGCCTCGTGTCTCGTCATGCTTGTCATATTATCGATTTCTTCCAGCGCAATAGTTACGCTGCCTACTCTGCGCAATTTTAACCCTTTAAATGGCTTAGAGCCGATGGTGTTTGTTGTCTTTGTGTCATCGGTCCCATAGTAAATCTTAGATCGAGGATAGCTATTCATGGACAGTAATCGGCTATGTAACTGTGACAACAAAGGTTTAAGGGTGGGAATCGAGCCCATGAACATCAGGACATGCACTTCAGCCCTGTAGAACGGCGTATCAGCATATTTGTTGAAAAGTCAAACTTGACATAGCATAAGCAACTCACATGTACCAGAGCGCAATGACGGCCCACGCATATGTCACATCGGCGAGCTTTGTCAAATCTCGCATGTAGTACACTTTGACAAATGTCGCGGCTGCAGCACTAGTAATGTCTTAGCTACGACGTGTATTCGTCTTGGACGTTTTAGTTGCACTTACAATATTCCTCCGCCCATGAGGGAACTCAATCCCCATTTCGTGCTTGTTTTCAACTGCAGCTTCCATACCATGTACACCGGAATGATCGCAGTAACCAGGTCTACGACAGCGTTCCATACTAACGAAATAAGTTCAGTAACAACCTGATACATGGAAAAGGTGGGGATCATACTAGCCTGTAACCTGCCACCAATATTAAGCCAGCTTGAATCCAAGCACTTCCCTGGCACCCAAGGTTTCCAACTTTTCTCTATAGGAGAGCATTGCCCGACAATGATTGGAATTATAAAAACGTTGAGCGCAACCCTGATACCCGTGACGATATAAAGAACCCAGCGGTGTCGCTTCGTTGCGGAGTGCCCTAGTAGTCGTAGAAGGAAGAAAACCATCGATATCTTTGCAGCTGTGGATGACAAGATGCATGGTGCAGGGGCGATATAGACGTACTTTAGAGCCTGCTCTCGACGGTAGGTGTCAGTTATGTCTGCGACGTGCAGACCATACCCATATTGCACAGCGACTGATACGAGTACCGACATGCATAATCCAAATCCCTACAACTGATATCAGATGCATCTAGAGTCGAATTAGGTGCATGTCACTTACGAGGGCGACCACCATGAAGCCATCATCCCATCCAAATTTCCGTAACACGCAAATTCTACAATAACATCTTGCTGAGACCGCAAAGATTGCGAGTCCACAAAGACTCCACGACACCTGATCGAGTTGTTTTTGATAACTATCAACCATGTTTGAAAGAGTATGTTAGAGTATCAGTTGCAAAGTACGTGAGAGAGAGGCAGCAATTTTGTAAGACACATTCAAGAACAAGCATATTTAACGAATAAGCTTCATATACGGTGTAACCCTACAACACATCCCGGTCTTGCGGTGGAACCACTCCATCTGTAGAGCTAGTCAACCAGGTTGAAATCAACCCTTTACCTTAGCTCAACACAGTGTGATATCAAATCTCAAAAAAGAGTTCTCTCCATGACGTGTTCTAATTTCTTGAGCAGGATCTACTACAACAACCGGAGAGTTCGATCTGGAACAAAGTGGTAGGTTATAGGCTATTTCATCAAACATTCGGTAACCGAGGCGGCTTTACGATCCAAGAGCGGTATCAGAAGAATCCTCAGCGCGTAGACAGACGATCGTATGGACAAACATAATCCTGTTCCAGCCTAGTTTTGGTAGCGGCACAAAGTGGATCTCGTCCTCGGAAATGACTGCCTGTACGCAACCTTGGCGCATGAGGCGAGGGCTCGCTTTGCAAAACCAACATCACTCGAGGATCGAATTCAGGGAACATGCTGCGCAGATAAGGCGCATCTACTGAGCCGCAATAGGCTAAACTAGACACCAATATTACATTTCCCGTCAAATATATGCTCAAACCTCCCCTGTTCTAGTGTTAGCCCACATGTTTATGGTACTTCATCTATCGCCAACTTTGACTACCGCATTGCCTCATGGAGTCTATTCTCCTTACCATAGAAGTGGCGACTGAAGCCGCGCAAAAAGAAGAACTCCCGGAGCATTGGCGCATAAAGCTGCTAGACGCGACTACCAATCTTGTCACTGCGTTACAAAAACCGAAGGATGTTCTTGTGAGAGAAGCCTTTTGGGTATGATTGAGTCCACCGAGATACCGAGCATTTCTGACGATTTCACGTAGCTGGGCAGGTTCATGGCCATGCGAGTGTTGCACCAACTGGGCGTGTTCCGCAAGATAGTCGAAAAAGGCAGTGTGACATCCGCAGAACTGGCTAAAGACAGTCAGGCTGATCAGCTTCTACTTGGTGAGATTGATGATATGGTCTTCTCGCTGCGTTTGTCTGACTTGTCTTGCAGAGCGTTTTCTTCGAGTCATGACTGCCAGTGGCTATGTCACTGAGCTGGATGACACGACCTATGGTCCAAATAAGCTGACTACAGCACTCGTTGACAGGCATATGGAGGGCATGGTTGAGGCAATGTAAGTTTTAAGACTGCCTCCAACGATTACCTGACCTGATTTATTAACCAGCTTTGATATGGGGATAAAGACCATGGCCATGATGCCCGACTTTCTGGCGAAAACAGGGTACAAGAACCCTGACGACCAATTCCATGGCCCATTACAATATCGTTACGAAAGTCCAGGTCAGGATTTCTTTAGTATCCTGATTGCTCGACCAGCTCTCCTTGAAGCCTTTACCTCTTTCTTCGAAGGCGATAAGGTGGGGAAGCCAGACTGGGTAGACTGGTTTCCAGTCAAGGAGAGGCTTCTCGATGACCCAACCATATCGCTGGAGAAGAACGGAGTTCTGTTCGTGGATGTTGCTGGTGGCCGGGGCCAAGATCTCCTCGCATTCAAGCGAAGGTTTCCTGAGTATCCGGGCAAGTACCATCTCTTCGATCAGCCTCATATTGTGCGAGATCACACTCTGGACCTTGGTGACCGCGTTGAAAAAATAAGCTTCAACTTCTTCCAAGATCAAGTCACACCAGGTAGGTCACATAGACCGATTGTACAGGTGGTACTAATCGACATACAGGAGCCCGTCTATACTATATGAAGTTCATTATGCATGATTGGTCGGACGAGAAATGTCTGCTCATCTTATCGAATGTGACAACGTCGATGAAGAAGGGCTTTTCGCAACTGATCATCGAAGACTATATCCTTCCCACAACAGGGACAACCACATTGCCGGCCATTTGGGATATGCAAATGATGACTTATTTGGCGGCTATGGAGCGGACTGAGAAGCAGTGGCGAGCGCTGTTGGGTAAAGCGGGATTGTCGATTGAGGGGTTCTACCAACCGCCACATGATGGGACTGGAATAATAGTTACCGAACTGAAGCAATGATCAGTATCCTAGGCAGAATTTGTCATTTAAAACGCCTTCATTATATCAACGTAGCAGTCAAATGGGCCCTGGTATAGTTCCTGCAGTCGATACACATTTGAAACAAAACTCAACTGGTATCGACGCGTTCCTTGCGACAGGAAATTCGGGCGTGCCCCAAAGATAGTGCGAGTCAGAGCGTGAACAGTGCCTGCTGTTTTGGAGATCAGGCAGAGAAGAAAAACGACACGGATGAATAGTGAAATCTCCGCAGGCATCGCGTCGGTGTCTCAATATCGCGAAGTGGGAGCGAGGCATCATCACGCTGAGTTAGCTCATATTGAGCGTGGTCTTAGCGCGTTTGCGAGATGTCAAGCGCGTCGCTCGATTGCGTAAGCAGGTCGGAAAGAGGCTCTCAGTATCATCATGAGATACTGTTACTACAGCCAGCAAATGTCTTATTTCTCTGCAGTCTATTTACTCTCATCATGACTGTTTCGTGCGGTGACTTTGAGCATTCGCTTATAGTCTTGATGCGTCTTTGAAACGATTTTGATGAGTTGTAAAGGCCGGTGCATTCGGCTTTCACCCTTCGCGAACTCCGCGCGTCGCCCTAAGGGCCTTATCTAATATATAATTAGACAACATTTAACTCCTACGTTAGCAGCCTGTAAGGCCTAAAACTAGTACTAGTATAACTATAAAACTTACTTCTACTTACCTATCTAGTTTTTTTATTTATAAGATATTTATAGCTTTTACTATTACTATATAAAGTTATTATTTTCTATCTATACTATATATATAGTAGTATTTTACTTATTTATACTACTTTATAATTAATAGTTTTACTACTTTAAGTATATTTCTTTTTTTTTTATTTTAATCTTAAATAGTAATACTTATAAATAGTATTTATAGGTTTATTATAGTTTACCTAAAGTATTCTTTTTCTTATAATTAAACTTAGTTTCTATTTTATAGTTAAATAAGAGTTATTAATAATCTTTTATAATAGCTATAAGGTTTATAAAAAAATTATAGTATTTTATACTAATTACTTTAGAGCTTTATATTAGCTATATATAGTATATACTTTAGTAAAACTCTTCTATTTTATTATAACTTACTTTTAATATACTTATAGAATTTATATAAAAAGTATAACTATTAGTTATATTCTCTTTTACTTACTACTATAGAAATACTAACTTTATAATAAGCTTAAATAATATTTTCTTAGTATATATTAGCCTATAATTTATTCTTTTAGCCTACTTTTACTTATAAACTTACTTAATTATACTTTTATAATTTTATAAAGTTTATATATAAAGAAGATTTCTTTTAAAACCTCTTTATAACTATATTTACTACTTTTAAGTTGCTTATAGTTTCTTCTTTTTTTAACTTACTAAATAAGAACTACTACAACTTAGGTTTTTTATAGTTTACTTATACTTATTATAGTACTTTTTATTAGTTTACTAAATATAAACCTTTTTCTTTTAGTAGTTAACTAGAATTTATACTTTATTATATTAATAACTAAGTATAGCTTATAAAATTTACTTTACTACTATTTTACCTTTATTAGCTACTATATTTTACTACTTTTAAAGCTTACTACTTCTATAAAGAGCTTTATATATATAATATAGTATTTATATTTATATTACTTAATTATATATAAACTAATTATAGAACTAGTAGCCTAGGTATTTAAGTATTTTAGATTTATAAGGCTTTTTACAACTAAAGTAGCTTATTATAAAAGTTTAATAAAAAGTTACTTTAGTATACTTAGCTATATTTCTATAATTTATAGTATACTACTATAATATACTACTAATATAATTATTATTTATAATTATATATTTTATAGTAGTTAATAGCTATACTTTATAAAATTAATTACTTATATATTAATATATATAATATAGCTTATAAGAGGCTTTAGTAAGTAAGTATAAATACCTATATTATTTTAACTAATAGTCTTACTTTAGCTATAAAAATAAGTATAAATTACTACTATAAAAATATACCTACTAGTAATAAAGTTAGCTTAATTTTTTTAAATACTATAATAACTAAAGTAGTTTACTTTATTATCTTTATAGCTTATAACTTAGGTATACTATATTATATTAATATAGCTTATTTATCTTATATACTATTATACTACATTTTAATATTTCTATATAGTAATTATAAATAAGAACTAGGTATAAAGCTCTATAATATAAATAGGTTTTATACATAAGATTTACTTATATAGTAAACTTACTTTTAGTACTATTTATATACTTATTTTAAATATACTTTACAGCCTTTTTTTTACTATTAGCTATTTTAGAAGTTTTTAGTTAATATTTAGGTAATATATAACTAGGCCTTTTTAGCCTAGGTTTACTATAACTAATTAACTCTCTATACTAACTTATATAGTAGTATTATAAATACTATTATATAAGATAATAGCTCTAATATTCTTATTAAGTACTATATTATTTTACTTTTATTATATCTAAGTAGTTTATACTTTATAAGTTAGTATTACTAGAATTTAATAGTAATTATTTATTATTATAGCTATTTAACCTTATTTATTACTTTTACTATAAGTCTTTATTAGCTTAAGGTTAACTATAAACTTTATAATAAAAATATAAATTTAAACTAGCCTAATTTAGTCTACTATACTTTCTACTTAAAGGTATAAAAGTTACTTAAAGATATAAAATATAGTTATTTTAGTATATACTTAAGTTATATATATACTATTAAGTACTAAAAATAGAGTTTACTTTATATATACTTTTTACTTTTCTTACCTTTTTTTAACTATAAGGAGTTTATAAATTTAAAATACTATTAATATAGCTATTTATATTAAGATACTCTTTACTAAGAATAACTTTAATAAAGTACTTACTACTACTATTTACTACTTTATACTTTATAAACTTTATAGTAAGTTTAACCTCTATATACTCTATATAGTTATATAGCTTAGTAGCCTATAACTATAGTATTTAAAGAATTTTCTAAAGTATTACTATTTTACTATAGTTATTTATAAAAATAGTTACTTTAAATATTAGTACTATAATAATAGTTAAACTTTACTAGTTAAGTACTATAGCTATATTATATACTTAAATAACTAGTAAGTAGTTCTATATTACTTATAGTTTTCCTATAAATACTAGGCTTATATTAATATTAAGGTTTATAAAATAATATATACTATTAAGTATATTTATAAGTATATTTATAAGCATACTAATTAAGCTATATAAAATGCTTCTAATAATAATAAAGTATAATAGTACTTAAATAGGTAGTATATTAATTTATTTAAAGCTACTTAGTAACTTTATAAGTTTCTAGTATATAAAAAGTATTTTCTTTTATAACTTTTATAGTTTACTTACTTAACTAGTAAACTATTATATTTTTTGCTAATATAATACTTATAGATCTTACTTTATACTTTAAATAATTTATAACTACTTTAACTACTTTTTTCTAGTATAATATAGATTCTTCTATAAGCTATTACCTACTATATTAAAATTATTTAATATTCTTTATATAAAACTTACTTTATAAGATAAAGACTTTATGTAAGTATAAAGTTATAATTAGTTATATATATTTTTATAGTTTATTAACAGGTAAATACTATTATATATAGCTACTTTTAATAGTTATATAAAGTCTAATAAGCTTTAAAAACCTATAAACTATTAATAGTATTAAGTAACTAATATTTTAGGCTATAGCTATTACTTATAAGCTTTTATTAAATAATAGTAACTAAATTACTTACTTTTATAAGGCTACCTTTTTTACTATAAGTAGTACTTTATAGTTCTTTTTTATTTCTATACTTTTTAAGAGCTTTATTATAAATCTACTTACTATTTAAACTACTTTTTATAATAATCTTTATAATAACTTATAAGTACCTATAGTAGCTCTACTTATATCTTTTATAGTTAATATATACCTTAATTATAGCTTATACTTAATTAATACTTTTTTTACTAAGTTTAGTAAGTATCTTTTAAACTTCTTTTTACTAACTTATAAGTATAACTAAGAAATATAAGTTAAAAATTAGTTAATTACTACTAAGCTTACCTATAATATAGATATTAAAAATACTACTTTTTAGAATATATATATAGGTTTTAATAGTAACTAGCTTATAGTCTTTAATATAGTTACTATAGCTATTACTATAGCTTTATAAACTATATTTTTCTTTATATAAAGTTTTATAAGTACTAGTAAGATATATCTTTAGTATTATATTTCTACTTACTACTATTTATAAAGCTATATAGTTCTTTATATAGCCTAATCTAGTATTATAGCTATATTACTACTAGGTAGATAAACTATATACTTCTATTTTTAAATTTTTCTAGATATTTATAATAACTCTATTTATTTAGTTTTACTAACTTTTAGTTTAGAGTAGTTACTAAGGTAAGTAGTACTTATTATATAAAATAAAATACCTATATAGTACTATTACTACTTTAAAGTAGTTTACTATATACTTTAAAATATTTATAACTTAACTAATCTATTTAGTAGCCTTTTTATTATTACTAGTAGTAATTTTATATAAATTCTTTTAATTATTTACTAAAGTTAGTAGCCTACTATTATTAATATATATCTTTAATAATTAACTATTATATAGCTATATTTAACTATTTTATATTTTTATTAGAATATATAAGTACTTCTTAGTCTTAAAAATACTTATTTTATAGACTAAATATATATATTAGCTACTTTATAAACTAACAGTCTAGTTCTATTACTTACTTAAATAAAAGTATTTTATAGTTTAAATAAGTTTTTATTTTATATATACTTTTTATAAATAGTTATAGCTACTATTACTAACTATTAGGCTTTAAGTAGTTAAGCTATTTTAGCTATATAAAATAATAAAATAGCTACTATTAATAGTTTAATACTTATAGCTTTTTTTA